CCTGCACGTTGGAACGTGACCTTGAATATAGTTGAATGATTGGGAGTGTATCCCCCCCCATGGCGACTTAATCGAATTAAGAGTTGCGAGTTGGTAGTACAAATGCAATGCAACATGCTAAGAAGTAGAGACTGGAGTGATAAGCGTTGGAGGTTCTAAGATTCGGTTTGGTTTTTTTTTTCTTTTGCTGAAGATTTAAGACCCTAGTAAAAATAACACAAGCATCAAGGGGAAAGGCCGATGGGTGTTCCAACTCGGGTACACTAAACCTTACCTTACCTGCCAAGGACGGGAACTACCTACTTGACGTAGGTACTTAACGTTCTTATTACCGATAAGGGCAAGTCCGCCCTATAGCTACATCATTCTACCTATGTAGGTAGGTGCGAACCTATGAATATAACAGTGCTAGTGATTCTAACTTCCGGAGGAATGTGCACTATAACATCGGGTATGCCGAGTATTAACTTATACCTAGCTTCTTCAATGAGAATCTTAAGCGGCCAAGTTACAAATTCTTTTAGTTATATTACTCGAAGCTTTTTCTACATGTACCTATCACAAAAAGATACATATACGACGTCACATCAATGGGCGCATGTATACGGAGATGCCCCCTTAAGGCATCAACGACCGTTCTATAACCCTAATCTTCCTGCTATGTATTGCCTACTGCGGCTGCTGCTAGACCACCTGAATTTTAGAAGGCATGATGATCTACAGACCGTAGCAGTTAACTACCCCACCTCGCTTATAGCCGCGCTGAAACTAGTGTATTTCCTAATTAGTCGCACCACTTGTTTGTGTTACTACTACCTGCTTACTTTCTTCAGTTGCATGTTCCTGTCTCAATTCTCAAAAGTAACAAGTACATACAATGTGGCCGGCCTGCCGGTTGAGGAATACGGCGTCCATCAACATCACTTCCCTTTCAAATTATCCCAATATCTGGGTAAAGCCTATAGGATTAAACTCCGCGATTAATAAACATTTCGATGTCTAGGTGTTCAGGTATGTAAGTTAGAGCAAGCACCATATTGCATTAATAATATATCATTTGTACATAAATATACTAATTCGAACTGGGAAGTACCTCTTGGTGTCTTTAGGTACTTACTCAGAAATAGCCGACTTATACAGTGCGTTGTCCGCAGATAGGTAGGTAGCTACGCGTTGGATATAGCGGCGCTTATACGGCTTCTCACAGCTTAACACCGCTCGGCGGATGATACTCCCGGAACAAAATCCGTGTAGTAGGTATAGATAGCCTATTATGCCCTTTGCGTCATCAAAAACCTGACCAGGAAGGCACTTACGTTGCTTGTTTCGTATAATTGCTCACATTACGCAAGCACTTATTTCGTTGGGGACTTGAGGTTGTCGTTCCTCGCGGAGCCGATTGAGGCTCCTTCGAAAAAGCAAGTTGCTGCAGTTCCTATGTAGGTACTTACCTACCTAGGTACCTATTAATATATCGGTAATAATCCCCATTCGCTATGCACTAGACCCACTAGTCTAACAGACTTCTATCTTTCGTGTACCGAACAATATGAAATACATTAGTAGAGCGGATAGGTTGCTAGTTTGCTGAACCACATCCGTACATAAAGCAGTTTGCCTATCTCGGCCGGAGGATCAAGTACGATAGATGGAAGGGGTAAGAAGGCGTAGGCGTACCATTTGCTAATTTTACGGAATAGGTCAATGCGACTTGTTGTTGGTTATTCTTAGGTGATATAACCACGCATGATAGACTACCTAATATAGATGACGTTAGTCCTACGCACACAGATCCAAACAACAAGCTTGGCTCTTTGGAGCTAGAAATACTAGGATTTTGAAAAGTTCCCTTGAAGGGATAACCCTCCAAAGACGTAAGATGTGAGGCTTTAGCTTAGGTGTAAGTCATTGGTTCTCTAGAAGGATTCCGAGAGCAGCCGACGGCACGACTGCAGATTGCATGTAAGAGCCTCGACGTCGTAAGACAGTCTGTCCAATCACGGCGATTCGGTATCCGAATATAGAAATAATCACCCAAAACCTTACATATGACAACCAAAGTGACAAAAAACCGTTGTTGGAAACGCGATAACGCGTTCCGGGGTTGGCCATTTATGTACTTGTAAGACCCATGACCAGGTACAATACCTATCGTCTGGGGGTTACGTCCACTAGTCTTGGCAACATTAGCGCCTTTTTTAGGCGTCCCAGGTGTCCGTTTGCAAGACCTCTTTATGCCCCAGATTACATAATAAAGACCCCACATTATGCCTAAACACTTTTTATCCAATCATTCCCCTTTCTATCAGGCGCGTCTAAGCCTACCAACAACGCGTAGGATCCCACCAGTATGATGCTATGCAAGGCTGAGACATAGCACAAGGGGTTGTTGATTTCCAGATCGCCCTAACGAATATTCATGCTAGCTAAATCTCAGGGGATAATGAATAGTTATGTCGGGGTTTCAAGAAGACGATACTATTCATGGCGCGGAAGACATACGCGAAGCCCTGACAGATGTGATTGAGGGTTAGTACGCCCCTTAAACGATTATCACTATTAAAAATAATACTTGCTAACTCCAAAAGCATCTAAACTGACGGCAAAGCAACGTGGAAGCAATGTAAAGCTATCCGTAGAGAAGTTAGCTTCATTATCGTATGAGCAAGGTCTCCTCCCGGACGATCTAGGCCAGCTCATAGATTTGGTTACTACTCCAAGTTTCCTTGACCAGGCAAGCCTCGGGAATCTCATAAGGAATTTCTACCCGGTGGCTACTGTGGACATCGAGCTTGTAGTTAAGATCATTGGCTGTCTGGGGCATGGAAAGCTGAAACCGTCTCTTAACATTCAAGGAGCGCTCCTGAGATGGCTTGTTATGATTCATCACATCATAGAAAACCAGGCCATTTTATCACGCGCGTACTCGGTTCTATTCAACCTGCTGGAAACTGCTGCAATTAGGTCCGTCTACCGATATATTGCTCCAACATGCCTTGCTAACTGTCACAGGAAGCAGCTATGCCATCTCCTAGCTCTCATCACTCGACGCCGGCATGTGCGACCCTATCGAATCCAGAGCCTGTGAGTTACCTCTAAAAGCATCTGTTTCACTGCATCACTCACACCTCTTCAAGTTTATCCTTGTCTAGACAAACGGGGAATGATCCGGCAGTGACCGGCCTGCTCCGAGTGTATAAAGACTACTACCCCGAGATCATTGTAGGGGAAGCGACTCGTGCCAAGGCGTCGGCTTTCAAGGTATGTCTTCTGCGGTCTTGTTTGACGGAAAATAGCTTATTATTTCCACAGCATCCAGATCCTCAATGGCGTGAGAGGCTCGATGAAATTCAACAAGCCCATGCAGAACGAAGTACGAACAGAGCAGAACGCCCGCTGAATGCCTTTAGAGTTGCCCGAAGTCGAATAAATGGCAAGAGCCCCGGTTTATTCCCGGAGGTGCACACGTCAAACGCGACAGAGGTCTGTTTTACTCCGCCCCCTTGAAAGGACAGTTATAAACTGACAATTTGCTAGAACTCTATTACCCTAGAAGAGATTGAAAACGTAGACGGCTTCGTGAAAAATCTAGAAAGGATCGAATTACCAAACCAATTAATAGCGGTCCTAGGAGACCCGTTACTACAGAAGCTACTCGTTTTGAAGCCCGACCCTGAAGCTCATCAGAGGGTGAGTAGTTGGTTGGCTTCATATGGACAAGACCTCATAAGTGGGGAATCCAACACAGATTCCAGCGATGGCTTAGAAATACTAAATAACTATGTGTCAAGTACTAAGGTATGTGAGAAAAGAGCTTACGAAACAAATTACCACTTGCTAACTTTTGCCCAGACTTTCCCCCCTATATTCTTGGCTTTCTTCATAGAGTATCTCAAGATATGGAACGGTCATGATGGACGAGGCTTTGTATTCACTATATTGTCATACTTGCCATTGCTTAATTACCAAGGTTAGAAGCGAAATCCAAACCACAGCTATTCCAAGACTAATAAAACCCAGAACTCTTCACCAATATTCTCCAGACGCTTGAAACTAAGGTACTTGACGATACCCCAGGTTCCCAATTACAACTACTCGAGTTTTATACGATGCTGCTTCAGCGTTGGGCCATCTCTCTGGCATCACTCGAGCAGAAGTCGGCAAACGCGTCAACTATCATCACTGACCTAGTGGGCCACGTCAACAATCTCTGTCTCACTCTTATTCAAACCTCACCTACTAGTTCTACCCACTCAAAGATCTTGGATTTCTACGAGCAAACCGCAATTCTATCTTCAGATCCAAAACTACACCATCATACTCGGATTATGATACCACCCTCTCCGTTGGTATATATCCTGCACTTTAGCTTCTGCCCGAATACTCTCTCCAGGCTCTGTGCCATATTGTCGAAATATAAGGCAGGGTTTCAGAGGGCTATGTCGACGTCCCGCTCCCAGTACACTCCAGAGTACATCAACGAGTTCAACGGCTTTCTAATGGACATCTGCAATTGTATCTGGCGGTCGCGCGCCTTCAATAGCAACGATGTGAATTCGCATGGCTGCTTGGTACCTCGGTCACTCGTCGAAGACCTCGCAGCATATGCTAGTCGCCTTGAGACCAGCGCTCCCCTTTCAACACTTTTTTCTCTTTCATATTCGCCAGTGCTAAGCCTCTCGGCAATCACATACTTTCGAGAGTTGGAAGACGAGGCGGTAGTCCTAGGCAGGGGCGAGCTCAGCACTAGACATGCCGGGCCGATAACTCGTGCCAGCCTCAGCTCTCTAGCTCATAGTGGTGGTTTGAAAGTAGGCTGGGACGACTATCGCCTTGGCGTGCTAAATTATTTGGAACAGAAAGGCATGGCTGGTGTTGGGGAGTTGATGTACAATACTATGACAAACGTGATGAAAAGGAGGTCGTTAATGGCGATGGCAGATGCCGCATAGTAAGTACCTAATAATATAATACGACTTGGTCAGATTATTCATTCGAAATCGACCGTGATCATGCAAGTATTATTCTTCATCTATTTTAATCAACCCCCCTAATACTATTCGAGGTCTGTCCTGTTGAAAGGGTATCTGAAACGACTCACCATCCCGCAATAACCACGGTGCTCTTCATTCTTTTATGCTAGTTCATTGACTTCATTCCAATCCATCCCTAAACGCCCCTACCTCGGCACAGATATCCGTGGAGCCCATTTACCATCCCCATCCCCATCCCCATGTTGAAAATGCGCCGTGCCATGCAAGTTAAGTGCATCCACCCTGGCCTCCATGGCCACCAAGCCAGACCCTGACATAGTCTCACCTCCCACCCATCCAAAAATATTCCATCCATCCATCCAAGCAAACCTACATCTTCTTGATATCCTCAAGCCCATACCCGCCAAGACCCCCCTGCGAATACGTTAGCCCCTCCGTCCCCATCTTCTTCTGGTTCCTCGGCCCCCTCTCCTTCAAATCCGACCTCAACCACCCCAGCACCAGTTCTCCCAGCCGACTGTTCCCCGTGCTCTCGCCCGTACCTATCTGGTCCAGAAACTGCTCGGCAGGCCCCCACTCGCGCACGGTACCCAAGTGCATGTGGACGAGGTGCGTGGGCCAGCCGGCGAGGTTATCCAGGATGTGCGTGGCGTACACGATGGTGCACTCCCGGATCTCGGTCTCGTGCTTCAGCCACCCGAGGAACTCGGCCCGGCTCAGCACGTCCAAGTCGACCGTGATCTCGTCGAGCAGCAGCACGGTCCACGGACGCACGAGTCCCATGGCTAGCTGCACGCGTCGCCGTTCGCCGTCGCTGACCGCGTGCATCCGCCACGCGACGTCGATGTCCAGCACGCCGATCAGCTCGTCCCGCCGCTCGGGATACGCGTCGCCGCCGACGGAGCGCAGGAGCTCGGCGACCCCGATGTCGGTCCGCACGATGGGGTTAAGCACCCATTCTAAGCCGAGGTACGTCACTCCTTCCAGCCCCTCTTTGAAGGGGTCGACTCCCGACACGTTGATGCTGCCGCTGGGCGCGAGACGCTTGCCAGCTAGTAAGCGCAGCAACGTTGTTTTACCCGCGCCGTTGGCGCCGATCAGAAGGGTGCGGCTGCGCGGCGGGACGTTTAGCGATACGCCCCGGATGCCTGTCCTGTAGTCGGGGAAGGTGTATGTCAGATCATTGACAGTGATCTCCGGCGGTTGTTGAGTGGATGCCATGTTGATGGGCCAGCTGACAAGTAGTTAGTTTCTTCTTTGAGCTACTTATTCTACCTGAGGTAAGTGAAGAAAGATGGATACCTATCTATGATAAAAGATGAAATTGGTTGCTAAGTGAAGTAGTCGAGGAGGACCGTGCCGGCCTTATGACTATTGTTTTCAGACGCCGTAATTGTGGAGTCGATTGACGATGTTGCAACCTATACATAGTAAGATCTGGATAGTTACAGTGCGTTCAGCTATAATTCAACACGGTGTTTTCCGTCGGAGTACGCAGGAAGCATGTAGTCCTAGGACTAAATATAACTAGGTACCTACATATCAAGGATTCACTTAAGAACTTAAGAGAGACGGCTCGCTTTTTGCCTGCAATTGAGTTCTCTTTACTTCGTTTGACCTCAACGATATAACCGGAAGTGATAGAGATATATCTAGTGAGCAATAAGTATAAGATTATCATTCATATCTCATATATGTAAGGCAACTTTACTCACATAATACTTAATACTGGCTAACCGGTTAAGTATTAGTAAATAGGCCGTGTAATGTAATCAGGAAATATGTCGTAGTGCCTCTTAAAGATGCACACTATGGAATTTAGTTGAAGAGCTCTGGGTCTTTGTTCCCCCGCGTAGGAATATCCGCCGCCCCGGAGCGTCTCGGCGTCTAGAAGTGGGCAAGCTTACCTTATTGAAATTCCAATACGTTCCAATGATGACACTTCGGCGTTTAGTAATAACGATTGCCACCATACCTTTCATAGAATAGCGACAGTTAAGTCGGAGATAAGTAATTAACTAACTTGGACATTATTAATTTGGCGGGGTCATAAATTCCATAAAGTCCCCCAGTACGAACGTGAATATCTAGATACAATTTCGAAAGTAATAATTAATTATTGTCTTATTTTGATATAGACTCTTAGAACTGTGACTTATTTAGTCCATGACCTTGCTATCAACTACCGCGCGACGAACTTTCACACAAGCATTGCACCATAATTCGAGAGTTCTGGTAACCCCTAAATTCTCACAGGCAGTCAACATGACAACCGCCGTTTTCAAACATATCGACGCATCGGCAATCCCGCAGGGGACGAGGCCATGGGCCAAAGTTGATATCGAAGCTACTTCGTTCAAGCTGGGTGACCATACGCGTCCGGTGAACAATATTAGAGGACGGGAAAGCGAGTTTACCACAGACAACTCCGGCTTTGCGGTTTACAATGAACCGTCAAATGAGAAGTCATTTACAGATGATGCAGCTGTGCGTGGCCCATACTATCAGGAAATCGAGAATCTCTTAAGGAAGCGAATTCCTGGTATCAAGAAGGTGGTCATATTTGACCACACCATCCGGAGACGTACGCCGGAAGCTGCCCGAGCTCCGGTACAGCAGGTCCACGTCGACCAGACGCCCGCCGCGGCCGAAGCCCGTGTGCGCCGTCATCTCCCAGCTGACGAGGCCGAGGAGTTATTGAAAGGCCGCTTCCAGATCATCAACGTGTGGCGGCCCATCGAAAACCCAGCAAGCGATCACCCCTTAGCCGTCATCGACTGGCGGTCGACGAAGCCAGAGGATTTCATCCCGGTGAACCTGCTCTATCCTAAGCGTGTAGACTTCGCAACGGACAAGGACGACAGGGGCAAGGAAGTGCGTCCCGACGACTCAACCAGATACTCGGCGGAAGGATACGAGGTCAGGGGCGAAACGATGTCGGTTGCGCCGAGCGACGCGCATAAGTACTACTACCAGAAGGACATGACGCCGGATGAGGTCATTCTATTAAAGTGTTACGACTCGTTCGGCGAGGGCCAACCCCAAGGGAAGGCGGGAATTGCGGTGAGGACGCCGCATACGGCTTTTATCGACCCCCAGACACCTAAGGATGCGCCCCCGCGGCAGAGCATAGAGGTGCGGTGCTTGGTCTTTTATGAATAGGTAGCGATGCTGTCGTGGCTCGGGGTGGATGTAGCTATAGCACCCATGCCTATCACACTATATATCCCCGATAGTTTTACAATAATTCGAGGGGTTGTCCTCTTAGAGCTATTTGACGATTTCAAGGCAACTTCACGTAAGATGGGGGTAGGGTTGTGAATATGTAAACCCCATTCCGCAGAAAACAGGGCCTGGTGGTTAGAACAGCGTTATAAATCCTAGTACACCATCAACCAGAGTGAATTAATCAAAGCCCACAACTCAGTCGAATCAGAACACATTATACACTTAAGTTAATTCCTCTGGAAACTCGCAATAACTATCGAATTCTTTTCGGCTCATATCTTCGGCACCTGATGGGGCCGAAAGGGAATGTTGCCTATATTCGAATAGTGTATAGCATATCGCCATTCTTATTTCCGCTTGTTCTTTATTCCCGAATAATGTGGCTACCTAATGCAAGCCTCAGCTGATATCCCTCTGCTTAGCTGATTATTCCTATACGAAAGGCTATTTTCTCCAACTATTCTAACGCCTGATTCTCCTACAAGGAACCCCAAATCACCTTAGCAGTGACCTCATAACTAGTTACAACGCCATTCCGGTCATCGGCTCCATGGCGATATCGGTGATTCACATTTGAATATTCGCGCCTAGGAGTCGCGATGATGGCATTTTTTGTAAAATCTGTCACTTGAGCAGCGTTGGTGGAGCTTGCATATCAGCTCATATGTAACGTCGGCTTAAAGGAATGAGTATTATGTAGATTTCACCAATCAATAGCATAATAGCAACCTCCCCGTGACTAAAGCCACTTGGGACTTCATCTTCGTAGGACTTAGAATACTAAACCTCCACCCCTCCATATAATCATACTGCTAAATCACTGTGCCGTTTATGTAGATACCAGCAACCTCCCCTCAAAGAGAAAGCCACCACAGGTCACAGGTCTAGATTTAGCCAACTTCTCTCTACCCTAGAACCGAGCGCGGGTTGAAACAAGGATTTAAATGCATATATATCTTATCAGCTGATATTGAATGCAGTGTATCACTGCGTAGGCTTGAGAACCTAGGGATTACAACGTAACCCCAAGGGAGCTATCATATATCTAAAATACAGCCTCTCGTGGCCAATCCAATTGTGTCGTTTATACATTCTTGCTTATCTTGGCACTGCGCCATAAGAAATATATACACCACGGAGATAGTATCATCAACCGAGGGGTTAGAATCCTATTGTAACGGGTGGGAAAGAAGAGGGGGTGGTTTGTATCACCTTGCTGTCCCGGTAGTTTCAGTGGTTTCACGGTAGATATCTCTACTTATAAAAGTGTGTGATTTTCTCTCTTAAGTCACCATGACAAGCTATCTTCTTAACAAGTCATTGTACCTCCTAGCTTTGTGTTTTCGTACCATAATTTCTTTTACCAAGCTTATACTCATCTCCTAGACGTCGTTGGACCCATTCGATCTCACTAGGTATGGCTGCTCTAGGTCGTCTGTCCGCTACTCTTCGAGATATCGACTCGAACTCGTTCGCAGACGAGGATGAGCGGTTGTTTGCGGAAGATATGCTTCTTGGTGCTTTAGCACGGGTCCAGTCGCCTTGGGATATCGCGTGGAACCATAATTTTGTGAATGCTACCACTCACGGTGCCATAAAGAGCCTCATCGATGCGGGTGTCTTCACGAAATGGGCAGAGAACGGAAGTAAGCCAGAAACCAGTACAAGTCTCGCTAAGATGACAGATACGGACCCTATCCTCATCAGTAAGTTAATAATATTTTATACTGTGTGTCATATTTGCTAATATTAAGAACTATAAAGAACGCCTTGTGAGACACCTCGCTTCGCATAATCTTCTCGTCGAGACAGAAGAGGATACCTATGAACCTTCCCCATGGGCAAAGACATTAGGGACCGATCAAGCATTTCCTTCCATATATGGGGCCTTCTACAGCGATATAATATCGGTGATGTCTAACGGGCTTCCATCGTTTCGTATGTTCTCTTAGTTCCCCATCTAAATATGCAGGACGAGCCCCCCTCCTAGCCTCTTTACTTACAAGCTTTTGTCGTAGTAAAGGAAACGGGGTTCAAGAACCCTACCGACAGCAAACACGGTGTCATTCAACATTTGCAAGGTCCATACGAGTCCGTTTTCGAATATATCGTAGCCGACCCGACACGTAGTAAAGACTTCTCTTGTGCGATGGAATGCCACTCGAGGTGGAACATGACAGCCTGGACCGATGCATACCCGACGGACATACTACTCAAAGACGCCAAACTAGATCGACCGTTGGTTGTCGATGTTGGTGGTAACAAAGGCCATGATCTAGAGAAGTTCTGGCTCAAACATCCTGAAATCCCAGACGGAAGCCTGGTAATAGAAGATCTCCCCGGGATCCTCTCGGAAGTAGAGATAACAAATAAGGCTATTTTGAAGCAGCCGTACGACTTCTTCACGCCACAGCCCTTGAGAGGTGCCCGTGCTTATCTTGTGGTATGTAGTATTGATATCCCCTCCCCCCTTTCCACGTAGAACGATTGCTGACATTTATGTTATAGCATAAAGTCCTTCACGATTGGTCGGACGAGCCTGCTATAAAGATCCTGAAAAATATCGCGGGCGGAATGGAGAAGGGTTACTCCAAACTATTGATCCACGAAAACCTAGTTGAGACAGTCAGACCGTCACGGCGGACCACCGCATCTGATATGATAATGCTAACCTACACGACTGCGGCAGAGAGGACCGAGACAGAGTGGCACAAACTAGTTAACGCCGCCGGGCTGAAGATAGTTAAAATTTGGAAGCAGCCTACGGCACTCGACGGTGTCATCGAAGTGGATTTAGCGTGAGGTAGGAAGGTGATCTGCGTTCCTGACTCGAGCGTTCAACACGGGCGAGTTGATAACATTACTGATGATATGCTCATGGTTGAAGAATAACTAAGTTGTTTCTATGCCTTTTCTGTTCACTTCATGGTAGAAATCAAAACCTGACCTTAAGACAAAACATTTTCGTCTATATCTAAGCTCTTAGAGATAGCATTAGTCATGCTAAAAGTAGTATAGTTTATTTCTATCAACAATAACACACTGATGAAATACAAAAAGGGATAAGAATAAGCCAAAGAGATGACATAATTTGCAATAGGAAGATTCCGATGTAATACGGCTGGGTGTTCCGAATTTCTGCAAAGCAAAAGACGGTACCGGCCGACCCCACTTCACGACCGAGGGTCCGGGGCAAGTCCATACGTTGAATCCCGACGCCGAGAACCGCGGCATAATTCCAATTAGCCAGCAAATGTCATATGACTCACTTTGCTTGGAAAATATTTTAGTGATTTAAATGTTCTTTAGGAATTGTCATTAACTTACTTAAGTTGAACAAGATTACGGGTTAATATCGTACAAAGATGCAAGTAGTATAATCGACTGCTTTATTAATACCAGTCTTAATTTTCTATACTTACATACACAAACGAACATTAAGGATTAAGTCCCTAAATAAATTGTTAGCTGTACCAGCCTAGCAGTTTATTTTTTAGTAAAGGGATTAGTATTTATTATATTTTAGCAGTACTTTAGCGATTGATTTTGTAAGGGAGTTTGTACACACTACAATTATCCTCAAGCATAAATCTAACCTCGTAATACGGCGTCTAAATGATTACAACGGGGCTTATCTAATGGCAACTTAAAATATGATATATTCGAGAATGCGTCATGTCCGTTGGAAAATACTTTGAATTTGTGACGTGAATGGCTTCGACAGTCCACCTCGTGGCGGTTAACACTGTATGATGATTTTTAACATATTGGGATTTCGATAGTAGGATAGCCAAGGGAAATGAAATCATAGTAGCCAGACTACCTTTAATGCACAGGAGGGTCGCGGAACGTCATATTAGACTTCAAAGTTAAGTGCTGATGATAAAATGTACGCCACCTTGGGACAATCGACAGCAATGTAAATACACATTTAAGTTATCATTGTTGACAATGCCAAGCGCCTAAACTAGCTAGACTGCTAGATAGTTGGCCGTGATCGCACGAATTATGAATCTCAAATATCTTAGATCAGATAGGGGTAGTATGAGGTCATTCCCAGTCGAGTGTTTGTTAGCCCAGCCGGTGACGTAGGATTTCTAGATTTGGCCACGGTGTCTAAGAAATTATCGTGACCACCGATAGTTGGCGTCTTCTTTATGTGACTGATAGACTGGCAGACATTTAGTTCATTAAAGCAGCAGGAAATTGGCAAATCAGGAAATGAGAGAACGCAAATCGATGGGCCACTGGATATTTCGATCTCAAACTCAACGCCTTTTAAACGACCAACGCAGCGGTACAGATACGAGAGTGAGTACCACGTCTGATGTCAGATTCATATGTCATTGCCGTTCCAGGATGAACACAAGCGGGAAGCTGGCTGTCTGCATCACCTGGGATGGAAATCGATGGTGGTGGGAGTATACATGAAGAGTTGACATCCAGAATACCTGAGGGTTATGATTCGCCTCGGGTTTCGTCATCACGTGGGATCGCTGGGGACGAGTGAGGTCAGCTTTCACCGTGAAGGTTCGGGAAGGGTTTACTTAGTGACTTTAGTGGCGAGAGGGCCGAATCGAGACTGTAAATCCCCCTGCTACTACATATCGACGGATGCAGCCTTTTTGTTCCTCCCGACGTTAATCTAAAGGGAATGTGTGGGGATCTAATGCGTGGTAGGCAGAGCCTCGTCCAGCACATTTGCTAGCTGAATCGAGAAATAAAAATAATTGCGTGTACGTGTTCGAAGTGTATGTAGTAACTAAAAAAGATAAGCCCCGTCGTTGGTTACATAGAATTTAGCGACGACATTGTTCGGGTTGAGTTTGTAGCTGACATCATAAGGCTTAGCCGTTCACAGAGGCGGGCCGTCGAGGCACGGACCAATTCTGACCTCACAGGCCCGGCGGACAGAAAATTGACAGCTGACAAGATCTCATTTACACCTGATAACCTGATAACTTAGGTCAGGTACCTACATGTATTTGCGTAGCACAATTCTTCGTATTACAAGATTACAAGATTACAAGATTACCACCTGGCGGATGTCACCGATCAGCCGATGTGTTTGCCCAATTACATAGAACCATAAAATATAGATTAATATCGGAAAGCAACTTTTATTAACAACTTAACCTATCATTTTATCTTCAGTTGTCTAGATGGGCCTTTCTTGAGGATCGAGACTTTTCGCCTAGGTACAACTATACCTTAACCGGTATCGGTAACCAGTAGGCAGATCAATGCTTACCCCCTCAGCCCCCTTGGACCCCTATTTTATTTTTTGCTCGAGTCTAATCGACTTATGTAGCTTTTGCGAGTCTGTCGTCGGGCTAGACGTGCATCCTGCTTGGCTCGGATCTAATCCTAGCATTGCAGTGCATGCTGAGGTGCAGATTTACCAATAGCGGTCTTTCCTTTTAAACTCACGTATGTATTACCTCGTCTGCGCGACCTTACCACGGAAACCCTGAACTTCTTAGACACGTTTACTACTACATAGTCAATATGTGTAAGACATGCATCATCAATTATCTACTGATCGAAAAGTATGCTTAATATGACACCAATAATAGAAATTTTGGTAAAAAATACTATGGCCTCGATTCGTACTAGCGGCGTTAAGAGTTGGTATCGAACCAACGATTAGAGCCGGTAGATTCTCGTTTCCAAGTTTAAACTCTCGTGTGTACCTACATACACTACCTACATACACTACCTACATACACTACCTACATACACTACCTACATAATGTCTGTAACACTTACATATGTATTAGACAACCCTTACGGGCAATAGGAGTAGCACAAGTCTTTTCCAAACCCTTGTTTCAGGCAACCGGAAACGCAAACACACATGTTTGTGGGCTTTTAACGGGATTTTTCCATTTGCGTTTGGACACATAAGTTGTTAATTTCGATACAGGTAATTCTTATATGTAGGTACATATATAGGTACACGGACTTGGAAATTCCTGTGTTGCAGTCACCGAATCGAAAGCGGTACATATCCTGGTTCGCTGCACGTGCTTATTACATTCGCCGAAATCTTATTACAGCAGTCATATGACGTCAAGTGAATATTTTATTAGTTCTGCGAAAGCTTAGGTAGCTAACAACCTACATAACTATGTATTTCATAGGTAGTTTAAGTACATTATTTGTTATTAACATCTTCACGCAACCGATTGACAAGATATAATATCCCGATATTTAGAAGCCAGATTTTATTAAAGCCGTCCAAAAAAAAGGGTTGTAAACACCCACCAGCCGGGATCATGATTGTAATACGTACATATTATGCTAGTGCAGGTCTTTCCGTCCGGCCTCCACTCCGCTCGCGGTACAAGGCATAGCTGCCAATAGAATGACATACGCGATGTCTTCAAAGGTCGAGACAAGATCGCCAGGGTCTTTTCCTAATCGTCTACGGTGGTCCCCACGATAGAGGTGTGTTTCTCACGGGTGGGGGGAAGAGGAGAGCCATGGAATAAATACACTACATGGGAGATATGGGAAGGACATGGGAGAGAGACATGTTTACACTACTCCTCCCCAAGCCCTCCGCTTTCTTTATGTCCTCACCCGTTAGCGGCTGACTGAATGCAGAATGACATGCCAATTTTTTACACAATGCACAAATACCCCTTTCCGCCGTGCCCGCCTTCCAATTCGATGGTGTGGTGCTTATTAGTGGTTTATGGGGTGGCATGGTCAATCAACTACGTAGTAGCGAGCCTGCAAGTCTAGTACAAGTCTGGAGACTTTGGAGGGGACAATGCATCATCAGCCTTGTTCGTGGCGAAAGTCTAATGGCCCTGGTTCGGTTATTGGCTTGTCGCCTCTCACTTACGACATAGCCTGCAGGCTTGGTTTCCCATCCCGGCACTAAAACGGCGTCCCTACATGTCGATCAACCCCCATCCTGAACCTCTCAGCGTTCTGTTTGTATCTGTGTATGTATGCAGTAAGGTGGTGGCAGTAAACAACCCAAGCTATCTTCTGACTAGTTCACAGCTTAGAGGGTGGACTGCCTAACCTACCTAGGTAGTTCTATTAATTCCCAGCCCCAACATAGCACCTCTTCTTTGATGAAGTCTAGTTCTTCTGAGGTCACGGCCCGCTCTAGTTCAATTCTTCATATCCCCCTCTTTTCTCGTCTTCATCTTTACATATAAAACCTCGAGACCTCACGTTTCCGTTCGCTTGTCATTACGATCTAACGATAATACCTATTCATCTTAAAGATATATACTGAGTTACGAACCGACTTCGGTCTTGTACCACTACCAAATAGCCAACTTGATCTTTTGAATTGTCATATTAAACCCGCCTTGACGCCGTATTCTTCTATTAAACATCGCATCACCAATCCTACACCATGTCCGCACGAGGTTCCTACAGTATGGCCATGCCATCATCTATCCCCCCGCCTGTAGATCTTGCGAGTTATGCTCGGTCAATGCACCTACACACAAAGAGGCAAATGGAGGCAGCAAACATGCCCACAAGTCGGCGGAGTCATCGGTCGTCGCGTACCCACGTACCCGGTCTTCCCAACGGCACATCAGCGACTTCATCGTCGAGGAGTCCGGATGAAGTCGAGTACCACGATTGAAATACATGTACGAATAAGAGGAGTCAAGAAAAACACCAATTTAATATAAACGTACACGAATATGTCCCATGAAATAACGGGACATTGGCGGGGAAAAAAAACCAACAACAACCAGCAACACGAATTGGCTCAGCTCGGCCGAGTTTAGCAGCCGGATATGAACGAACACTTTGTGAGGCGTTCCGGATTCTATTAGGAAGGCGAATACACACGCATATAAGCGGGAATCCTTGCATTAGTCGGGATTTACGACGGACAGCCGACCGCCCGCGAGGGAGCGCGGGTTTCAGGTCCACGGCTGGGGAGTTATTACATTACATGGGAAAGCGATTGGGAAGAGTGTACGTTTAATCAGCAAACGCAAACGCAACGCAAAGCAAAGCAGTTCTGGCGAAGGGCGTCGGACAACAAAGTCGTCGGGAATTTTGTGGTAGTGGTATTCTAGGCAACGCACACACGAGAACCACTAAGCGACCGTGATAGACGAGTCGTACGAGAACACGAATCTGATTGATTGATGATCCCCCGGATACCCGGGATGATCGCGAACATCCATCTCAAACCTTTTCTGTCTTTTCTTGTTGCGCTTGACGTGTGCTGGCATATTGTGACATATTGACCGCTCTTATAGTAATCTTGTGACACTTCTATGGGCCAATTGCTTATACCTTGTTGCCTTTTCTTGGTTTTTATTTTTTTTTTCAATTTTTTATTTATTGTGCCTGGTATATCTTCTAATCGTCTAGCATGAGTCTCATTTGTTGGCGAAATTTACTCCGATCTGGTTGCTCTACGATGAACATTCCTACATATCTACCTATTTCTAAATATAAATATTTATATCTTTTATCCCGAATCTGCATTTCCAAATAAATCCGCTCAATCATGACTGAAATTACAGACGAAGATTACTCTAGATTGCGGAACCGACAGATCCATGCGGGACGCGGGATACGATGTCGATCTTTGCACGTCCCTGGTAGCCCGGGGTGGAATGTCGGTAAGATATGTCGAAGCACATCACGTTGCCCAACGATACCCGCTGTTAGAACCCCCTCATGGAACTACGATACTTTTAATTCGTCTTTGGCAAATGCGTGTCGGCTTGAACGGGACAGGGGTTTCTGATAGAAATGGAGACTTCTCCATTGAGAAGAGTTGGTTTAATCATCGCGGCTTGCCGGCAGACGGCCAACTATGGAGATACGTTTGTTATGCTTAAGATTATCTTCATTATTGGATGGAGTCGCGGCTCCGTATTGTCATTTGTAAACCGGCCTAATATCCATCGCTATGCTATGCTATACCACGCTATCACATGCCACCCGAGTCGTCATAACTAATTGCAATCTCGACTCATTTATACGAGAGGGGTCTTCTTCTTGATACCGAGCGCTGCCGCGTGATCCTTTTTCTTCTTTACTACCCGCTTGAATGATGGGGGCGGCATGTCCTTAGATGGCACATTTGCCGCCGACGATGATGACGCTGTTGCTGGTTGGGCTTGGAGGGTACTGTTACCGTTACCGCTACTTCCGGGCGTGAGCACCGACGTCGAAGCGGACGCCACGTCATCCATTTCCTCGTCTATAACGTCTTCGGTCATGCGGTCGACCTGTCTCGCGAACTCAAAAGCCCTTCTTGCCGCCTCTGCGTCTTCTTTCTCCTGCCGCTCCGCTTCATTATCGATGGGTAGCGCAACGCCCACTTCTACGCCATCCTGATTCGCACGTTCTAATCGGGCATTTCTCGTGCGTATCTCGTCTAGGGCGTCCGCGACCGCCATCTCACGCTTCGCGTCTACGGTCTTGGCCTCAAGCTCTACCATGGCGTTCCGCTCCTCTTCCTCCTTCTCTAACCTGTCTAGCCGCTCTTCGTCCGTCTCATCCACTCCTACTCGCCATGGCTCTGTGCTCCGTTTTGCTCCACTCTCGCAGGCCTATGATTGAGGTTAGAGAACGAACGGAATTCATATGGTGTTGCGTTAGTAGAGGACTGGGACTGGGACATACGTAGTCTTGGTTCTTGGGATCTGTCTTGAATGTGATTTGTCCGCTGCATCTTGTACATCGGATATAGAATCCTGTCTTATATTAGTATTATATAGGGATACTTGGTAATTGATTGCTGCATAGGATAGGCAAAGAAGAAGAATAAGTTGTAACATACTATCGAATATGTTAGCTTCATCGAGGATAATAAAGTATGAGAAAGGTAGACGCTTGGCATGTACCTGAAAATCTGAATGCCTAGATATTTCTCGTCTAGGGGCGTCTCTTTTCGCGCGTTGAACTAAATTTTAATATTAGCATGAGTGCCATCCAGAGGACATCCTGGGATTAGACTCGTACCTTTCTACCTTTGTAGATGTACTCTCCACATGTAGTACATTTCATAGAACTGCCAAGTATTAATACGTGGCTCACTCTAGAGGCATATTTACTCCAAGAACATTACATACTACAAACACGTTAGCTTCTATATAAAAGGAATATATCGGGATCGAAGGATAACATAAAAATATATTTCGAAGACTTCACATACCAATGGTGCTGCCAGGCGGACAGTCTGAACCTTTGGGCCGGCATTTTTAGGCCCCTTAACCCTCTTGATCTGGCTTGGATCGAAGTCAGGGGGGTAGTATTTGGCTGCAAACAGTTAGGACTGAAAGCGGACAAAGCGATGGCTATTATTCAGGGGTTGAAGATGATATAGAACCATGGTTGGGGGAAGACATACTGAGAACTTTTCGTTCAGACATGGTCCTTGACTTTACGAGATGAACGGGGAAGTCGAGTTTGTGGGGCTATTCGTTCCTAGGTAACTACTTCGTTTCGATGAGACGCGTCTTATGGCGATGCGTTTGAAGACGTGAATAATCGTAAGGCGATAAGATAAATGTAGTACCAGAATAGAATAGAATGTACTAAATGTGAGGTAGCAGTTGATTGGTAGGTACCTATTTCGGGTACGGTATCAGGTGGAGATGTGGCGCTAGTCACGTGGTGTTCAACCTCACTTACCTGGTTATTCACCGTGACGCCAGGACGCTCACCTTGAAGACTGCGGCTGAAATTGGGGCTTTTAGAAAAGATACGAAGATACATCATGTCCGGTATTGATAAGATTTGCTCCACTTCCCCGTGCGGGTATGATGCATGCCAAGACTTTATAAACTGGGACCAATCTATAATTCAAGCCTCGTTAATTCCTTCGTGTAGATATGAGATGATAGATGCATTACACCAAATCTGGTTTCGATCTAATGGGGCTAACCAGGCATGCCTCCGTCATACTAGGTCATAAATTTCGGACTGGATCTGAAGAAATGACTTGCCATCGGTGGTATGTATGTAGGAAGGTCGAATTATGATGCTTTTTTAGGGCTGTTAAACGAGATTCGTCAGCGACATAGATTGGTCCCAGTGCCATAGGTATTCTGGGGGAACGTCACCGACGATCTTATTAAGATCCAATATTACTACCTCCTAGAACTTAGATGGATCTTACGCAAGCTTATTACTATCATAGACTGTTCCATTATTTAACCCTTTGTGTGTTATTGATGATTGTAGAATTGTCCACTATGGAGCAGATTCATCTTCGATCTCGAATCCCAGCCTCGAACATTTCCGCTAAGGTGTCCCATTTTCCTGCAGCAGCGTCGCCACTGGCCCTTGCAACTCCTCTCAGCCCGCTACAAATGAATTTCAAGTGGCGATCCATGTCCGCTCGTATGTCACTAAGGACTTCGGCGAACGTCTTTTCCTTATCTTGCATCATCGACGTCTTGTCCTGATCCAAGAGAAATGTTTCGTCTTCCTCCTCGCCACTCCCCATATACCGTCGACTATGCTTCATGGGTGAAGACATTACTGATAATCGTGATAACTCCTGTTCCTCTTCCTGTTCCCGTTCGGATTCTAGCTGGCGTGCATCCTGGAGCCTGATAGTAAGATCAAACATGTCCAGAATGCATTCTCGGATAGGATCAAGCTTGCTGCCTAAACACACTTCGCTGATGACCTGTTTTGTATACGCACTGTGTAATGCGGTCATAGCAGTTATGTCCTCTGTATGCCGAAGGTTCTGGTGAAGCTCAGCCGTGAGTGGCTCTAAGACCAACGTAATTAGGTAGGATCGAAGCGTATTGCAGAACCACAGGAGTTTCGCTCTGAGGCCATAATAGGTTGTTTGGTCCGATGACGTATTCGGTGTACCCGCAATGTTGTCAGAGACTAAGCGGTATTTGTGAAGGACGTAAGTAGCCCGACGAAGCTGCAGTAAGAAAGTAAAGACTGCTTCATATTGGACAAGACTCTCATCTGATAAGATAATCCTGATCGGCCAGGACAAACGATAGAGGATCCTAACAAGCGGCAGACCCTTGCGAACCGATCTTCGAATATCTTTTACATCATCTGTAAGACTATCTGTGGCCACGCTAACGGCTAGTCGATGAGCGTTAATAATAGTACTGAATGTCTCATGTGCTAGAGCGGTCAAGTTGAAGTGATCATGCCAGTTTGAATTGAGGAGATCCATATTGTTGAAGATAGCAAAAGCGAAGAGGTCGGACTGTGCCCCATTGGACATAAGGTATACTTGCCGAAGCGCATCCATAACTGACCAGAGACTACAAGACTCGAAGAGAGTCCGTCGAAGAGTTGTAGATGCAGCGTGATGTTTACTCTCCATCCATTTCTCAAAAATATCGCCAAAGACTTCGGAAAATGGCGCGAAGACGCCATATGTCGATATAAGGTCTCTGTTAACATCTATGGGCGAGTCCGCCATATGAGTATTGGCTGACTGATACTTTCCAAGGAGCTTAAGTACAACGACGCTCTTGCCGGTGGTGAGTATTCTTGACGCAGCTGGTCGTAGAAATCGTGGTACATATAATGTGCCGTCGGTTGTTTTTCGCAAAGTATACTGATTTGACCATACTTGGCTCATGGGGACTTTGCTCGGCGAGCTAGAGATGAAGAAAGCTTTATCGTCACCTATGAGCTCTCCAGCCTCCATCCAAAGACGAATAGATCGAAGGTAAACTTGGAAACACTCGAAAAATAAGGCAGCAATAAACTGATACACCGCATCGTGTCCCTCCAATTGGGCAAGTTCAGCAGCCTCAAAAAGAAGTTCCAAGTAATAAAACGGACGAGGGTACCTTGATCGTTGGAGCTGCTGGATAATTTCCGAAATGCTAATAAGTGGTTGTAGATGAGGTTTTATATCATCTAGAACTCGGACCAGACTGATCACAACGTCTTGCTGAATATCTACGTATCGGGCTTGAAAATTCGAAATTTCGCGGTCGAATGATCGAAGTCGATCCTCAACTGCCTCTCGGAATACTTGTAATAGCGGTATATTCTGGGGCTGCTTTATAAACTCGCGAAGGATGGACAGTTGTCGGCCAGCTTCGCCGAAGGAGCCTAGTAGCGCCTTATAAAGTTCCCAGGAGGTATGCTTCAGTTGGAATTGTAACGAAGGTACCCCTTGTCCGTCGAATAGGGTATTTTCAAGACCATTTAGCATGAAAAGCACTTCGCGCACGACGTGAAACTCGGATAAGGTGATCTTATGAGATCTTCCTGTTGGTTCCTTCGATGGCGTCGCATTCCTCCAATGCTGAGTTGCTTGCACTTGTTCTAGTAGTTTCTCATCTTGAGACTCGATAAGGAAGTCGGTGGGAGATTTCTGATATTGTGTTTCGACGGTTGATGCCGAGGTGAGCTCGGCGTTAGAGGACAGATCAGATACACTTTCAAGATATTCGTCTTCAGAACTATCCCCGCCAAACTTGACATTTTTCCAGAGGTCGCGATCTTGATCCCAGCCTTCTTCTTTAGCGATGTCTTCCCATTTAAGAGGAGGGCCAATATTTTCGCTCAAGTCTTTGAGTAACTTTAGGTCAGCTAGCTTAGATTTCTGAACAGGCTGATCCTCAAGTAGCAACAAGAAGTGGAGGACTTCGGGTGTCAATTTGCTAGAAACATGTGGAAGAGCGTCTAAACGTTCCCTTAACGCATCTGCCAACCCATCTTTGTTGATGACACAAAAATGCTCTTCGAGCCCGTTGAGTTTATCCTCAACATCAAATTGGTTCGTACGTAGAAAGCTGTGATGACGAAGTCTTCGCAAGCTAGACTCTTTGAGAACATTAAAACGCCCAGGATCTGACTATCGACATGTGTAAGTGAGTGTGAAATAGGGTAAATAGTAATAGTCTACCCTACCCACCTGGCTTGATGTCGAAGTGATGATCTCGACCAACTCCTCAGTTAATGCGCCTAATGTCGCGGCGTGTGCCATACTGAATGTTTTATTGTTTTATTCGTACAAGGCTAATATTTCAAGCAAGGCTAGAATGAAATATTATGAGGCTCATTCATTAACCCGACATTTTCCCAATCGCATGTTCTTTCACAACATATGGATGTACACATGTATCCAAGGCCTTTAGGAGGTGCATTGAAGTTAAGGCCCATATTCGGAAGCTTATCTAATAAAACCTTATCAAATTGATACGCGTCGACGCGATCTGTACACTAATTACTGGGGTTGTGCCGGGGTATGACAGGTTTTAACAGTGCGGATAATGCATTACTTCATATATCACGTGCTTCCAACACTGTGGCTCCCCCTTTCCACTTGCTTATACGGTACCCACTTTCGATTTTATGTACAACAGATTACAGCGTAACCAAGATTTTCCGATACCTCATAGGTAGCCCGTACCTAATCCATCCCTCTGAACATTCTGAACATTCTGAACATTCTGAACATTCTGAACATTCTGAATATTCTAAACATGTGCCATTTGGGCCACGACTCCTGACGAAACCCTTCTATTCACCTGTACATTTCCCATCACTTAATTGATTCTCTTTTTCTGCCTTATTATGATCGCTTCTGCGATATTCTAGGCTATTCATTCTTTGACATCATTCTCTCGAAGTAGACACGAACTTGGGGCGGTAGACCTTTTGGTGAAGTTAATGAATATAAAACAGCAACTACTATAATGGCCATCGCAAGGCCCGTCCGCGCTCTTGCGCTAGCTGTCTTTATAGTCTGTTGTTTTTTCCTATACACGATATGGCGCCCGGCTTCTGGTGTACCCAGCATAAAGACTTCTGCCGACTTCCACGGTACCATCGAAAGGGATCCTAATTTGGATCGTGAGTCTTCCCTAGTTTATTCTTTATTCGCTGTGGGCTACGTCTAACAATCTGAATAGCCACGGGAGAGCCCGAAGGTAAACTCGTACGCGCAACCGAAGGGGGGTACGCCCCCGGCATCGCTGGTACCTCGAGAATCAATGCGACGATCCTGACGCTAGTACGAAACGAGGAGCTAGATGGAATATTGCAGTCGATGCAGGACTTGGAACGAACATGGAACTCCAAATTCAATTATCCGTGGACATTCTTTAACGACGTCCCCTTTACCGAGGAATTCAAGAGAAGGACACGAGCGGCGACTAAGGCTGAAACGCGATATGGTAAGTGCAATGCGACTATGGGCTTCTCGATAGGGTTGATACTAATTTAGCACTGTAGAACTTATTCCGAATGAACACTGGGATACACCGTCTTGGATCAATGACGACTTGTACAAGGAATCAGTCAAGATTCTCGAGGAGAATGAAGTCCAATATGCCGACAAAATTTCGTATCACAAGATGTGTCGATGGAACAGTGGACTTTTCTATAAGCACCCTGCGCTAAAAGACATGCAGTACTACTGGCGTGTCGAACCTAATGTCCATTTCTTCTGCGACGTGGACTATGACGTATTTCGTTACATGCAGGACAACAACAAGACATACGGTTTTACCATCACCCTCTACGATGCTCCTAAGTCAATCCCGACTCTATGGCCGGAGACAACCAAATTCATCACGCAGCATCCAGAGTATCTACACGAGAACAGGGCCGAGCAGTGGTTGACTGATAAGCAACGGCGTCCTGTCCACTGGGAGCAGGCGAATGGTTATTCGACGTGCCACTTCTGGACTAACTTCGAGATCGCGGATATGAATTTCTGGCGAAGCCAGGCATACGAGGACTACTTCAACCACTTGGATCGTGCTGGTGGCTTCTTCTATGAAAGATGGGGTGATGCACCTGTACACAGTATAGCACTTGGTCTATTCGAGGACAAGAGCAAGATTCATTGGTGAGTATTCTCGTCCTATAGCAACGAATTCAGTATGCTAACCTCTTCTAGGTTCCGCGACATCGGATACCAACATATTCCTTTCTTTAATTGCCCTAACTCGCCGAAATGCAGAGGCTGTGTTACCGGTCGTCTAACTGATGGCGAGCAATGGTTAAATAAAGAAGACTGCCGACCTAACTGGTTCAAAGTCGCTGGAATGGGTTGAATGTGACCTCAAAAGGGAGGTTTTAGGATAGGTAAAAGTACAATGGCTGCACGACATTGTCCGATGCTGTACTAATGTCTGGGAAATCCCATTACGGATAAGGATAGCATGGCGGCATGCGGTGTTCGGCGTAGAAGGAGAGGGTGCTTCATAGAAGGAGGACTGTTTTCTTAGGTTGGCATGGTATAATCAACCAACTATTTTTGCCTGGATCCGATATTAAGGATTGTCCGTACTAGGTGTCAAAGTATGCTGTTTGATACGTTGGATATCCTTTATGAAATCGCAAGACTATTTGAATGATCTAGGTTAGGGAAGACTTGTATCAATTATATCCAAATACCGTGACAATACCAGATGTACCACTAACACAATATTGATCCCCAAATCCATTCTCCCTCCAAGAAAAGCAACTTAGGACATTGCTACGTTCCTTGGGCTTACCATCTTTACCAATGAACTTCTTTGGTTCAAGACCAGCAGGTCCCCAGGGTACAACTACTTTAGCTTTCAACTCCCCCGTGAGAACATCCCATGCCCATATCCTCCCTTCTCCGTGCCGACCAGGCGCACCTGTCATCTCATCCCCCGCCAGGACGAATTGCTCTTTCCCACCAAGAATAGACTGGACACGTAGGTCTTCATTCTTCCACTCAGGATCAGAGTATGTCTTTAGACATCCTCCACTCTCCCTATCCATTAAGCGGAGCTTACTATCGAGACTGCTCACCAACATAGCCTTTCCGTCTTTCGTTAAGCACAGGCTTGTAACGCTAGGACCAATGACATCAGTGGTACACCGCCCCATACGCACATCGTACGTCCTAACGCGTCCATCGACGCTACCACTAACGATCTCGGATCCGCGCACGGCAACAGCGCTGATGGAGTCGCGGGCTTCGGTTAAGACCTGGATCGGCTTGAGGGAGTTGCTCTTCACGTCCCAGATTCGCACGCTGGTATCAAGACTACCGCTCACGAGAAGACTATCGTCCTCACCAGCGAAGGCTACGCAGTTGATACGCGCGGTGTGGCTTTGCTGAGTGCCGCCGAAGCGCCGTAGTGTCTGCGCCGATGCTACGTCCCATAGGAAGACGGCGCGGTCACCGCCTGACGACGCGAAGCGCGCGTTGTCCGAGGCGACGGTCAGCGATAGCACCTCGTACCCGTGCGCCGAGTACGTCTGAATAAGGCGACCTTCCGGTACGACCGGGGGTCCAGGGTTGCTCTTCTTAGTGATATGCGAATTTGGGTGGATAGACGTGCTGGGCTGCGGGTTGTACAGCCTGATGGACCGGTCCGCGGAGCCGGCTAGGATGTACGTCCCCGGCGAGGCCGAGTACGCGAGCGCGTGAACGGGGCCTGTGGGTGGATGCTGAATTAGCGACTTATGGCTGGGTCGTCTCTAGAGTAAGATGCGACTTACCATTAGAACCTAGTAGGTGAGCGATTGGCTTGTCCGGAAAAGTCATTGTTTGATATCGCGTCGATATCCATGACCTAGTTAGATTCCAACCACTTATACGCCCGAGATCGAGGTCAGTCACCTCTGCATCGTACAAATTGTCTCCACTTTTCCTCGAAGCTTAGAAAGTCCAAGAGGAGAGGAAAGCTGTGGGAGTAAGCTCTGGATTTATTATCTGGTAATTAAAAATTAACAACAAAGAATTTGTTATGGTTGGGTGAATTGAATAAATGAATGAATGAATGAATGAATGAATAAGGGCGTGGTTGAGTACTATTAATTAAGTCTATCCCGGGCCGCCGAGTGACGTCTTATCTTATCAAAGGCCGCCCGCCACTAATAATGTACCGTCAAAACTAAATACCAGTACTTATCGATAAAGACTTTATTTTAGCTTTACACCGGCTCCAGAATCCAGATTTTTTTTTTTTTTTTTTTGTAAAGCTTCAACAAGTTACTTACATTGCTACGACTTGTATTAAAAGATCAAGTGATTTTCTAGGAGATTAGACTAGGGCTTGACGCAGAGCGTTTGCAATGCTTCGATTGAGCAGCCGAAGCGCACGCCGTATCGGAACCTCATACATATGCACATCATGTCTTGCCTGTCATTCGACAAGGTCACTGACATTCCGTCCCACCTTGATCCCTAGTCATAATGGCAATGGCCGACATCTCTCAAGCACATCGCGCCTTCTTGCGCCCACGGCCGAAACCTCAACGCCGAATTCTACTGGTGCCGAAAATATAGAACCCCCACCACCAGAAGCGCCGAAGAAGAAGAAAAAGAAGAAGGCTCAAAAGGAAGAAAAGAATCTCGCCGCCCAGGCTGAGGGTGAACGCCAGCTACAAGTTCTGCAAGGCGCGCTTCAAGCATTAAAGAATGTTCTCGCTGCGCAGAACATTAATGTCGACCATATCGGAAAGCCTGGTAATCAGGTCAACCAAAAAGACTTAGAGCCAGAAGCAATCCCCAAGACTAAGGCTAAGGTTAAGGCTAAGGTTAAGGCCAAGAAGACAGAATCTGCGGACAACGATGAAGGGACTCAAAAGTCACAAGATTCTTCAGAGAAGAAGGAACCAAAGAAGAAGTCGAAGCGAAAAGCATCAAGCGAAGAAGATATAGCGACGGCTGATGGTGCACCGGAGCAGGCTGCAACGGAGCAGGCTGCAACTTCAAGTGGCCGCTCTAAGAAGGCTGCGAAGAGGGCGGCGGGCCGCGAAAAGCCAAAGCAGAAGACGGCTCCTAAGCTGATCAGGAAGGTAGCTTCAAAGGCTCCGAAGGGAGAAGCCAAATCTAAAAAAGGAGTCTCGTCTAGCGCTCCTCGCGAGCGAATGCGAAACGTGGACAGCGCTGATGTTTGGGGTAATTATAAAATCATCGGCGAAGATGCATCGGAAGCAAAAGAGTCAGAAAAGGGGACCAAGTCGAATAAAAGACCACCTTTGGATATCAGTACTATATCCGCCAATGATCTACGTCCAGAACCCGTTCATACGGTTCATCCGTCAGTCCCGGGATTGTCCTACGGTCTTGACAGGGTCCTGTTTAACCCCGGCGTCTATCACTTACAAGATCCTCGTTCCCGAGTCTACAACTTCGACCCATATCTCTCAGAGATTATGCCAATTCAAGAATTCGACTTCAACGCTCTGAAGCAGTATGTGACCTCATCTAAGGACTCTACACTTATTGGTATGGCGAAACAACATGGCAAGAGATACACGGGTTCGACCTCAAGTATGACATCCATGCTTTCTCACTTCCACTATCTCCTGTCGTCCTGGCGAGAAATCAACACGTCAATGCTGTCAAAGGGTTTCAACACGGATTCTCTTCAGTTCACCAAGATTATGAAAGGTCCGGCGGCAGTATTCTTGCATTGGAAAGATGGCACTTACGCCATAGATGCTGATAAGGAATTTGACACGGCCAATATCTTGAGCATGCTTGGGAAGTCCATGGAGAAACTTCTCACTCTCTCTAAAGAAGAATACGAGCGGTACAGACATACCAACTCCGACCAGATCACCGAAGAAGAGCGAAATGCCGAAGAAGCCTTTCACTATACCAAATTCCTTGATTTCATGATGCGTTCTCAATTAGATGCGCACGATCCAAGGGTGCCTGGGTCAGGTATGTTTGACCTTAAGACGCGTGCAGTTGTATCCATTCGTATGGATGCGAAAGGATTTCAGAAAGGTCTCGGCTACGAAATTCGTAACCGATTCGGCCAGTGGGAGTCATTCGAACGAGAATACTACGATATGATTCGTTCCGCATTCTTGAAATATTCTCTCCAAGTCCGTATGGGTAGAATGGACGGCATATTTGTCGCATTCCACAACACTCAACGTATCTTCGGCTTCCAATACATCCCCATAAGTGAAATGGACCTTGCATTACACGGAACATCGAACACCACTCTCGGCGACAGGGAATATAAACTCAGTCTCGCCTTACTTAATGATATTCTGGACCGCGCCAGCAAGAAGTTCCCAGAGCAATCTCTCCGAATGCACTTCGAGACAAGGACGTCAGCGAACGCGCCATTCATGTATATCTTTGCAAAGCCAGTGTCCCAGGAAGATATTGATGAGGTTCAAAATGCTAATAGGGCGTCTATTGAAGCATTTGAAAGGGAGGTTCTTGGTTTAGCTAAAGAGGAGGCAGAAGCGGAAGCGGAAGCGGAAGTTGAAGCCGAGGCCGAACCCGAGGCCGAACCCGAGTCTGTTGATGAAAACGAGAACGTGGTTCAGGGAGAGGTTGAGGGAATTGAAAAACCTACCTCATCTCAGGAAAGGTCGAGTCTGGATGCTTGGAATGAAGTGCGTCAGATGGTCGAAGATGCTGTGGATGACGACGAAGTCGGCGTCGGCGCTGTGAGGGAAGCAATCGAAGACGCTCTGGAACAGAGCGGGCTCCTTCACGCGAAATCGTCCACTGAAGCGCGGGGATATGTTGATGCCTTACTCAGCGCCATTACCAATAGCAGATCCGCTAAATCAGAGCCGACACTGAGCGCGCCGGTCGAGGGAGAGGCGACTGCTGATGAGGACGACCCTACTTCCACTCAAGAGATACCGGAGCCGGAACCCAGTAGTGAGCAATCCGTATCTGAACCTGAACTTGATACAGAGCAGTCACAAATCGAAGAAACGTCCAAACACACCTCTGGCGAAGGTGAGAATGCAGATTCTCAACCAGAAGAAATAAGTATACAACAAGATAACGGCTTAGAGACGCAACCAGAGCCTGAAACATTTACATCACCCGCGACTAATGATGAGCCTAAGAATGCCATATCTGAGTTAGATAGTCCAGCCTCCATCGAGGAGACAGCATCACAAGTACAAGAGGACGTCAGTACAACCAGAGAGGTTGAAGAGGAGGAGGAGGAGGAGGAAGACCAGGAAGAAGACGAAGAAGAAACTGAGGATATTGACGACGAATTGGAGGAAGAGGAATCGAAGAGAGATCTCAATGCGGCTTCGTCTATGTCGCCGTTGAAAGATCTCATTGTGAGAATGACCCAAAGGATTGACGAGAGGGCGCTGTCTGATCAAGCGGAGGGCTCTATAGACGACTCGTCCAAACTTAAAGAATTTGAGCGAATCCTCGGTCAGCTCATTGCCCGCTCCAAAGAAGAACAGCTCGAACCTCGAACCGATGGCACTAGTTCTATCTCAGAGGCTCCGATAGAATCGGCGATCGAAGGCCAAGCGGAGATCCTTGAGACTGGGACAGAGAAAACAGAGGATACACAGGATGCTTCTCCAGAGTCGGCCTCAGGAGAGACCCCAGAAAATGCTACGCCGGCTGAAGAGGAGATCGACCAAAATCTACTAGGTCTGGTCTTAACGATCAGAAACAAAGTTAACGGTGAATATGTGACAAGGCCGGAAAGATTAGTTCGGTCTGATGATTGGGTTGTGGAGTACAACATCGAGGAGATCGCGGCCAAGCGCGCCAATACCATCTACCGACAGTGCCAGGCGAGGCGGCGAGGGGTGTTTGAGGACACGGGCAACAAAGAATCGCAATGGTACAAGATGTTCCGCGGCAGCCTCGAGGAACGCACGATGGCTGGTCGTAGGTTTAGAGCCTCGGAGACCATGAAGGCCCAGCAGCGTCCCGTCCATGTTGTTGGCCAGGAGAAATCACTACAGTGGGAGGAAGTATTTGGAAAGCCGAATCCGAATACCCCGACGCTGGTGGAGGAATTGGTAGGAGATGAGATGGAGGAGGATGAGCATAATTAGGGAGGAGTAGATGGGCCAGGGAAAAATAAGTTAGATCTTACGTCGGCCGTAGACTTATGCTGTCTATGGCGCTACAACAGACTCCATTGTATATCTACCTAACATCCGGCCAATGGCGCTATGAATTTATTTTATACGATAGTGGGTGGGGGTGATTTGGCATAAAAAAGTATGGGTTCGCGAGGGGGTTATAAAAGTCTTCGGCTATCTCCCGTGGTGGCTGGTATGCTACACTGCGTGGAAGCAGTCCGTCTCAACTCTGTACATTTAACGCTGTATATATGACGTGTATGAATTCACATCCCCGAGGACTCGTTAACGATTAGGTTGTAGGTCAATGATTGTTCTGCTTCACCTTTATATTTACGCACTTTAGATTTATATATTTATCCCATATCCCCTCTCTAAAAATGTATACTTACTAGCTATCTATATCAGAGTTATAAGCACATATATATTTTGGCGGTGTCATATTAACTTGTTTTTAGCATTGATACTCATGTGTGAAGTCGTACGTAGCATAATTAGTTAATTCCCTAGGGTATCTACACGTAGCCAATAGCCAAGCCTCCCCCCCTTTCCCCTATTACCCAGGTTGTCACCCTATCGTGCTATCAACCGTACGTATCCGCAAAACAACCACGTACATTCACGCCCCGAGATCATAGTAGATACACTTGGTCGTCCTAAAATTATACACAAACGCATGACGACTGGCTCCGTCCGTGTTCTCCCACTCGGCGCGCCACGCCAGCAGCATCTCGTGGATCTCGCGGAGATACCTGCGCTCGTTCTTCTCGACGGACTGCTCGGCTCTGCGCCAGCTCTCGGCTTCCGATAACGACGTCTCTTGGATCAGATCTAGAACTACGTCCGACGTCTCGACGGCTGCGATCGGGCCCTCGAGGAATGTCTGTAATAGGCCCGCGGCGTTGGCCTGCGCTTGCTCGATTACTACCAAGCGGTTGAATTTCTTGGACTTGGTGCCGGCGACTAGCACGCTGACTTCCTGGTTCGGGTTTGCGGATACGGTACCGCTTTGGGCGATGGGGGCTGTGCTGCCGGTGGCATCGGATTGCTTCGTGGTTCCGCGCTCGCGTTGCGCGGCGCGTAGCCAGGGGAGGAGTTGGGATGTTGAGATCTCGGCGTCGGGGACATCTTTGCGATCCATCGTCCTGACCTTTAGTACGTTGTCCTGTTTTATAATGACGATCCATGAATACGTCTCATCGCGATTCCTCGACGTAAGTTCTTCCGGCGACCGGGAATCCCGAGCTAGCTCGGCGCTGATGTCGTGGGACCATAGCATCGAAAGGATTTCGATACCCGCCGTACGGAGAGTTTGCGCATCGAAGCTGGCTACCAGTACATCGCACTGGGAGATGTTAGATCAGGCTGGAATACGGTATACAAGTAGAATTTCGTCGTTAGACTTACTCGCTTAGTATTAAAGATTCCGGATGTTTCTTCCTCAAGCTTCTTTAAGAATTTCCCTCCGGCTTTCGGTAACCGTGCTAGCTTTTCCCATGCCAAGCTGAAACCAACTGCGTGAGGTCCTTCGCCTATTTTTGGCCGATGTGCTTTGATTAGACTATCATAACGACCACCAGCGGCAAATACATCTTTGAACTTTTTATCATATAGGCACTGGAATAGTATTCCACCCGAGAAGAAGTTCTCTTTAATGCTACTTAGGGGGTTAATGTAAATTTTCGCATGGACGCCGAGGCGTTTCGTATACTCGACTACATCTTTCAGATGGGCAAGGGTCGGTTGTAATTTTTCATACATTCGACTTCCCTCGAAGATTGTCTTGAGCTTAGCGAAGGCTTTTGCTGGGGTATCTAGCTTTCTTGTTAATTCTTTTCCTGGACCCTTCATTAGGTTTTGAAAGTCAGACACGTACCTCGGAAATCAAATCGCCGGAGATCTTCAATACTAGTTACAGATATTCCAATCATAGGTGAACGAAGCTCCGCCCGGATCTTTTGAAATGTATAAGAGTGAATGTTCAACTTGCTGAGAGACTCGGCCGCCAGTTGCCTTGCGGTCAAATCCACGTTACAGAAGTCAAATATAAGCTGCAGTAAATCAGAATGGCCGAGATGGAAGCACATTGGTGATGTCGAGGGGAACGCGTTTATAATTTCGTCTAGCACTTTGATAACCTCGGCTTCTTTCAAAGCTAGATCCAAAGTGTCTGTGGAGACGATGTCAAAATCAACTTCACCAACCATGAGCGGTTGTCCGCCGTTCCGTCTGTCCCGGTAAACGTTACCGAAGGTGAAAGATTTCCGAACTTTGGAGATATTGGTATGTTTAGCCAATGCTCTGGCATTTCCAAGCATGAGGTCGAACGGTAGTTGGACTACTGTGCCGTTCTGATCCAATAACTGAACGATATCCTGATTCGGGGGGTAATGCGGAGAGCGAGGATAGAGTGAACTGCGAGGTGTTTCAACTGCGCCATGACGGCGGAATACCGATACTAACTCTTCCTTAACTGCACTTTGATATAATAACTCAGCCGCCGTAGGATTAGGTGCCGTCATATCCCAGGCGTAATCTTTCGTAGGCTCTAGGGGTGCCGAAAATAGAGCTGAAACGACTTTTGGATAATAAGGAGAAGCAGAACTGGTAAGACTAGCGAGCGCCCTCCGCGTCGTCTCATTTTCCATTTGGATAGGCAACTTCCCACTTCGTAGCAACTCAAGGCTACTCGGACGCTCTTTTACGTCGTGCGTGACCAAAGATAGTACAATATCTGATTTTACTTTATCACCTGGCTGAAAATCGTCAGGAAGGAGAGAAGAGGTTCCTAGTTTTCCTAGCTTGTCCGCTCTCTCCATGCCTAGGATCGGATGATAACACATTTCGAAGAATATGATCCCAAGAGAATACATCTTGAACTAGGTTAGAAAGGAAGGCTAGAGGGCAGAGTGATAGGATGACTTACGTCGACCTTTGAGGTGTACGAACCCCCGCCAGTCCTTCGGACTTCGGGGGCAACATAATAGGATGTTCCAATGCTTCTTGTTAAATCGCCCGTATCCAGGCTACCAGCGGCTGGTTTATCGACGGCAAAATTGCCGGCGGTAGCTAACCCAAAGTCGCCAATTTTAACATTATTAACCCCGTCAGGGCCAAGGCCGATGAATACGTTTTCTGGTTTAAGATCACGATGAACTATATTCAGGCCGTGTATATGAACTAAACCCTCCAAAATCTGGCGAAATAATCGCCAGACCTCCTCGGCTTCCTTCCAGAGGTTCCTCTGGATAAGATCTCGGAGCGTCTTACCTATGAGGTCAGTAGTCTACAACCAGCTAATAGGTTGTAAGATGGGAAAGCTTACCCTTTTATCACAATATTCCATGGATATATACATCACGGTCCTGTAGTGTCTCTGGCTACTCTTGATTCTCGTAGGCGAAGGAATTGAATCATGTATTTCGGAGCCCACATCTGACTCGTCATCGTCATCTTCGTCTTCCTCTGTTTCTTCATCGTCCTCGACTTCCGAGTCATCGTAGCCAAATTCTATATTGGGATGGCTCGAAGATATGAAGTCCAAACCACCTGTACTAGCGGCGAATTGGATATCAATGCCTTGAGAAGCGGTACCCTTAGAATCAATGTTGACATCTTCAGTTGATGTATCCCCTTCCGAATCTGGCATGTCGGGTATTTCTTCCAGCCAGGTATTGTAATATCTTACGACTGCAGGGTGACTTAGTTGAGAAAGTAGCCTAACCTCTTTTAATATCTCAGTAAGGCTTGATTGGGATCGTTGGGTGATCTTCTTTATGGCATAAATTTGGCCATCGAGCTTTTTCCGTGCCTTGACAACTTCACCAAAACCTCCCTTACCCAGCCGTGCTTCTTCAACAAAGTCTTCCTTATACCTCGAAAAGGTCGCCCCGCGAACAGAAGAGTCACGCCTTGATCGCGTAGGCAAAGCCTGTGCCAACGAGCCAAGAGACTGTGAAGGAGAGAAAACAATAGAAGTATCGTCGATAATGACAGGGGCATCAGTTGCTAAAAACTCACTGGAACTCAACTCAAATGCACGAGGACGCTTCTTAGGATCAAGCTTGAAAAATCTAGCCACTAGTTCGTGTAGTGGTTTGGATAGAGAGAGCGATTCCATTAGAGCAGCTGGAGACTGGTATTTCTGAAATACATCTAGACCAAAGATCATTTGTAAGAAAACGACACCTAGGTCCCAGATATCGGTTTTTTGGGTGAATTGCGGCCTTGAGTTCCCAGCGACCTCTGGCGGCAACCAGTAAGTAGACCTTGCTGCATTTGCCGACGAATTCTTTTGAGACCTATGGGAAAGATTGTGCATTTCTCTCTGATATGCCGCATCCGAAAGTTTTGGAATGACGTCGCCGGTTGACTCTCTAAATAGGAGTATATTACCGGGATGTATGTCTTGGTGGGTAATTCCATGACCGTGCAAATAGCCCAAAGCGTCGAGAAGGTCTGCAGTCCACGAACGAACTTTTCCAACATCAAGTCTTCCTGCAAGATCCAACAGCTCGCCAAGTGGACCCTTATCTGCCAGTGGAGTTAAAATTCGTGCGGTCCAAGTCTTTGACGCCGACTCGGTCTCTCCGTGGTCTCGATCGATCCGGAAATTCAAGAGCTCAAGGATGTTCCGATGTGATAGCTTCTTGGCCGAATCCAACTCTCCTTCGAGAACTTGTAACTGCTTCTTAAATTGAGAGGGTTCCTTAGAAGTCGATCGTAATTCGAATTCTTTAAGAGCCAAACTTGGACCGTTTCGTTCGCCAGAAATTTCAGGCCAGACGATATATGTGGTTGCTACTTGCCCCTTTCTAAACTCGCTTCTTCCAGTGACGATATTAAACAGAAAAACATTGCCAGCAGTATCGGTAACCTCGCATGCCTGGTCGAACTCAACCTTTCCGGCTTCTAGGATACGGGAGTCTTGGGTATGGCTTGAAGCAGTTAGAGTTTTGTTTTTCTTTTTAGATTCCTTGATTTTCGTTCGTTGCCGGTCTACCTCCTTCTGTATCATATCTTGCATCACTCTTTCTTCTTCTTTTATTGCATCTTGTCTTTTACGATCCTCCTCTTCCTGCTGCTCTTTAGCTTGTCTCGCCAATTCGGCTTCGTGAGCTGCTCTCTCTTCCTCCAATGAGGGCAATTCCAGTCCTTGAGCCTTTGCCTGAGCAGCATCTTCGAGAATATCTTGGAGGCCTTGCGCTAACTCATGTATCATTGGTTCTGGCTGTTCAAGTGTAATTAAGGACTTGGGCTTCGTCTCGATGAATTTCTGTAGCTTAAACACAGTAGACTCTTTTAGACTTCCCTCATCCTTAAGACTGAGCAATGGCGCAGACTTTGGATACGTAGCTGTAAGCACGACACTTAGCGTAATAGCCACTTCTTCATCGGATAAAGCCCTAACACGAATGTCAAAGGACGGCTCGGACTTCATCCATGCACTATTAGCAGCTTTGTGCTCGATATAGTCGTCGCCATAGATGGCCTGGAGAACCATGATTTCTTCATTTTGAACGTCAGTATACGGCGTCTTATGGCCTACGTCCGGGCTGGCGGGCTTTAACCCGGGGTAGCTTGAATCATCGTTGGTTTTGGTGGTGAGCTGCTGGGGCCCTTTCCATGGAGCATTTGACTTCCAAGCCATTTTGATATTTCAGTATCATTCGCGGGTGATAGAAACGAACGAATGAAGACTCATACAGCCGCAGCTGCATGTCGTCTACTGAACTCTGGCCATTTTACAGCACTACTTGTAATATAGAAATTTTCTTATATCAATAATTGATAGCGGTGTAACAAGTCTAAGTCGAGGATGAGATTCACTGATGGTGGGGTGAAATTCATACGTGTATCCGGCCTACGAGTCCCACGTGCTACATACATTAGGTGCCTAGCTAGGTACATACTAGCCTTGATTATGGGTACATGTAGGTACCTAAGGCTAGATTGCCGAACTAAACACTTCAAGTACGCAGATCCACTTACGTAACTCAATCCGAATTATACATTTTATACATCAAGTCTTATATATTTTATTAGTACCGCCACAATTTTTCCAACCAATCAGATACTTAGAATCGCCCCGCAGTTTGCGACTTTTCCCTTTGCCATTCTATCGCATAACGTCTGCAAGAGGTGCAAATGGTATAGAAAGGTCATGCAAAACGAGCTCTATCTAACGATACCAATTATCAAAACTTTTATACGTTCTTGGAATAGGTCAATTGATTCTACAAAAAATTCATCGGACGTGCGCTGAGGTGTGGCTAGCCAATCAGAGGCCAGACTTTACCAGACTTTAGCTGTGGCGTCAGTTGTGCGCATAATCCCCCCCTTCTCCCCCGTCCGCGGTTGCGCGGACGGGCAACGCCGCTAGTTTACTATCAATAAGTATGCCTCTTCGACTCTCAATGAAGTTTATTCATTTGCCTGCTCGAGGGCTTCGACCCTTTTGCCTTGGTCGTCATATTGCTTTTGTGTGCTTTGTCGATTTTCGAGGATATCTTCGAGCATCTTTTCGATGGATTCCTTTGTCGTGCTTAGTTCCGCCTCAATTTAAGACGTCCATGTCTTATCAGATGCGTCTTCTTTTTGCATTTCTTCTTCCAATATCTTGTTCTTATTCTTCTTCTGATGATGAATACTCTGCTAAGATATCCTTAGCGCCCTCCGGAGCAGTCACTTGTCGACATAATGCAGGTTCAGGTGAAGATTTAGAGTTAGACCAGCTTCATTCATGGCCTAGAAGTAATTCAGCCAAAACTCTAGGAATTTATGGGGCCTATCCATCACAAGCTAGGATGACCCATTAAACCCAAGGAGATATTACCTTTACGTCTGTAACGACATAATCGATGGCTGCCCTTGCTCCCTACTACCTAATACCTATAGCTTCTGTCGAATCTCGAAATCTGGTGAATTATTCGATACTTCCAGCATGGAAAGTGTGGAGAGCGTGAATATTCTTGTCCCTAATTTAAATCGCATTCGATGGCTCTTCCTGTTACTAATGATACGTGTGGGCATGCTGTAATGGTACTTCAATATTTGCTTCTTACCTTGTAGAGCTCACGGCCGGAATTGGGGGCCGGTAACTTTGTTGATTGCTTGTTACATTTGTTGAGTTACTGCTCATGGGCAGGCAGACAGGATCAACCATAGCTATTTTCCGGACATCTTATTGTTCTGCCCAGGCGTCACTTAATTATTTGTAGGTAACGAGTTCAATATAATGCTTTCGTATAGCAGGCTACTAAGAATATGTCTTAGTTTAGATTAGATAATAGACCCTTTTTCTTTATCGTATAACCAAAGGAGCTGAATTGAGAGACGGTTTAGTTACTAATGGGACAGTAACATAAGCGCGGAAGCATACTTTGGGGGAGTTCCGTCGAGGCAGGGAACCGTCTGGAAGATGGCAGTCGGCGGTAACTAAGGAAGGTCGGTGGAATCGTCAGAGTTCTCGCGAAGCTCTTCCTTTCTCGATATTATGCTTCCTGCACGGCTGTCTGGATTTCGGCATCGGTATATCCGTTCTTCGCTTCTTGCCATTCTTCCATCGTTAGACGAAGTTTGCCTCCGTAATCCCACATAAACTCTGGTAAGTCATCTAAGGAACTTTTCTGTTCCTCGCTGTAGTCGATCATAATATCCATATTGGCATCCATTTTGCGTACTGGGGAAGTGAATAAAAGTATCAATAATCGAGAAGTGAATGAAGAGGCTTTGTCGCCTGTTTAGGAACCTTAGGTGGTCGTCTACGAGTGGGATGCATTATTAATTATGCGCCTTGTTTTTGTGCAAAAGATTCTCGAAGATCTTAGGGCTTCTTCCATACAGGCGTCTTTCCGCTCGTCCTTTTCGGCCGTCGGCTTCTTCGATCCGGGGTTCGTCGATTGTACATGGAACAAAGCTCCCTTTCGCTCAAGATTGTCGACATTTTAAATCGGGTTTCTTCAATTATTGATAAATTTATTTGTTGAAGATTTTGGGGTTTGTCAACTCCATTGTTTTGGCCGGGTAATTTGATTGTAGTCCGTCCAAATGGCTTTGCAGGCCGTCCGTGCATGTCTATCCTTGCGTGGTGTTGAGTTTCTTGCTTGGTTCGTTTGTCGGTTTTTTGAAGCCGATGAGCATGGTAACGCAGACCAGGCTTGGCGGATTCGGGCGATTAATCGGCTCAGCAGAGAAGCTTTCTTAACGTTCTATTCACCTTCCGAGGCTTTGTGCAACATTCCAACTTCTTTATCTTGGTTATTTTATGATGTAGGCAATCCCCCGTAATGATGCATGGGAGTAAAATGCCGTACGTAGTATGCGGCGATACGATATGTTGGAATGTGTATAAGATTGTTGGTGTCAAGGTACAATTTAGTTTCTGATGGTTCCTGTAAGTTTAGGTAACTTTAAATTGTTGAAGGAGAGAGAAACAAGGAAACTAAAACTTGAACTTTGGTGCGCAGGCACGAAAGATTAAGCAATTGCTTAAAGAGATTCATTATTGTGGTGACAGTTGCGGTTCCTGAGGGGTTACCAAATGGTCTGTTGGTACGGCAGCTGCTATGGTTGTAACTGCCATGATAATAAAAAACTGCGGCAGTTTGAGGGCCCTTTGAGGAATGTTGTTTCCGCTTGTTTTAGTTCTTCGTGGTGCAGGAAGAAAAAGAATATATTAGGACCTGGATCTGCACCTTCCCTAAGAAAGTGGAAGAGACTTAAGTACCTTTTATAATATCTATCGAAAAGGGGTTAGCAATCAATAAACATCCCCTATCCTCAGCATGGTAAATCCCACGAGATATCGAAGAAGACCTTACGTATATGATTACTGGGGACGAGATCCTTGATGTCCGTTTATCAGGATCAACTTAAATTTATATATCAATAACTTGAGCGTAGCTGTACCCTACCCGTTTCTCGAAATAGGAGTTCTGTAAAAGCATATGAAACAGATTACTGTATAGAACATTTGGGGGCGAAGAATGACTATCTTACCGAAGACAAGTTGAAGTATAGGATAAAACTGTCTTGATGATAGGCCGATAGAGTTAACTAAGTCATGCCATTCACCAACTTCGCCTCGAATCTAAGCAGACTCTAGTACCAAGTAGCTAGAACTACATACTAGTACCTCCCTCGGGCAAGCGGTTTCGAAGTCGGATGGATGGATACTTCACAATAGGGAGTATACCACCTGCCTAAGCACAAACACAACCACGCACACGTGTAGAATTTGATTAACAATGTTTATAATTCCACTTTCTCAGCCTCTTCCCAACTTTCCTATCTACAATGCTAGAGTACACGAGGGAAAGAGAGCGCTAATGCAATTCTGGTTGCTATGCTGCACAAGCTGTCTATAGTACGGAAAGGTCGCCGAATCTCTCCTACAGAAGGGCATTAGCATCATCATCATCACCATAACATATATATATCCTGCAAGTAACAGGGAGTAGCCATACCTTGTATCCCGGAACGGACCAGCGGCCCTTGGACACCAACTTAGCCGTCTTCTCATCGATCGAGGGCTCAGCAGCAGCAACCTCATCGACAGTAAGTTCCTCGAAGGGGCGAGCGGTCTCGATGTTCTTCAGCGTAGCCTCGAGGTCCTTGAGTTCTAGATCGACCTTCTCCTTGGTACTCTGGGCGTTCTTGATAGCTTCGATCTCGAAAGCCTCGATGGCTTTGAGCTGGCGAGCGACGTCGTACTGGGCGGGTTTGAAGGCAGTAAAACGCTTCTCGATCTCGTCGACGACCGCCTGGTTTTTGAGCACAGATCGGTAATACGCGAAGTCGACGGTCGTCGGGAGTTCGGACAGAGCCTGCAGTTTGCGGCGAGCATTCTCGTTGCGCTGCTTGAAGGCCTGTAGACCTGCAACGGTCTGTCCGCGCAGACCTAGCGAGGAGGTGACCTTGATCCAGTCGAGCTTGAGGGCTGCGCTTCGCTGCGAGGGAGGAAACGGAAAATTAGAAATTAGCTCATCTTCGTCCATTTTTCAACGGAAGTTTCCGGGGCAATTGACGATCCAATTGACAACATGACTGCCATTTGAAAAGCTCAAAAGTACCTAGGTATTCGCCAGGGGATCCTGCAAGAAAGAATACTTACTGCGGCCATTTTGGTAATGTGTTGAGGAAAAAGGTAAGGAGTGGAGATGTGAAGCAATTCGTAGTGGATGTTGCTGCTGTATCCCAGCCGAAGAACTCCGACGTTTTGCAGGGCGCCACAATCACCAAAGTCCCGTGATTAGTCAAAGTCACGTGACCCGACAGCCCTCTTGCATTCTAGGTAGTTATTCTAGAGATTGAAGAGCACTTCTTACTTATAAGTACCTAGGTACCTTATGTAGTTATAGATCTCTTGCCTGCGGTTTGGTATTGAGAACATGGTAGGTATACTAGTAATCGTCTTGTACTATTACTGTTCTACTAGTAGAAACCTGCCGGATCTATCTATTGTGGCTTTCATGTTCGGGTATCACTAGCAAGACCTCACATTGGAGAAAATTATATTAAAGGTGCAGTCGCCAACATAGTAGTCGAATCGTCATTAAGCTCGAAGTGAATTATTCACAACGGCTCAGTAATCCATTGTAAGATATCGTAGCATGCAATACACTGCCAACCGACTTTCCATTTGGTTTTTTCATTTCCCCTTGCAGACTTTTCCGTTGTGGCATGCATCCAGCCAACGTGTCCGGAGTTTGACCCATCCTTCCTAATCAAGTTCCGTCATTAAACGCTCAGCGCCATAATCGAATTGACTATGTCGTTATCGTTTTCTTTTAGCGCTTTGATGGCCTTGTTTCGTTTGACGTTGGCTTGAGTCATAACCAGCTCGATATCCTTATCCTCGAGCCCTTCAGCATCGACTTCTTCGTCGTCGTCGTCCTCATCTTTCTTTTCCTCGGCGTCCTCGGCGGCTTTGCTGGGCTCGCCGTGGCTGTGGTCGTGACCAGCGTGGTCGTGCTCACCACCACTAGCGGCAAGGGACTGGGCCGCAGCTTGCTGGGCAGCCGAGTTGAGGTCCTCAATCTTGGCCTCGCCGAAGACGCTAATAAAGTTGTAAATCATATTAAACATATAGTGTAGTTGCAGTGGGATCTTACATGTAGGTGTTGCTGTTGGGCGATTTGTAAACTTCCGGGTTGTTGATAACAAACAGGATCTGTAGGTGATGCGATTAGCAGCGAACAGACAACCCCATCCGACTTGACTGGAGGTGAATAATTCCCCTCATTGCGCAAAACTGTAAAAATATCGGGATATAACTGCACCCAACAGAACCTATTGCTCTTTCGCACAATCCTAACTAGATATTGCATCCCCTAAATAAAACAAATATTTCGTGTTCGCTTTACTTACGTTCTTTGGTCGTCGGAGGGTGACTCGGGTGATGCCGGTGACACGGGTTAGGTGAAGCTTCTCGATGGCTTTACGGGCCTTCTTCTCGTTACGGGAGTGGACGACGGCGGTAGAGCCTGAAGCGCCGCCCTCGCCAACCTCAATCTCGGAATCGGAGCTATCATCGTCATCGTGCTCTTCGACGGAGACCTTCTTGGGCTCCTCATCGGGAAGTTCCTCGACTCTGGGGTTGGCCATATTGAATGTGAGAGTCTGGTGGGGTCGAAATTAGCTATTTATTCTGCGATGTGCGATATCGTGGGGTTTTGAGGTACCAAGCCCTCAAAATTAAGCCCGCCATTCACCCTCAAAACAATTCTTACATTCGGTATGGAAAGTATATAGGAGGTATATATGAAGCAGGAAGTTTATGTAAATATCGACGACTTACCAAAGCGACAACTTAAGAACGACACCGAAGTTAGGTAGCGGGGGTGATTGGTTGTACCTTGGGGGGGTTGAGTGGTTCGGTTATGAAGAAAAGTTGCTTACAGCTGTGAACTTTTGTCAATTGTTCGGCCTAGGGTTTGCCAGTTTTGCGAGTGCCCGCACTAGTCCAGATACGGATTTATAGTACAGTACGGGCTGGAGTGGCAGAGGTACCTAGGTACCTTTAGGTACTGGGTGCATCTTCCCTCCAGCCTCAGCCTCAGCCTCAGCCACAACTTCTGATAGGCCCTTCCCTCGGACTGGGTGAGTGTAAGGGATGATAAAGGGGTGATTAAGGGGTGAATAAGAAACACCGGCCAGTCTTTGAAAGACTTTAGAGACAGTACGACATTACCTTCATAGATACGCTCGCCTTAGACAATTGGCCACCGAATCATCGTATTGTAGTCGAGTCCATCGAGAAGCTCAAGCAATTTAAGTATAAGACATACGCGACGACTCAGGATTGCCAAGATGACTTAAACACAACACCATGGAAGGGTGAAGCTAAGATTCAGGCTCGAAAGTTAACGGAGAAAGTCAACAATTGCCTGTCTAGGAACGAGGCGACCTGGAGATTCGCCTGCGAGCCGCTCGTACTTAGTCGGTTAAGTTCGGAGGTGGTATGGTAATCAATATTACAGAAACTCAACTCTACTACACCCAAGCCTAATCTTCTTACCGCTGAGCAGCTTAATGCTATAGAGAAACTGTGGACAGGCCAGTCACGGTTGAGCGGCTCCCACAATGTCAAAAAGATCCGGTTCTATACGGTCCACCTAGTGACGTACTATATGTCTGCCTCTTGGGAACAGACCCGGGACCTCTGCGTTATCTCAGTTGCTGAGGATGCCTTCGATACTTTAATCTACAAGTCAGGATTAAAAGTAGGGCAAGGCAAAGCCCGAAAGCCACCTGTACAAGTAGACGACGATTCGAATGCCTCTCTTGCGAATGGCCTGGCTCGGCTGCGTACCACTTCTGCTCAACGGAATTTGCTCGCTACAGTCTCACAGGTCGCACGATATGTTGACGGTACTATTGAACCTAGTCAGCGTGAGTGTTGGTTCAAAGAAAGCGATGTTCTCATTTGGGAGTTAGTCAACACATATAAGAATCATAAAGCCGGAGATCTAGAACCAGAGTTACCTTTTTTCCATATTTCGATATCGCATGAGACGCAAGTAGTTAATACGGAAGACGAGGATCCAATCGAGTTTATCCACTCGGTGACTCTAGGTTCGTTTGATCCTGACGACGAATTCACCGAACCACTACTGAATGGAGATCTAGAAATATCCGACGCAGGAGTTATTCTCATTCACGGTGGAGCAAATACAAGGGAAGGGCGGAGTCCATCCGATCTTTGCGTCTATATTGTCCACGGCTCTACGCAAACACCAAATCAGGATGAGCTAACACGAATGATTAAGACGGCGTTTGTAGATCGCGACGTGTACCACACGACTAGGGATAATGGAACATTGAACCTACATGACTCGAAACCCCGCCTTACCTGGAACATAAAGAAGTCGTATGGTGTCTTCTTCTCATACGGACGAGAAAGCTTTGTCAAGTGGCTCCGGCATTGGAACAAGCCGCTTCCTGAAAGGCAAGGCTCCCCCAGAGGCGCGACCGATTCGGGACGCCTCATCTTTGAACGAGAATACAGCCCATGGCACGACCCTCGTGGCCTTTATGGCGGTCCACTTGCCGAAAAGAAGGAGGAGATCCTCAAAGAGTTGTTTAGAATGGAGGTAACAGCCTGGGCACACATTGCACGGGAGAAAACCCGCCAGGGGACTATTTGCTGTGTGCTCTGCTCAGAAAATGGGGACTACCGAATGGAAGACGATGACGAAGAATACCGCTATTGTCGAAAATTTGGGTTCATTTCGGGCCTGTGCGATGAATGGCAAGAACAATCAGACATCAGTATCGGCTATGGATTTCCGGTATGGACGAAACGGCTTCCAAGGAAAGCTCTCAAAAAGGCGATTTCCAGCGCCTCACCAACTCCGACACAGGATCTAGTCTCTCAAGACGCATACTGTCAGATATTGATGAATCAGACAGCATGTCGGATGAATTACCTGAGGGAATTGCTTCGAATCCTTCTGACTCAGAAAGGACAGCCCTTGGTGTAAGTATAACGTAGGCCTTCATGATCTTTTAATAAGGAAAACTCCTAGTTTATCCCAGGCCAAGTCAGGCTTAACGCGGCTTGGCTCGGCTCAGGTCCGTATTACCCAAGCACATAATCCCCGATACTGTTATACCTATTTCCTTTAAAGATGGGAATTTTAGAAAAACATGCCCTGAATTTTATACTAGGCATATATGTATTAGGGACCCTTCGGAGGAATTGTATTGTCAACTCGCGTATCGAATCTACACTTGTGCAAACTCGAGAATCTGGGTATGTCTATATGATAGCACAAATTTCACCAGGCGAAGATGTAATCACGTAGAAGACAGCCTCAGGTTGTTGTAAATTTCCGTATCATTGACGCCGGTCACCTCATCGAGATTTTTATGAGTGACATACAGGTCTTGCCAGACGAATCAGAAGAAACCAGCAACCCCATGCCAATGTGTCATTTCATGCAGACCAGACCCGTAGACTACCTTCCTCTCCAGCTGAAAGAGACCGTTGTAACAGAATCAACCATTCCGTCCCCCTTCATGCTCCTATTGCCGTTCATGCGGATGCCTTGACCTTGGCCAGGGCCTTTTGCTCCTCGAATCGTCGTTGCTTCTTGAGTCGCATGACCTTGAATCGGTCGAAGTCGGTGAGCGCCCTTCTTCGCTCTGTCTGCTCCTTTCGCTTGGCCCACTTGCTCTCCTTCCACTTGCCGTCGATCTCGGCCTTCGCCCATGCGTTCTTCAGGGTTCCTGTTCGGACGGCGCGCGGTAGCTTCGCAATCTTCAGGTCGGAGAGGAGCACATCGGCAAAAGAGATAGCTTGTCGGGGAACGACCAGCTTAGGGTCTGACGAAGGTCCATCAACCAGAGCCTATATATTTCCAAGTTAACATTTAATACACACGATTACACATGATTCGTAAGTTTCTAGATTGCCGATCTCGGGGTTAACGTACGCGCTTGTGGTCGATGATCTCGACGATAGCAGCCAGTCTACCGGCGTAAGGGCCGTTGCCCTGGACGAGGACGATACGGCCGACCTCGACCTTGCGCCATTCGGGGGATTCGATTGATGCGTCGCCCATTGTGACGATGTGCTGATAATATCGTTGTTAGAGACGAGTGGGTATTAAGAAGGTCGGAAGATAGGGAGATGGCAAGATGGGAAAAATAAAAGAAACAATTGAAAAAAAGAGAGATGTAGTTGTTTCTTTAGAAGATCATTTGGTTGGCGGAGAGAATGAAGAAAGGAGAATAGAAGACTGACTTACTGGTTTGGTGATGTCGTGGTGTTGGCTCAAATCCCTCCTTACCTTGAATTGTCCTGGGCTGAACTTTTCTTCGGTCGCGCACAATGCGGTGGAATTGGAAGTTGAATGTTGTGTGGGCAAGTTAGGGCTAAGCCGGAATTTCACCTAAACCGCCACCCGAGCTCACTAAATCTAGCCTGGGCTCAAAGTGGGTCCTTCTGCAGACCTTTTCTAAAAAGGATTTCTCTTAAAAGGCTTTCTTGCAGCCTTAACCTTCCAACTGTTCATCAATCTTTTGCTTTTTTTTCTATGCTAAAGGCAAGAATTGTCCAGAGCTCAACTTTTATCAAGGACGAACATCATAATAGGTAAGTCTCTATCTTTTATCTCCTCCAAGATATTCCCACCACCTTACACTTGTTATGATGAGGTAATTTGCGATTGATTCCGCTTCGATGGCGCTCTCGCCGGAGCTGCTATATCGAGTGGCAAGGTGACATTTAATTCTTACATATTCTGAACGCTTTCCTACGAGTTACACTGTAAATTCAAACGTATTATTCAGATTACAGTAGCTAACTCTGTCTACAGGACCATCTATTTCTGAGCTGTTGATCTTATCGGCCACCTAAGACCCTCTAGACTTATCTATTTCGACATCGTTGAGTACAACTAGTTTTTTTATAGAGCGTTTAGTTTAACAAACCTTTGTAGCAAGGTTGCTACGATATGACATCCTTCAATAAATATTATTGGTCTATAAAATATGAATTGGCCATCATCAGTTCCAGTTCTTTGTGTGTCCTTACATGCCTCTCAAGTTTTACCCCAAGTTTCCATAGTAGCGTGAACATCACCCAATGCCAACCTCCCGACTACCATAGATTTCAGTGTTCAGCAGTAGTACTTGTCAGTTCATAGCTAATGTTTATATTATGCTAGTAAATGGTCTTATTATGACAGTCTTCTTATCGGGTACTGTGCCTAAATATTAACACCATTTCCAATCAAACATATTATTCTCCATAATGACTTATTGCCGGGTATATCCCAATGAAGGAAATTGCTAATTCCAATACTTTGTACCTTATGTAGCTCCTATTCTGATGCCGTGCAAGGTTGCAAACTTGTAGAATTCATCTTCCACCACGTTTCTGAGCATATAAACACCCAAGCCCTATACAACCACAAAGAGGAGAGCAAGCGAAGATGCCAATGACGTGTGCAGTCGTGGGATCAAGATTCCACACAATATGTGGCATGTAAAGGAGTATTTGTTGAATATGCAAGTATTTGGCGGTATGTCCACCAAGGCACACTATTCGTCTACGGCATGGAGGGCATCCTCCGACGGTTCTTCGTCGTACAGCCATTCGGGAGGGCTCATCGAGGCGTAACTCAGTCCTCTATCGTTCTCTAGCTCCTTACGCATCACTTCCATTTCGAGCTCCCATCGTTTCTGAAGTGCTGCCCTGCGCTGGCTCATTGCTGTCGTCAAAGCATCTTCCTCATCTGAAAAATCAGATTCGAGGCTCTCCAGTTCTTTCCTATTCTTCTCGATTAGTTTGCCCATTTCCGATTCTTGCCTTTCGAGTAATTCTTCGAGAGCTTTAGCTTGTCTGTCCCGCATGACGTTGATTTTGGCCTGATGAAGTTGCTTCATGTTCTTTTCAACGTTGTACTGCTGCCCGAGTTCTCTTAGATCCCGTTCCGTCACAATTCGGGAAGGCATGCCTCCCCCCGGATTCTTGCCGAGACCATCACAATATGCTTCCATATGCTTGAGCCGAATCCGCACGTTCCTCTCGCTCTGTTCTAATGTTGAGCGCAGTTCCATCTCTGCAGCAACTTGACGATCTTCAAGATTAGCCGCCGTCTTACCGTGTCGCTCCTTCATCCTCTCGATAGCCGCTGAGTGTTTCTCTACGAGAGCGAGCTTTGCGTGCGCATGTCTGGTCCACATGAGCCATTTCGATCTCCTATTGAAAGCGTGGAATCTCTCCATCTCCTTTACTTGCTCCTCTCGCAATGCTTTGAATTCTTCGCAGTTGTGGCTACGTCTCACTGCTTCGAGCATCTCTGCTGTTTCCTTTGCTGCAGCTTCTTGCTTAGCTGCCTCTTCATCTGCGAGTTTTGCCGCCCGAGCTTCTTCCTCGCGGCGCCGATCCTCCATCACAGCCTCACCATTGCAGAAGTTAGGACAACCCACCATGTGATCCCAAACTGCGCCGCAGATGTAGCAGAACTGGGCTCGACATCGGCAAGTCATGTGTGTACAGCCTTGGGTGAGCTCAACAAGTGACCTACACTTGTAACACCTTCTCCAGCCTGACTTCTCTCCCATTTTCAAGACGGCATCTAATTCCCAATCGTCCGGACAATCTTGGCCTATGGGGTGAGCATCCCTCTTACACATAACGCAAATTCGCGTTTTGCATTTTCGACAGATAGCTTGGGACGGATATTTGGGGTCGACCCTGGTCCGCGGCGGTATGAATTCGCCGCAGGCCGGGTTGGAGCAGAATATTCTCGATTCCCAGGGCGTGCTAAATTGTACCACGGCTTTCAGGAACCTATGTTGTTCTTCGCGGGACAATACAGATTTAATTATTGGACTTGGTATTGGTTGGGTGCAGCAACGCGGTGGCATTTTAGACTCGTCAGTTGTTGCCTGATTGATCATGATCTTCAAACACCTCGAACAATAACTATGTCCACATGGTAACCTCAGGAGGGGCTGATCGACTTGGAGATCTTCTCGACACGCACTACATGACCTGTACAACAACATGAAGCTATTAGTTACCATACACATTACGAGTTACCGGGATGCTTGAACAAACATGACGATATGTCCGAGAGAAGACGGAGTCTTTCGTCTACGGCGTAATTTAGAAAGCCCTCTTCTAAAACTCAGGTAACTCTTGTTCGTTCTAGCACTGAAAATGCTTGGCGTTGATTCGGATTCTGTTGGTGAGGGTGATATGAATTTAGGCTGTTTGAGATTCGGATCAGCTTGGGCGAGATAATTCTCATATTGAGCAAACGTGAGAGCCTTCGATCGCTTCCTTGCGATACTCCGCCCCGTGGTCTCGGGATAACCGTTAGTTGAGGAATGTGAAGTAAGAGCCGTGCTCGCAGAGCCCTCTGATCCCGTAGACGTAGTGCGGGCATGATTTGTATCTATGGTGATGCTCGATTTGGCGCCAGAAGGGTTTCGTTTGTTTCTTATCGAGACAGCACTCGACGGCCAAGAGATAGTAATACCCAAGGTTGTAGCCTTCATGATTAGTTCGTTGAGGTAAGCCTCGGTCTTTTCGGACGAAAGCTGAAGGACCTGAGTTAAGTAGTCGGCTTCTCTTAGTTCAGGCACAGTTTCGTCTGGACTTTTAGCTAGGTCCGAGGACGGAAGCTTCTGAGCAGTTGCAGCCATGACGGGCGACAAACGAAAAAGACGGCTTCAAACAGCAGTCCGGTCTGCGTGATCAGTCAATTGACTAAACTCATAATTTGACTACCTATTTCACCAAAAGATGGAATATCAATAGGCGATGGTGGGGGGGAAGAGGATCGGATTACGATGGGGCGCGTCGATATCCTGGCACGATCCTAGCACCGGTGACCTATGGACCTTTGGAATGCGGCCAACCGGCAATGCCTGAGTGGGTAGATTGTGGAGAATAGCATAACAAACCCGGCTAAGATATTGGACCAGGTTTTACGATGCGTGATCTGGTTGCAGATTGATAACGATCTGTCGAGTGCAGCAACTATGTAAGTGTCCGTAATCCGACAGTGACAAACGCCAATAAGTGTCGATTATTATAGAGAGGCCGCGGTATCCACAACAAACAAATACCTAGGATAGAGACGGTGACGGTACGACCTGGAAAGTGTTTGAATCATGTAGTAATGTAGGTAGGTTATTAGGCAACCAAACATGCGGTCAGTCAGAAGGAAATGATCAGACGTTGAAGGAACGAAACAAGTCAGGCTCGAGGACAAGGCTTGGTTGATTTGATTCAAGCAGCCGACAGCCAGCTTAGCCAGCTTCGCCAGCTAGCGAGAAATGATGCGATGCAGCGATTGGGCTGCAAGATTTGGGTCGCGGGGTGGTAGAGGACGTGGAGATTGGCCGAGAAACTCCCAACGAGAACGGAGCTGCTGGCAAGGGGTATTAGCGAGGATGAGGGCGGGTGAAGCGTGACAGGTTGGATTGGTCGGAATAATGGCCGCATTTACTGTTTGGGTTGTTTGGGTTGATCTATAAGCATAGTATACATATACATATTCGAAGGATTTCCTGTATTATGGATGAGACTTGAGCGAGGATAGGATTCCTTGGTTTGTTGAAAGATGGCTCTAAGAGCAACCTCAGAAGTAACACTTGGATAAAGACGTTTTCATTACTTTGGTATAGCAACTCATATGCTTTTGCATTGACGTTGGTAAGACGGCAGGATGATGAGCGGAGTGAGGTTTTCACAAGATTAAATGATGGATGAGATGCGGAGAAAGTGTTAGTGTCCAGTCGTACGTAACAGTCATTCCAAAGAGCATAACCTCGAGGCAGAAAACAATCAGAATTAAGATAAGAATTAATGATATTACATGAAGCCGAGATTAATAACTTGAGTGTAGGTAGTGTAAATATGAAATGTGGATGACCTGTCAAAAGACATTGATCATATTGTAGGTATGGTTGGTTGTATTGGAACTGGAGAAGCAATTGACGCCATGAAAAAATAAGTACGCTATGGGATCTATCTCCCTCCCCCCTCCTCCCTCCTGATCGATTCCCCGGGTCCGCTAGTCCTAACGCTACATCGGCTAAGGCATTGGCCAAGGGTTGCTAAGGCTAAAAACTCTAAAACCAGAGCTAAAAGCGTACTTTGACTTTCGTGACACCTCACTCGCCCCCACCTCCTATTTACCATAGAAGGCAAAGCAATAAGTACATTTATAAGTCCTATGAGGTAAGTATTATCAAATGTAAAATGTGCTACCTATAAACGTATACCTAAAGCTGACATATAAATACAATTAATAGCTACATGATTGATCAACTAGGGACCTAGTATAAGCTTAAATTTAGCAAGGTAACAACGGTTTTGATCAGCAGGTGTCCGGAACATTTTACATCATACCTTAACTCGGAATGTGGGGGTTGCCGGTAGACCCTAAGCTAGTGTAGTTGAGAGACCGGTACTGTAGTAGCCGCCGCTAATACCACATAGTCTATATGTAGGTACTAGGTAGCCTACCTACTGTGTAAGTCCTTGGTATCCATCTCAAAAATATTCTCAATATTCTCTTTTTTTTCCCGCTCGCTTTCGTTAAATGATACGGCCTCATCCTATAATATTCATATATTAACAGGAATGTTGAGGTTGGTGAGTTATAATCTCAAGTTTGGTTCCCCCATTTTGAGTTGAGCAACATTCTACGGCTCAGGCACTTTTATATCAGAACTCGGGAATGTGTAAAATGGTTGATCTTCGCTTGAAGGTAGGTATCCAAATAATTTTTAGTGAAAACATATCCTCGGTAATTATGACGGCATAGATCGATAAAACAATTGTCTAGAACTCCTCAACATACTGGCTTCTGACCGGTTCTAGATAGTCGATCAGATTATCCCACATCAACCTCTATCATCTCGCTCGAGGTGTCTCGAGATGATCCACCAATCAGTCATGTACATAGTATATTCACTTGTAATCAATCCCAGACACCCGGGACGCGGCTCAAGCTACTATAGCGGCACTAAGACAATTCCATCCTTTCCCCGGTCATACCTGTTTGCTTATTTTGCTATGACCACCCCATAAGCCAATAGCAAGTACAGCCTACATAGCAGGGCTTTCTCTCACCGGTGACTACTAAACTAGGTATCTAATAACTTATTAAGGGCCTGGTGATACTAAATTCATCGTTCCTTGTTCATGCAGGACTCGGTATGAGCAAGTCACATTGGCGCCGGTATGAAGCCGTCCGGGATTACCTAGATAGCAATATATTTCAGCCATACGTCATATAATTAAAGGTAGAAATAGAATTCAGGCCTTATAAGTTACCTATTTATATAAATTTATAAAGTCGACTACATATCCGTGTGAGGCTTAGCCTATGGGCAGTGGTCCATCATATAAACAGCATACCTACTCTTTGTCTGTTCACCTCACTCGCCGCAATCCTGAACGCAGAGGGTTTACTACCTTTCCATCACGCATGGCCTGAGAATCAGGAGGTTTCGGGGGCCATTCCGGCCATGACCCTTGTACCCATAGTCTACATTTTCCTAGCCTGTTAGCTTGAGGTTAATTAAACCTTTTCATCGCCAGGGATGAGATCGTAAGCGATACATATACCTTTCATATTAAGTTTAGTGGTTGCCAATTTACCATTTATGCCGTAACCTACTAGATGGGCTACGCAGCTTTATAATCTCAGGATGTTGCAATAGGAGGTACGACGTACTGCATAAATATAGGACATGAAACTAGTGCTTTTTGGGATGACAAGGCAATGGTCGCAACTGATTAGCTTAACTATATTCATGGGATCTCACGATGATAATAACTTACAGGGCATAAATCGAAGGTTACAAAGGCGCTCACCTTCAGATTTTACAAGACCTAATCAATATAGAGGAATGAAACTAACATGTTGATTAATAGTAAGGCCTCTCCTTATCTACCGGGTCTCATTTCCTGAGTAGGTCCTAAATAGGTTTCGTCATGTTTGCCAGGTTTGATATAAAGTGACTCACAGACCCGAAAGACCGGGACAACTACGTGTGAAATATGGCCTTCAATATATATGTGTCGATTACCCTAGTAACGAGATAGTAGATCCTGTCCAGCCGGGCGATTAGTGTCAGAGTAAATTAATACGGACGATTAATGGTGAAATTATATGAATACCTGGGCGGTGACTGTTGGCTATCGCGTAATCTCTAGCTCAAAACCTCACGCTCCGGACGTGGCTCCCTTTTTATCTATATATTTTCTACGGTCGCCTCAGTCATCTTACGCTCCCTCATCCAACCACATGCGAAAACAACTTTGCCATGCACACACTAAGTCTCATTCTCTTGTGCCTTTGCACACTTGCGGCCCTGGTCAACGGCTCTCCTGGGGGAAGATGGCCTGTCGGCCTAGGCATGAGCAAATACGTTTGCTCTTTTCTCGGAGGCGCCGTTATAAATGTAAACCAGACCGAGACTACAGAGAAAGAAGATAAGCTGCCCGCCATACGCACTGTCTCCGCCGAGTGGAATATACCATGGAGCAAGGCACCCGAAAATGCAGACCTCAGCAATCCCAACAACCGACATTCTCTAGCACAATGGGTCGGAATTCTTGGGAACGGCTGTGATAATAAAGACTGGTACCCGTTTCTCCAAGCTGGGACGAATATCGAGGTAAACAAGTGTTCTGCATAGAAAAGGTTTCTAAGATACGAGAGAGTTGGCTAATTATCTCCTAACATAGATGGACGAGAATGGCACAACCGTTGCGGGTGCTTGGGTCGAGTGGTTTCCAGCCGGAGCCCACTTGATCCCTAAGGAAGACTTCGCAGTCAGCCCTGGTGACCAGATAATCGTGGCAGTTAACGTATACACTCGCATATCGGGCCATGTGTAAGTAAACCCTCCCCCGGCTGCCATTCTCAATATCCGTATTCATGACAACGACCTAACATCCTCCTAAAGATACATGAAGAACATCCGTACCGGCCACGAATATGCAGCGGAAGTGGAAGCCGACTCGCCCGAGGACCCAAAGTTTCAAATTTGCCTTGGCTCCGGTGTTGCTCAGTTCTTCCAGGAATGGGACATCGCGGAAGACAGAGCAGATCTACCGGTCTTCAACAATGTTACATTTTCCGACATGACAGCTATCGATCGCCGTGGTGAATTTTATGATCTCACTTCGGGAACGGAGGACTATTGGACCATGATCGATGCGGGGAGGCAAGTTGCCATACCGGAGGGAATCAACAGCAAGAGTTTTGTAGTTTACTCCCCTCAGGGGAGAACGTGGAGTCCACGCGGCGGTCGGTAGGCCTAGTCGATAGTCCTTTGCCTGACAGATCTAATAATAGACGGCTCTATTATCCATTGGCATGCGGAATTTATTTCTGGTTTCTAGCGGCAATACGAGGAATCCATTGGTGGACAGGGCTTCTTATATTATGAATCTATAGATATTATGGGAGACCCTTCTCAATATTAGTAGATCGCTGAATTAACTATTACTCAACAGCTTTTCCACTGCCCATTTGACGGAAAAGTTCCTGATATCCGAATAATGCTGTCCAACACCAACAAACAAGACGGGCACATTCGTGGCATGGACGATGCTGACCAAAGTTCCTACCATGTCGCCGACTGTATCGCATTTGGAGATAATGAATCCGTCTAGCGTCCGGCCGGGACCAAAAGACGAGTTGAAATTTCTTGCTTGAGCGACTGAGTCTGTTCCTACTAGTGCCTATCACCATAAAATTAGCAAAGTGGTCATTTGATACGAGATTTTTCGTGGATCCTACCTCGCCAACCATTAGAATCTTGTCGGGCTGGGCGAACTTGGCAAACTTCTCTAATGACGACATCAACCTCTGATCATTGTGTCGTCGTCCAGCTGTGTCGATGAGTACTACATCAAATCCCTCATTGGCAGCCTCTCTCACAGCATCCTTGGCGACCGTGGCAGCATCGCCACCATACCCCTTTTCAAAAATCTCCACCTTGCCGCCTTCACGTTCGGTTAGCTCCTTCAAATTCCGTACATGGACCTTCAGTTGTTCTACAGCCCCTGATCGAAAGGTATCTCCAGCTGCGATTAGGACTTTGTATTTGTTTTGCAAGAGGAAGTAACAAATCTTGGACAAGTTCGTCGACTTGCCAACGCCGTTGACACCAACTATAGAGATAACGTAGGGGCGTGGCTTTCGCATCGACGTCGTGGGGGGCTTGATGACAGAGTCTATCTCGCGCAAGAGATCTAACGATGAGGTAGGCGTAAGCATCTTAGTAAGAGAAGCTTCCATGGCCTTAGCGATGCGCGCATCGATGCTCTCGAAGCTGCCCGTCTTCACGCCAAGAAGCTCCTTCTCGACACCCTCACAAAGCCGTATAGCTGCCTCGCGGGCAACATTCTTCCGTAATAAATGGTCTTCCATCCCCTTCATAGCTTTGTCAAGGTCTTCTTTCGTCAATGTCTTACCGCCCACTACGTTGCGGAAAAGACTACTAATCGTGCTCAATCCAGATCCGACTAGACCACCTTTCGTTTCCGTTTTCGGGGTGTTCTTCGCTTGGGCTGACTCCAAGATGGAATGAACTTCGTCATCTAAGTCCTTCAGCACGAACTGTCCCTTGGAAGTCTTCGTTCCCCATGAAGATGAGTCTACCCCCTCTCCAACCGTCGACCGAGCAGCCGCATCCACTTCACTATCGCTTGTCAAAGTGTTCTGGGCCGCCGAGTAATCGAGTTGTAGGCTATCATCCTCTTCGTCGGCAAAGCCATCGGCATCCCACTTACGACCTTTCTTAGGTGCTTTCTTAGCTTTCCTTGCTGGTCCTTCGTCGCCGGAGGAGACGGGGGCGGAACTGTTTCTTATCTTTCTAGCTCTTCTTGACATCTTCCCCATAGGACCGCCCTTTGCTACAACCAGATGGCTTCCACTAGGGGTGGAAGGTCGGGAAGTATTCGGAGTAGATTCGGCAGTGGATGGACGTTCTTGGGGGTTATTCTGCGTTTTGCCTCTACTTTTAAGGCCTGGTGGAAGAGGGGGTTCATCTCCAGTATTGCCTGATATAACGTCCTCTTCTAATAGAGAAGCAACCGCAGCAGGTCGTGCGGTGTTGGCGGACCCGCTTGACTCGAGTTCTTGGTATTGCTGGTCAAAATATTCGTCGAATTTGCGGCATTCCACGATCGTAGCGTTAGGCTTCTTTAATTGATCGGCGTATAAGTCAATGAATATAGTTTTCAAGTTATCAACAAGCTTGTCAATCCACGATAGGTGCAACAGGGACCGGTAAACAGCCTAGAGACAGTCAGACGACATAGGGATATTATCAAGCAGGAGTAGCGCCGTACAACAAAGATCACGCCTAACTCCTTCACAAATGTCCACTTCAAGGTATGCTGATCAGCCTTGTATGATGGATTGCTCGATGCGGGCTGGCTGTTCCTTGCGCCAGCTGCAGCACCTTTTTCTTCTATGAAGACATCGGAAATGAAGTTATTAATAACGGACGGGTTGACCGGCGCATAGGTTCGCGACCAAAGGACGACCCCGGAAGTCGTCAGGATTTCGAATGTATCCAACATATTGGATAGCCTTTTCTTTTTTTTAGCAACCTAGAAAAGAAGAGCATAGGGTTTCCGAAGCTTGTACATTGAAGGTTGTATGAAGCGATAAGTTGTTACAAGGCGACAAGAGCCACAAGGGTAGAAAAGTAGCATACGTATGTATGTACATTTGTAGCGCTCCCAGCTGGCAAATTGCAGATTGTATCCATGCATATTTGATTTAATCGAACCAATCGATGCCCGATTACGGAGACTAGGTGACTCGGAATTAAACCTTATTGCGGCTCCGGCACGTCATAGGTGTCAATGGGGATGAACTAGGTGCATCAGGTACCTACATACATTAGGTACCCGGTAGTTTTAAAAATGGAATAATCTCGGAACAGTGGGTCTGACACGGCAGCTTGCAACAGCTGCAACATATACAACATATGTACAACATACAACTGTACAAAACCTCTTTTTAAATAACTAAATAAAAAACACATCTCCAGAACAAAGTCGCCAATGAGCCCTTGAGCCCTTGAGCCCTCGAAGCTCACGCCTAGCATTATAATCCAACAACCTATAACCTGACCAACCTTAACCTTTTTCAAAAACAAAAAAAGTTGAGACCAAGATCCAAAATGCAGCAACATCCAAATTATGGCCATTCTCCGCCGCTTCACCATCCCGTCCCTCAACACGTCTCTACCGTTCCACAGTTACGATCGCCGCCACCCTTAACGTCGTCGCAACCCCAACAACAGGGCGCATATGGAAATCCTTACCAGCAGGGAACCCCCGCCGCTGGTAGTAGTAATGTCTTTGGCACTTATGGCAACTTCATGAATGACCCTATGGCCGCCCAGTTCGTGGGAACGGTCGGCCAAAATGCTTTCAAGCACGTTGAGCAGAATGTAGGTTTAGTTGCAAGCCACTCGGGCTCAAAGTGAAGCTTATACCTCTACTAACATCTATACTATCAGATGAACCGATGGGTCAACTTCTCCGCTCTGAAGCACTACTTTAACGTTTCCAACAAATATGTCATCAATAAGCTCTTCTTAGTGCTCTTCCCTTGGCGCCACAAGCCTTGGTCGCGAAGACAAGCCGTAGGACCTAACGGGCAGGAGGGCTGGTACTTACCACCGCGCGACGATATCAACAGCCCTGATATGTACATTCCGGTCATGGCGCTTGTTACATACATATTACTATCAACATTAATAGCGGGTTTACGGGGTCAGTTCCAGCCCGAGTTGCTAGGATATACAGCTTCTACCGCGGGAGTCGTCGTCATACTCGAGATATTGCTCCTGAAATTAGGGTGCTACTTTCTTAGTATTTCGAACGAGTCTCAGCTCCTGGACCTTGTGGCCTACTCAGGCTACAAGTTCGTCGGCATCATTGTAACAGTCACCATCGCCGAGCTCATGAATGGAGGCAAGGGAACTGGCGGTTGGATCGGGTGGACGATCTTCTTTTATACCTTTTTAGCAAATTCCCTATTTTTGGTGAGTTTGATCCTTTCAGGGGTATTATCTTGACAAGACTAATAAAGCATGGTTAGATGCGATCGCTACGATATGTTCTACTGCCAGAGAGTTCCGGAGGGGATGCACGAGGCCCGATGCAAACAGACACACGGACGAAGCGAAACCAGCGGACACAATTTTTATTCGCTTATTCGTATCTTGTACAGTTTCTATTTATGTGGATTCTTAGCAGGGCGTAAATACATATGCCCGTCAGGTCCTATTAATAGCTCTCCCCAGATTCGTGACGAGCGATTCCAAAAGATTATCAAACCTAGCATTTATCTCATACTTGAAGATATTGTTGTATAGAAACAACAAATCTTGGCTCTTACAGGCTTCGCTCCAATTAAAGAATACGGTGGTGAAGTAAGATCAAGGCTATATACCACCCTTCGAAATAAAAATAAAATAAAATAATTCTTCAAAGGTGTTATTGAACGGTGTTCTACTATATGCGCGTCGTAAAAGTAATAGCAGAAGCTTTGCGGCAGATGCTCGTAGCTGGTTGGTTGGTTGGTTGGTTGGTTGGATCCCTTATCCATGTATGCAGACTTTTCGGTAAATCTAGTCTTTGCTTAACTTTGACGGTCTTGACATTTTAGATTCCTACCTCGTTATCCTACGTGCCCAAGTAGGCAGACCAATAATATTTGACCAGCAACCAAGACTTATTTACATATATTTACCTATATACCACGTACGTGTATATACATACGTGTAACCTCATCTCTGCCCAAGCTAGCATCTCATCCGTTTATTTCCTTTATCTTGTTTATCTCTCAAATTTGAGCATTTGAGCCGGCAAATATACGAATTTCTCAAGTGTGATTATCAGTCGAGCGGGTAACACTCAAATACGTCGACATGGCGTTTTCTCCGATTGTCACAGCTACTATCCAATCCGCAGTTCTTGCGGCTACGTCTAACATTTTGGCACAGGGCCTAACGGCATATCAGAATGAGGTATGTGTTAATTCCTTTCAAAATAAAGAACATGTCTACCATCAGATATGAGTCTTCAAAGACCATATATGGTCACTTTCCTAGTAAATGTTCTGCTGAGCTTGAACTAACACAATCTATAGACTCCTCTTGTCATCGATTGGGTGCCAGTCTTCCAGTTCGTCCTTTACGCATTTCTCAATGTACCACCCAACTTCTTATGGTACGTATTGAAGTCGCATTGGTCCCGGGGGCATATACTACTACATTGAGCCCTTATAACTGCTCTATTCTAACTATATGCTAGGCAAGAGTTTCTAGAGGACTCCTTTCCGGCGTACCATATAATGCCTACGTCCGCAGCAGTAGCGTCCGCAGCAGCAAACGATGAGAAAGCGCTTGAAAAAGAAGAGGAAGAGGGCAAGTTGGTGGAACGCAAGCTTAATATCAGCAACACGGCCGTCAAGATGATTCTAGACCAAACCGTAGGCGCAGTCGTCAACACCTTTCTCTTCAGCTTGTTCATACACTCCATCCAAGACGCTATGCTGCGACCTCTAGGTGCATCACTTAGCGGTCCGGCGAAGAGTGCCCAGTATCTATTCTCCCGCGGTGCTATTGACTATAGCAAAGTAGATTGGGCGAGTGTGGTCGCTCGTAGCCGTGCTGAGTTCTATGAGCTCCTCGTTGCTGGATGGAAGGTGTGGCCGGTCATAAGCCTGATCAACTTTGCCTTTATTACAAGCATCCAGGGCCGCAACCTGGTCGGCAGTCTTGCTGGTGTCGGCTGGGGCATTTATATGAGCCTTGTTACCGCTCGTTAGGAACGGGAGTTGAAATTGGCACGACTTAATTATGTGTCAGTCCTGAGATTTGCATTTATATCGGCAATTAAGGGCGTTACGGGATTTTCAATACTGAACAGAAAGGCGGACATATTGGAAAATGTCCTCGGCCTTGCCGCAGCCTTAGGCGCGGCAGGTCTATGCTCGATATCGCCGCTCCTTTTCGGAGCTTTGCTGAGTAGACCGGCCTCCTGACATGTCTGTTCTCTGTAATTATATATTGCAACAGAAACCATTAAGCAACACTGGACACTCCGAGCCCGCGCTCACTTCGGACAAATCCACCACGGACTACAATCACGTATATTCAACCTGTCATGTAGCATTATAGCATGAATTTAATAGATGGATTATGAAAGACTAATTAGGACATTCCTTTTCCAGTACCAGGCCTTATATCTCAGTGACCCCAAGAAATACCCGTGTCCCTCAATCCCAGTAGTGCTATCTAATTAAACCTCTTGAACTGAAAACCCAACCCGTATATGACCATTTTCTCGTCCAAGCCGTGTCGTGCCATATAGAAGAGTCCTTCTCTAATACCCGGGTCTCGGTAGTCGACATCGTAAACCGCTCTATTACCACTTGAGATAACCAGGATCACTCCAGTTCTGAGCTCCTTGCCGAGCTCGATGCTTGACATTCTGTGCAGGCATTCAATCGAGAACCCGCGTTTTAGTCTGATGATTAATTAAAGTCAGCAACAATTTTTCCTGGAAAATTTAGGGGGTATGAAGATATTATGGTGGTAGTTCTTGGTTTACGTACATCTTGCGAACTGTCAGTTCGCATTGATCTGCCCATTCTTGCGCCCAGTTCGACATTATGGCACTGAATATAAGTTATAGCGTTACAACTATTTTTGGGTATTTATTTTATCTCTGTAAAGCTGCTTCAACTCAATGAGCCGAATAGGACAAGGTAGATTTCAGGGAGACGGTCTGGCGCTGCCAGAGTAATAGATATGTTCCAGCTTTAAAGCTATGGTAGACAATTTTGATACCTTCGAAATAGTACTACAACTCTGATGTTACATATATTAGATTGAATTGTAAATACCTAGGCTTCGAAGAAGATTGAGTGTAAAATGGTAATTCTTGTTAGCTTGCACTATTCGCCTAGCAAATCATGGAGCTTTAGATATAGGGATTAAAAGTCCGTAGGCTATCCTTTGTCTTTGATATTATACCAATCCATATTAGGGGGTAAAGGCCATTACCGCATTCAACATGACAAAGGGGGACCATCTCTATGTTATCTACAACGCCCAGTTATCCAAACAGGAGCATTGTTATAGAGGTATATACAAAGCATCAAGTGATCATAGTGATGTTATCATGCTCTTATATGGAGGCATCGAAGTTAGAAAGGGGGGGTTCCTTTGTCTATTATACACAGTACAACATCGAAGGCAGGTATTCTCAGCGGTGGTGAATACTTTAAACTATATATTGTACTTTTTAGTGACAGTTCCAGAGGGTTTTATATACAGTCAATATTACTATATCTCAGCACTACGAAAGAGTACCGATATAACTATCTACTATTTATGAACTTAATACGAGTCAAAAGATGAATCAGATGGGGTCTCTTCAGCAACATATGCCCTCTCCTGTTGAGCAACATAATATCCTCTAGCTGAAGTTTCTGTTTCGTCATCCGTACATTTGAGAATTGTGTCAGCCTCTGACGGGGCGCCGGCCTGCTGAGCTTCAGTTATCGATTGAGTTGCTTTGTCAAGATTGGTTACTGTAGTAGAAAGTTAACGACTGTCTTATTTTGGAGAAGGGGGACGTTGGTGAAAATCTAGGCTCTCGAGACTAGAAGAAGGGAATTGAAGTAAACTCACTTTTGAACCAAAACCAAATTCCACCACCCCTGAGCGGAAACCGGAATTCCTTTGCGGTTACATCACGAGCCACTTCCCTTAGCTTCTTCTGGAGCTTAGGGTTTTCTAATGTACAGTCCTCTTTGATTTTTCGTCTTATTTCCGCCACGAGGGCCACTCCAAAACCTTCGTCCATTTCCCAAGAGTCGGGTCCAAAGCCTTTCAGGGTCATCTTTTTATTCAATACTATATCCACCGTCTTTTCGATGGCTTGGTTGACATTCTTCCACTTCTGTGCTGAGAGGGTCACTTTGGGACCATGAAGGGCAACATGCCTTCTATCATTAGGAACGGGAAGTATGGACGGCTGGTGAGATTTCCTGTTTGATGGTGGTTGAGGAGTGCGAGCTCCTTTACCTCTTGGTAGTTGCTTTCTTGTGCTGTTTGACATAATGATATAGTTATGCTAAAGAGTAAAGTAGCTAGGTTAACAAGTTTGCTTATCGTATAATTCATTTCAAAAATCTGGCCAGGCAATTATATTATATCTGCAAGATCATAGCCTAACATAGTATGTCGAGGTCGTTTTTTCTTAATGTAGCTGTTTCACTCGTTAGTATATTTCTTTGAAGGGGTATACAACCTGCTAGAACGAGAGACAAAGGCTATCTCCAGTTTAATAAATCAGTTTCATATCTGGCAGGAAGAAACACGCTGTCCTGGTACATGCTTCTATGTCGTGTAGAAATAGGTTACACAGATACCGTAGGAGTTTCCCGCGTACTCGAATAGGACTTGTTGTCCGCTTTTAGATTACGAATTAAAGAAGCTAGGGGACATACATTAACATACATATGTCTATACCTACTAGGATTGACTATGGGATATCTGTAACCGCCGTGAAAGATTATATGTTCACCGGTATACGTGGAAGACAAGATCAAACACGACAGACATACGTATCCCTTGAAGAGAATCAGAACATGTATCTCCTAGCAAGACACGATTGGGCTTCATCATTCTGAGGGCTATACTTTTTCTAGCCGGCTGAAAGAGAGCAAGTATAGGAGAGAAGAAACTGCCTTGACGACAGACTTGCATGTCTATTGACTATTTATGAGATACCAAGCTGAATAATGTACTACGACGTAGATGGTGATGAGAACTGACCGTGACGGCGATACCTCATGAATGAATGCAAGGAGTGATGTACCGATGCTACATAAATTTGCCAATTCGGAATGATGATAGGTCGTCAAGATTGGAGTATTATTAAAGGCAATAGGGGCTAGGTAAGAATTAGATAATTACGCATTAAGCGATGATGACTCTACTCAGTTGCGTGGCATGCATAACAGCCTGCAGGAGACAGGATTGGGGATGGTTACCTTACCCGTGCGCCACATTAGGTACAGTAAGGCAACTAGAATTTCGGTAAGGAGAACTCCTCTGGGATGTAGTTAATAATAGTAGGAAAGCGGGGAGAGATCCGAGAGCTTGATTGATAGTAGCGGCCGTGAGGCGTAATAGGGGTGGACCCTAGGTGGTCCGAAGTCGCGGTTCTTCTTTTTTCTTTTCTCGGATCTGCGGTACGATGGAAGTAGTCTAGATGCGGGATCAGCAGAGCCTCGACTGAGCTAGAACTTGACTCGACGCGCCCTTTGCGAATTTGTGGCCCCCGGCTAGGAAGCCGGTAAGAAAGGAAAAGATGGTTGCCTTAATAACAGCGAGCGAGGCAATTGGATACAACTATAATGTCACAATACACACTGGTGGTACTCGATAAGGTTGTGATGGATTAGCGGAAGTGAGGGGACAAGCTTACAAGTATGTATCTTTGAAGTTGAATAACCGAAGAGCTTTTGAAGACGTGAGCTGGTAATACTTGGCAGCGAAGTACGCAAGCATGGTATGGCTTGTCTTAGGCCATGAAGCCGGTTGCCGACGGGTTTGCTGTTGGCAAATTTACACGTATATGATGATGATATATTAACATGATTGACATATTGCAGTATTGCAGTATTGTAGCATTGTAGTGGAGGTACCTACCGGTGCTTACCGGACCTTTCTTTTGTATACATAATTGTAGAGATTGTACGGAATAGAGATCACCCGTTGCTAAGCTTGAATATCGCCTCCATCTTATGATCTACATACACTAACCCCGTTTCAATGTCGTATGATAACTGAGGCTCTTGCGGCCTGAATTTACACAAAATAAATCCACAAACGTAAGAGGCAACTGAATAATGTTGAATGTTGTAGGGGATGTACATATTTTGACAAGCCTCCTCCATCATGTCTTAGTTTATATGCAGATGTTCTGTTACTCTACAGATGACCAGTAGCTGACGTGCTGCTGCTGCTGTTGCTGCAAGTAATACCGTTGAATGGATGGGTGATTGTAAAAGTTACAATGTAAAAAGAAAGGGTTAACATGGGATGACCCTCCCATTTCGGAGCTGACATGGCGTGGAAGAAAACGAGTTTCACCAGGTGAGACAGAGAAACATTAGTATCTACCTATGTATGGAATACGCTTGTGATGTCAAGTTGCGTTACGGGTCGCGGGTCGCGGGTCGCCGCCACTTTAGGCCAAGAATTGGAAATTGGCATTATGAACTTGTAAAAAAAAAATCCTTTGCCGCCCGGTGGATCAAGCTATTTTTGGATCGTTGAACGCTAATTCTCTTCTTCCCTTAGGTTAAGTCTTTTAAGGTTTTGAAGTCCTTAGCAAAACTAAAGGAGGAATATTAATTACTTTGGTTGACAATGTTTTTTTTTATATGGTATATAGCACGCAGTTCGTAGCATGAGAACTCATTAATCCGTACATTATAATCGCATTGTAGCCTACGAATCAGTGCACGCCAGCGTAGGGGTTATGTCCGTCGATCTCTATGGCGTGTCATACTACTAAACGTTTAATTCGTTTCCGCATGAGGCATGAGTTCGCGATGTAAAAGTTGGGGGGGATGGGGGGTTTCATGCTTAAATAATACATATTCTGATAACTACCTCTACTAAATACTCTAGTTAGTTAATATGAAATGAAGTAAATAAATATTTCTATCGTCTGAATAATAATAATAGCCCGTAAACAAGTTAGTAGCCGTTTGCCGCTTTGGTTTTTGGCATTTGAAAGAGCTCATTTGAAAATGCCGCTTCCATCGATTGAGCTCACAGAGCTTACGCATACATACGTACATACATACAGAGCTCCCCAGGCGCAGAGCTTCCTATCCGGATGTATACTTACTTTGGTGCGCCTTTTCGTGATCCTCCTCGTGATCTCCCTTGTGCTCTCCTCCGACGTATTAGGTACATGCACGTACATACGCACTATACTACATGTATAGATAGTGTTGGTAGTATATGTAGTATTAGAAGTGTAGTATACATGTAGTAGCTGATCGTAGCTGATTCCCCTCGTCAGGGTCCGATTTGAATTCTGTATACTATTGGTTCGAGATGGATGGAGCTATCCGAAATTGAATTATTACCGTTCACAATGCATTTTCAACAATGCACCTTTTCAACACTTGAATTGTCGAGCCCCCAAATAAAGGACTGGGGCTCGATTTCTACACTTCACCATCTGGACCTCTCAAAATAAACAACGCTACGGGATGCGTCAGTTGTCTTTTTGCATGCTTTTTTTTTTTTTTTTTTTTTTTTTTTTTGCAAGACTTGGGTACATGATCTGACCATTGTTGTATTTAAGGTTGCTTACGGCGTGTTTGTCGTTAAAAGAGATTTGATGAGAGAATATAAGAAGACGAGAAGATTATTATTATTATTATTAACAACGGTAGAGGCAACTGCCGGTTCTGATATTCTGAAACTAGCGATCCGGTTGCTGAGGGTTATTGAGGACCATTGAGCAACCCACCAACTGAAGGTTCCGCCCGTAAAGATGATACATGTAGACTTCGATACATGTAGATTAGGTACATATTTCAGGTACTCAGTGGTAGTACCTACCTCCGTGTATTGTATTGTACGCAGCTTGTACGGTGTTACGGCGTTGAAAAGATACTTACCCCAAAAGCTAACGACTGTACCTTAGGTACCTATATTAGTGCGTACCGTATCTAAAGCCCTGGGCGGGGTGACTTTTGGCGGTGCACAGGCTACAGGAGGCAGTAACTCTTCTCCCTTAGTGTATAATCGCCAGCCACAGTTGCCTTAGGTGTATTCGTCCACTAAAAGAAGGTACATTGTGTAGGTATGTACAATACCTAGGTAGGCAAAGTACAAGTTGAGCCCAGTCAATCGAGCCAGCCAGCAAACCAGCGGACACTTGCACCCACTTTCAGCGCGCCAAAAGCCCAATCAGTACCAGGGTCGGTCCTGCCCAGCTTCATGAGGCGCGCCCAACCCCATTCCAGCCCATCCCTCCTCTCAGCCAAATTCGTCCACCGCCGTCTCATTCTTCCTTTTCTCTCTTCCCCTACCGAACCTAACCACTAACTTCCCATCTTCCCATACACCCACTCGCTGTCGTATTCGACTGAAGACGTGTTACTTGACCGACGAAATTAATTCGATATTCGACGGCCACGTCTTCTACTTTTATCTTTTCCCTCCACCCTCTCTCTCTCTCTATTCATTCCATCCATTTTCCATTTTCCATTTTCTTTGACGCCAGTAAAACTGCTGGTTACAGCCACTACAAACGCCAGGTCGTCAGGTAAGACAAACCATCTCCTTTCTCCGTACTTCTGCTCTCGGTCGGAATCCTCCATTCCATTCCATTCCCAACCTCAATCGGTTTTCAGCAATCGCTCAAACTTCTTTTATGCTTGAAAGTTTGAGCAGCCCATTTTTCTATTTGTCTCGTCGGCTTATCTTGCCTACCCTTTGATTTTAATTCTCAACGCACTTCTACTTCGCCACTCTTGTTACAGACACAGTCGCTGCAGCGCTTTTGTATGTGGCAACACTATCTTGCGTATACCATTTTGGAATGCCAAATCAAATAGCTACGGTTGCCGTTGGGTGAATATCGTCTTGCTAATTTCGATTCGAACAGGTTGACCATAATAGTTTCGATAAACCCTCGTATCGACCCAGCGAGTCATTTAACCCCCCCGAGCCCGGCTTCCGTGTTTATCTATTCACCTTTGTCGAGCTTGGTAGCTCAACCCCAATAATCAGTATGACTACTATGGTATGTCGCTAATTTAGTTATCATGGTCATATTTGGCGGTGGAGCATTCTATGGGATTGTCTTGATTCTTGTCTAGATAGTGGGGACCGAATGTCGGTGTGCATTGATGGGGTACCCCTATAGTCAGCATGAAGGCGTCTTCGGAAGCCTATTTTGCAAGACTTCCGTTGTATTGCAAGCATGAATACGGTTGGCAAGTGAGCTGACTGATGCTGACTTGCTGCAGGATCTCCGCGTCGGTAATAAGTACCGCATCGGTCGAAAGATCGGTTCCGGCTCGTTCGGTGATATTTATCTTGGCACCAACATTATCTCGGGCGAAGAAATCGCCATCAAGCTAGAGTCTGTTAAGGCAAAGCACCCTCAACTCGAATATGAGGCTCGGGTTTACAAGTCCCTTGCTGGTGGCGTTGGTATTCCCTTCGTCCGTTGGTTTGGAACCGAATGCGACTACAATGCTATGGTCCTAGATCTTCTTGGTCCTAGTTTGGAAGATCTCTTCAACTTTTGTAACCGAAAGTTTTCCTTGAAGACCGTGTTGCTCCTCGCCGACCAACTAATCTCCCGAATCGAATACATCCACGCCAAATCATTCATCCATCGTGATATCAAGCCCGACAACTTCTTGATGGGCATCGGCAAACGGGGTAATCAAGTCAACGTTATTGATTTTGGCCTTGCCAAGAAATATCGAGACCCCAAGACTCACTTCCATATTCCTTACCGTGAGAACAAGAACTTGACTGGCACTGCTCGATATGCCTCTATCAATACCCATCTTGGTGTTGGTAAGTGACCGTTTCTTACTAGTACCGTCGTAATAGAAAACTAATGGATGCAGAACAATCCCGTCGTGATGACATGGAGTCGTTGGGTTATGTGATGCTCTACTTCTGTCGGGGTTCTCTCCCTTGGCAGGGACTTAAGGCTGCTACTAAGAAGCAGAAGTATGACCGCATCATGGAAAAGAAGATGACTACACCAACCGAGGTTCTTTGCCGTGGTTTCCCTAACGAATTTGCCATCTACTTGAACTACACCCGTTCCCTTCGATTTGATGACAAGCCCGACTACAGCTACCTCCGAAAAATCTTCCGTGATCTCTTCGTTCGTGAAGGGTTCCAGTACGACTACGTCTTCGATTGGACGGTCTATAAATATCAGAAGAACGCCCAGGCGATCGCCCAGGCCGCCGGCCAGGGTGAGAACGAAGACGACAAGGCCCGACGAACCACCCCTGCGACCGCGGGTCCGGCTGCCCAATCGGGTGCTGTGAAGCCAAATCCGATTCCCAGCTCTCGCCGTAAGGTAATCGAGCGCGGTGTTCCCGGCGTTGACACTCCAGAAACCAACCGTGCCGTCGGAGGAAGCGACAGGATGTGAGTGTCTCGCCAGCCCAGCCCAAGCATTCCTAGTAAGGAATCATTTTTCCTTCGAGTTTGGTGTGATTTACAGCGCTAGACGGAGGAATTGCTGACACGATTTGCTGACACTTCAGTTTGCGGTAACAGGCTGCGATCAGCTTCCAAAGGCCAGGGCGCTGGCTCTGGATATGCATCTGGATCCTACCGACCGAAATGATTCGAGGGCATTTTCACATTGGTGACAACTGTTACGTTGTAGCGGGCTTGCCGAATGTTTGACCTGCACAATGGAAAGTAACTCGGAATCGTGGTATCCTCATTAATATGTCCCTCTGCATTGGCTCTGGAACGTCCGCCAAGGACCTACGCCTATTATTGCCGGATAGAGGACCACGCACGATCCCTTTCATATCGTATGGATTGCTATTGTTTCCGTTCTTCGATGACTCTCGGTTTAGGACTCAATCCCGTGGCTCGAACAACCTGGTAACGCTAGAAGGCGTCGATTTGTGTCTCGCACACATTCGACGTTCTTCTTAAGTGTGGCCAGGCTTGTTTGAACGGCACGTCCGGCACTCTGACTCGTTTGGGGTGTCGTTATGGAATTAAGTCTTATCATGGCATGTCAACCTCGATTCTTTGCTTTTCAATAATGCGTATGAATTAGAGGATGATGCATACCCGGAGCCTGGGCTTCTGTAACTTTCGAAACTATCATCATCCCGTTTCGAGTTATTGATGCTCCTTCGATGCGATCGATTAGCCTTTCTGATATGACGAGCTTCTTTGGTTTCCTTTTCGCTTCTTTGATGGTTTCTTTTCGTTCATTTTCCCGTTCGGACTTTGCATCGTTATGCCAATCTCCTCTCCTGGGGATGCTGTAATGAAGTTGTGGGGGTTCGTCTCAGGATGTTCTGCAATATCAAACGCCAGCCTAATGATGCCCCGGAGCTCGTTGTCGCCGGAATCCGCAGACCAGATCTTCGTCTTGAATCTACGTTACCAGTATGGGCGGAGCTGACGGCTTACGTACTACGGATACATGCTATCGGCCTTACCGTCGGTCGTGGTGAAATCTCAGCCAGTGGTCGGAAATAACCCTTTCCCAGGTTGGGATGGATTAATAAAGATAGGCGGTGTTTTCCGCACGTTTAGCCAGTAGTAGTATCCATGAACCTCCGGGCTCATCGACATCACAACGCATTAGAAGCACGACGTTTAAGAAATATTGCGATACTCGACGAAACGAAAGACGCCGCCTAAGTTCACGATAGATTGGTAGCGTCGGTGGATCGCACTCACGAAACATGGATGGAGAGGAGGGTTTCCCCGACAACGACGACAGACAATACACGCTAGGTAGTTACACAGAATGAATTCTATTTGCATTATCATTGGTAGACTTGATTGCGTATTAATTAATTAACAAGATGAGACAAGTAATTCAGGCCTTGGTATAGTATAGTAGACATGCCCAAGGTAAGGGATGTATTTCGACCAATAGTGGGGGGAAGCCCTGCGATAGAAGCGGCTATACGGAGAGGCTGTGCACATTCTCAAAGATCACATGGCCTTGAATAATCGTGGAGCACCTGACATGGGCAGGTTTTCGCCTAGGATAAATACACTTAATATGGTCACGTAACTGATCACATAGCCCTATTTTAAAGGGATGAAGAGGTGAGTGAAATCGTATAAGAGTTGGCAAGTGTCGTCGAATTCATAGGGGAGGAAAATAGGATAAATGCTCGTATAATACCGGATTCGGAAGGACCCTGAACATCTATACCCGAGAGTTGGATATCGATGACATAATATCTATTACGCGGGAAAGAAAGAGGAAGGGTTCAAAAGCCCGATACCCTTGCTCTAGGATACCTAGTCCCACCATTAGATCCGATATCTTGGAAGGGAAGGTGATACAACATAAACCTAACATTAGAGATTGTAAATTTTGGAGCACCACGGCTCCATTCCACAAGTTCCCATTACAACTCTGACTGCACAAATACATACCTAAGGTATACACCGAATACCTACACCGAAACTTGGGTTTTAATTCGCCTACCGAGATGGATCCAGTTCCGACGCTGGACGTCTTCATACTTACATTCAATGCTGCGAAGCACCAGATTAATGTTCCCGTCTTTGCTCGACACTTATACAATGCATTCTCACGGAACGCTTCGAGTCTTCCAGAATTGGTTGTCATGTAAGTATCATATAATGCACTCATTATTGTCTGATAATTAATTGACTGTCAAGCTCCCTCCAGGAGATGGCACCACTGGCTCAGGCCTTAATCGGCTCATACATGCTCAACCCTTATTTTCAACGATACGAGTCGGCCGTAAATATTGCAGCTGCCAAATTCGCGGCCGAGTTGGAGCGTCAGGGTCTCCCAAAAGACCATCCGTATACGCTGGTAACTGCGCGCAATGTTGGTATGACAGGCATTCTGCTCTTTGCCCGTGACCCAAACACGGTGAAGCATCTACAAGCTACGTTTATCGCTTTTGGCGCTGGTGATATGCCTAATAAAGGAGCCGTGGGGCTTCGGATGCATTACAACAAAAGGACTACGGATGGCTCTTTATTAGCAACGACTGAACTCACCTTCGTTAGTGCTCATCTAGCTGCTATGGAATGGAATCTCGAAAAGAGGAACAAGAATTGGGAAACTATCGTCTCCGGCCTTGTATTCGAGAACCCCAAGAAAATTGCAGAAAGCCGGGAGGCGCAGTCCACTCTTCAGAGTGACGATGGCTCCGAAGCCCATCAAGCTCTACTTTCGCAGGACACAACCGAAAAGTCTCTGCACGATATTTCCATTTATAAGCCCGGCGCCCACCTCTTTGTTGCTGGAGATCTTAACTATCGTATATCTAAGAGTTCACCAACTACGGACTCGGTATTTCCGGATACTAGTTTTGATACTGTGGATTCCAATCATTTGTCACCTTTCTTGGCTCGCGATCAGCTTATTGCAGAGAGAGATGCTGGTCGCACACTACACGGATTAAGCGAGGCAGAGATCCAATTCCCACCAACATATAAGCTAGTAGTGTCCCCAAAACCAAAACTACATGCAGAGCTTGATCGTATCGGAGATGAAGAAAACGACGCAGATGAAGTCGACTGGTCGTGGGCTCTTCATCGATGGCCCGGCTGGTGCGACCGCATTCTGTACCAAGAGATACCCTGGTGGGCCAGGGAGACTGTCGGCGATAAAAGTATGAAGATTATAGATTACAATGCGCTCCCTCCCGTTAGATCGAGCGACCACAGAGCAGTATTCTTGCGCGTAGAGGTCCCGATGCTTGAGCACGACTGCCTTATACCGCCTGAATCTGCTCTGGAATCGGAGTTAAGAACAAAGCGTGACAGTCCCCTACCTGTTGACCCTCGTATCAAGCTCCCATTTCCAATCGACTTGCAATCTTGGGAACGCCGAGCTTCTATCCAGAAATGGGAGCCAACTATCGGCTGGTCGATGCTGATCTCGCAATCAAAAGAGGCTATCGCAGTGTTCGTTACTCTGCTCCTCGTTGGCCTTGGTACTTGGTGGTATAGGTCTTGGTAGTATTCGACCTTGCTACGCCTTACAGAACGGACGACTGGCTTCCTGGCAGGCTGGTCAGGAGTTGGCTGGCCACGAATAAGCCAGCCACGGGCCAGAAGGACATGAGCTGACTGTAGGTTAAATGCTATGCTTAAATACGGTTACGCTCCGTGGTCGATTCGGCCACGACTATGGACCCATGGATGGTTCCAAGGTATTAATGTCATCTTTTGGTGGTTATCTTCCCCTTTTGCCCCTCTTGTGCCGACTTTATAGCAGCGGATTATAAGAGGCTTTAGTGCTATTATATTTAGACGAGTTTCCAGGAGGGATGAGGGATAGATGACGGTAATTAATGGTGATTATACCCTTCTACGAAAGACTAAAGGCGTTTGGCCGTATATACTTTAGAGGGCTAGGAATATTTTAGACTTATACTGGGAGTTTACTAAACCGGTAAACCCGTGGAAATACACTAATGCTAAATGCGATGTTAGAATGTTGATAACAATGGCTTCCGGATATGGAAACTAACGCCACCGGCATTGTCGTGAAGTGAGTCTTTGTTTATTTTCCTAGCTCTATAAACCTTTATGTCCAGCTGCTTCCCACAAAGCTATTCAATAGCATTGTATCATTTAGCATACCTCCATTATTTCTTTTTTTTTTCTCTCTCCATAGAAACAATGCCAAATTCCCAAGTACAAAGCTTTATAGAGCGAGCTCGCTTTGAGCGTCAAGAGGAACTGAATCGACTAGCTCAGGAACAGCACGTGAACCTAGGATTGATTCTGGGATTGTCTTTGAAACTTGGTAAAAATCAATCACATATTGATTACGCGGGCGGGTTAGACAGCAATAGAAGATGGGCGGACTTGGCTAAATTGGCAAAGTTATCACGATGGGAAGTCAAGCTGGGTCACCAGGAACTGGATACAAAAGAAATAAAAGGCATACCCTCGCTTAAAGATGCACTTGTCAATGCTGCTCCGATAGAAACAAGCCAGAACGCTGCCATAGCGCGGAAGAAGAGGAGTGAAAGGAAACAGCACGACTACGCTGGTATACTCTCCCATATCGACACAGCGGCTATTGCCTCCCTTGCATTTGATATCATGCAGGCTCGCTACAGTTGCGCATCCGACAACGGCTCATCATCGCTAGGCTCATCATCACCACAACTACCCCAGGTCGAAGGGCCGTTCTTTGGATCGGCGCACATCTTCTATTCGATTGAGTTCGCCAGTTCTCGGGACCCCGATGATACTAAGTGGATAATTAAGATTCCTATCAACGGCACACCAGATATATGGGATGGATTATGCGCCGAAGCCATCCGCATCGAGGCACTTGTGCTCATGACGCTTCGGTTGGAGTCATACGTGCCGGTGCCTGCTATTATCGACGCCGACTCATCTCCTCATAACGAGCTTCATGTTCCCTACCTCATCATGGAGTACGTGACTGGTTTGACACTGGATCAGGTCTGGTTTAGTGGAGATGATGAGAAGGAGACCCGAGCAATAAGGAGCAAGGTCCTACGGAGTCTAGCACGGGCAATGCTTGAACTAGGGAAATACGAATTTAAACATGGGGGGGCTCCCGTTTTCGACGACTATGGGAGAATCGTCAGCACGGGACCCGAGAGAGAGCTCAACATACAGGCCATGATAAACCGCTGGTTCGGCAACGAGGATTGCGAGAGGATACCTCTGTACACTGCGGTAGGTCCTTTCAGAAACGCGAGGGAAATGTACACGACACTCTTAGATCAGTACCCATACGATACTGAAGCAAGCGTTGGCGTCAATAAATTACTTCGCCTCCTCGTAGGTCTTCTCCGCGAGCCCTCGAGGCCAAGATCCATCAAGGGCAAGGAAAAGGCGAGTCGGCAAAAGAAGGGATTCGTCCTTACACATCCGGACCTGAGCATGCGCCACATCATCGTGTCCAAAGAAGGCAAGATCAAAGCAATCGTGGGCTGGGATGGCGTGCACTTCGCGCCGAGATCACTTGGCAACGAGATTTTCCCGCCGTGGCTCGTCAGGGACTTCAATACGTTTGTGTGGCGCTGGCGGCCGTCACCTGTGCTCTGGAGGGGGAAAGGGGCGAACGAGGAACCGGAGGAGAATCGCTACGAGGATGCGCCGTGGATATTGAAGGAGTTGAGGGATGAGTATGCGGGTGTCCTTCGAGCGTTGAAGAAGGAAAGGGGAAAAAAAGGGGATAGGGATATAGAAGGGAGTGTAGACGTGGATGTAACGAAACAATCGTTGCTGGCGCTTAGTCTGCGCACGGCGGCTAGGGATCCGAGGTGTAGGACTGCTGTCCTAAGGCGGATTCTGGAGAAGTGCTCTCGGCCGTCTGAAGAGTTTGACTTTGAGCGGATTATTGATGTATTGGGGAGTGGAGGGCATCTGGATGGGTATATGCTTAAGTGCTTGGAGAGGAATTTTAGGGAGCTTGTGGATCGTGGGTATGTTAGGGGTGCTGTTGTTTGGTAAGCGTTGCGAGTATGGTAATCATAGGAAAGGATAATAATAATAATACTAATACTAATAATAAGATAAGGTTGCTTGTTTGCTATCATTTAATTTGTATGAAGTCGAGCCTTGATGTATTGAGGGAGGAGGATGTTTTCCACTTGAGCGGTTGATAAAATAGACTAACCCTATTTGGCCGAAGTTGGGGTTAGAATATAGGCTGTTTATACCGACCGAAAGCTTCAAGGGCAAGATGGCCGAGTTGGTTATGGCGTGAGGTTAAGGTCACCTTAATTCCTACATCCTCATGGAGCAATCCGCGTGGGTTCAAGTCCCACTCTTGTCACACAATTTTTTTTTCGTTTGCGGAATTTCTTCTTTTTGTCCCTCCACTCCTCATCATGATAGTATACACACTGGAGGCTTAGGTTTGGTTTTTGAAATACACAAATTTACTACGTAGGTAATATGTAGCACCTACGGGTTTCTAACTGGTAAAATACCTGTGTTAACGGCAGCATGAGAATCACGTTGACTAAAATTTTTGAAGCGGTTGTTGGCGTTGGGGATGCGGGGTCTATTTATTACTAGATCTAGGTCTGTATCGATCTAGTGGTGGGACGTCCATAAAAGTTGGAGTTGGGGCCCCTCTTTTGGCTTGGCTTGCTAATCCCCATATTGATTGCTTAATGGAATAGTTAAACATATTCGTAGAAGTAATTGGGATTATATTGACCCTACCTAGGTAATCGACTAGTTAGGTGGAGAGTTGCTGTTGCTGACTGATATCATAGTTTTTTTGAGTTCTGGGGTTCTGGGGTCTCTTCCCCGCCATTGGCCGTAGGTAGCCGGGTTTATGCTGCAAGTTAACCGTACCTACCTGTAACCTAACCTAACCTAGGGAACTGTACAATACCGAGGGAATAAGGTCGGCCTCCAAATTCACCGGTCCTGCATTTCGTCTTCTTAATGAAAGCTCCCCCCTAGCCTCCAAAAAACTCGCCTTGGAGACATTGGCCTGCCATTTGTTGAGTCCACGGCCAATGCAAGATGTCTTCGGTCAACCGTAATCTCCTATCAGCCTCCCGCTCGCTACGCTTACAATCAAGAACCATCTTGCAAAGAACATCTCCATTAACTGTGTCCTCACGCGCAGCAACAGCGAAACTTGGAGCTACGATACGGCTAACCCACCCCGCCTACGCCCGCTCTCCTGCTTCGTCCTCCTCATTCTCAACAACTACCGCACAACGGTCCGCTCCCGCCATGCCTCAACCAGGAAGGGAATACGATCCTGAGATCAAGGACATTGCCAATTACGTAACTAAGCCAATTGACTCGGAATTAGCTGTATGTGTTCCCTATCTCATATTGACTGGTATCGTGAAAGTTGGTGGGGTACGCAATTAGCTGACATGTGATCTGCAAATAGTTTGACACCGCACGATGGGTTTTCCTTGATACTCTAGGCTGCGGACTTGAAGGTCTACGATTTAAGGAATGCGCCAAGTTGCTTGGTCCAATTGTCCCGGGGACTGTCGTTCCCAACGGTACTAGGGTGCCTGGTACCGACTTCGTCCTTGACCCCGTCAATGGTGCCTTCAACATCGGTGCTACGATCCGATGGCTTGACTACAATGACTGCTGGCTGGCTGCCGAATGGGGGCACCCTTCTGACAACCTGGGCGCTATCCTGGCCGTCGCCGATTGGGTTAACCGCACCAACAAAGCCGGCGGCAACCTAGCCGGAGGCAAGATCTTTACCGTTAAGGACGTCCTCGAGGGCATGATCAAGGCGCATGAGATCCAGGGCTGTCTGGCACTACTTAACTCGTATAACAAGGTCGGTCTTGACCACGTTGTGCTCGTTAAAGTTGCCAGTGCCGCGGTTGTGTCCCACATGCTCGGATTGAGCGAAAAGCAGATCGCCGACGCCGTTAGCCAGGCTTGGGTTGACGGACAGAGCCTGCGAACCTACCGACACTCCCCGAACACCATGTCCCGAAAGTCGTGGGCTGCCGGTGATGCCTGCCAAAGAGCCGTCAACCTTGCGTTGAAGGTCGCCAAGGGCGAGTCCGGTATTCCCACTGTCTTATCTGCGCCGGTGTGGGGTTTCTACGATGTCTTGTTCAAGGGTAACAAGTTCGAGTTTCAGCGTCCTTATGGCAGCTACGTGATGGAGAACGTTCTGTTCAAGGTCTCGTATCCAGGTTCGTGCACCAATAAGTTATCAAGGCCGTCATTTTTTGCTAATTTGTCTTCTCCCAGCCGAATTTCACTCGCAGACAGCCGTAGAGGCTTCCCAGAAGATACACAACAAGCTGAAGGAGCTGGGTAAGTCTGCAGCTGATATCAAGGGCATTACCTGTAGGACACACGAGGCGTGCATCCGGATCATTGACAAGCAGTTCAAACCGATGGACAACTTTGCGGACCGTGACCACTGTATCCAATACATGTGCTCGGTCATGCTCGTATTTGGTCGCTTAGAGGCAACCGACTATACCGACGGTAGCGAGGCGGCGACGTCCCCGTTAGTCGAGTCGCTCCGCCAGAAGATCAAGTGTGTCGAGGACCCGCAGTTTACAAAAGACTACCACGACCCAGCGCTACGTACTATCTCCAACGCGCTGACGGTCGAGCTGAACGACGGTACGATCCTAGATGAGGTTGTTGTTGAGGCTCCGCTAGGACACCGCCTAAGGAGAGAAGAGGCCAAGCCGCACATCCTGGCTAAGTATAAGCGACATCTGGAACCACACTTCTCCGAGTCGCAAGTTAAGGAACTTATCGATCTAGGAGCGGATAGGAAGAAACTTGAGGCTACGCCCGTGGATGAATATGTTGACAAATTAGTTGTGAAGAACAGCCCATTTGTTAGGTAGACTTGCAAGATATTTATTTATAAAGGCGGTAAAAGCCAGGATATGTACCAGATAAATACCTAGCCCTGGGCTTATTTTTGACAGTTTCAGATGTCATTATGTGATACGTGCTTTTTATTATTTCTTTAAGAAAAGAAAGGTGAGAGAAGCAATAACGTCACCTAAATTATGAACTTACATAACTTGGATGGGGATAACTAACAGGTATCCGCGGGTTAGCTTTACGCGGGTAACTTGCATACCTACCTACATAGGTACTTAAGGTACCTACATATGTAGGTATCACAGGTAGGGATTGTGCACAGCCACCCATTTCGTATTGTACAATCGAAAGGAGCCTGAGGCGGGGCTTTGCCTCTGTCCGTTTCCCGTCATTCCACCAACAATCTGCTGCCAATCTTCCGAGTAGCCGTACTTTAAAAGTAACAATACATTTTCTACTTTCTACTTTCGCTGTGAATTTTACAATTAGAGAGTCAATTTACCTTGACAAGATGGTCACCCTCGATCGACAGGAGATTATTGCGACTAACAAGTCGCTCCGTCTCATCAAGAATGTATGCTTGCATTTAGCTAAGCCTTCTCTCCGTTAGGACAACTAGGTAGAGTATCCTTGTCGCTAACCAGTTTCCAGGAGCTTGAGCATCTTCTTGAGAAGGGAGTTCTGACGGACGATGTGTTCGACTCAATTCATAGAGCGCTTCCCGCAGAGACCTCCCTCTCCGGTGCGCCTACACCGTCAACGCGAGGGGCCTCTGTCGCCTCGCCGCCGCCAGGTCCCCCGCCGCAACATACACCACCTGTTCATTCCATGGCCAACTTAGCAATTCATCAGAACCCGACCACCACTCCCGCACCTCCGGCATACAGCTCAACCGGCCCGCCCTCGCTCCCTTCACGCACAGGGCCTCCCCCTCCCCCTCCATCAAAGCCGATCATCGCCCACGCGAAGGCGCTTTACAAATACCAGGCTGCAGATGACCGAGATTTGTCATTCGAGCGCGAGGATAAGATTGCTGTGTACGAGTACATGAATGACGACTGGTGGATGGGACGCAACAAGCGGACGAACGCCGAGGGTATCTTCCCCAAGAACTACGTTGAGATAGACCATAATGAGAAGTCGGGTTTCTATGCCCCGGCCCAACCGGTATACGCTACACCTACGCCAGGAGGTAATGGTGGTTATCCACCGCCACCGCAGGGTCAGAACCCGTATAACGCTCAAGTTCCCCCTATGGCGGTGGCGCAAGGAGGTGGTAGTCCCAGCACACCTGCCGAACCGAGTAAAATTGAGCAGAATGGAAAGAAATTTGGCAAGAAGCTGGGAAATGCTGCCATCTTCGGCGCTGGCGCTACGATTGGTAGTAATCTCGTAAACAGCATTTTCTAGATTAGGCTTGTGATGGTCATCTGGTTTATGTGTTATTATTGTTGTTGATGTTGCTACTCGTAACAAATTATAGTAAGATTGTAATTTGTAGTAGCAGTCTATGCCCGGGTTAATGGTATAAGGATTCTACAGGGTTTCGGTTTGGTAGTTTTGGGATGATGCGATTTACATTTATCACCTACGTAGATTTTGGTATTTACCTATTCACAACCAGGTGGTTTTTTTGGTTTTTTTTCGTCAAGTGCCTTGTCCGCCTGTGCGGTTATTCAACCTGTGTCTAATAGATATCGTAGATAAGATGGATATATATATGAATACACATTAAAGGTGCAGTGTTAGAGAGGGAATACTTCATCTACTTATCGATTACTAAGCTACCCAAGTTAATTATGTAAATATACCCCTGACAAGTACATACATATGCATTCCAGTCTACTTACACAATAATGCCTACCTTAATCTTCAGGCTTCAGGCGCCCCGAATAGAGCCATCCAATGTCCTACATCTTCACTCACCATGTCTTCTAAGTCTAGATTCTGTCCTCTCTGTGATGTCCTGGTCGATGTGTGGTTAACACCTCACGATGATCAAGCAAATCCCGACTATCGCCTTAGTTGGTTACAAGAAGTTCGAGCCTGTATGTGTGAAAGAAACAGTCACCGTCCCAGTCCCGGTTCATCATACTTTAAGAATAAAATAGTAAAAACTCACCTTTGTTTTAGTACGAACTACAGAAGATCTTGAAGGCCCTTTTATAACGGGTACTGGATGGTTTGATATAGAAGGAAATGTCATCGCCCCCGTCGAGTATGATAGTCACTATCGTGACTATGAACCGCTGCAGGATCTACACCAGGATTTCGCGACACATCAAGTCGGTTATCCGCAATGTGAACCTGCCGAGTACTGGTGTTATGTTCTCCATAATGCCTGCTGGGAGCTTCTCAGAGAACGTGTTGATCCGGATCACGAGGTTCCTACTAACAGCCTAGCACACCATCTCTTTGCTATACTGTTCAATACCCCCGTGAGCGCTGAGACCGAGGCTTTAGTACCCGGCCATAACTATGGACACTCCAGCCAACTCCACCCACGCGAAGGGGAAGTACATAACCGCTATTTTACTCGTGTGAATTTGACCAGTTACTCTTTCATCCTAGGCGATATAACTGAGGAGTTTGTACCCGATGAGGAAAGCCTTGAAGATGAAGTCAAATATTTCTACGCTCGCTTGGCCAACTCTTACATGAAGCATAGGAATTATTCTAAGCCAGATCCTTTCCTACTTCTTCCAAGCGAGCTTATCATGCTCATCCTTGCCCATCTACCAAGCCGAGACGTTTGCAACTTACGGCTCGCTTCAAGGTACACGGCCGATCTTTCCTCTCCAGAGTTACTCGATCAGAAGTTCTGGTCTAGTCGGTTCGACCCGGATTTTGAGATGGGCTTCGTCTTTGCTGGTCCTTCCAACTCAAGGCCTACTGAGCCCGCAGACTGGCGGACGCTGTACCTCAAAGCCGTACGTGTAGAATATTCCTATAAGAGCCACTGTATTTTCTTTCGAAATCGCTTGCATCATCCTATATCTTCTTCTGCCTTCACTCTACCTACTACGTCAATTGCCTAACGATACTTGGATCCGTAGAAAGGAGCATTGAAATCGGAACTGTTCCCTGGCCTGAGAAACCGACATCGTATTTGGCATATATTTCAATATATGACCGACGCCTTATACGTACGTTTAGTAAATAACTGGTGCGTAGACAGCCCCCCGTATTGGAACACAGAGTCGTTCCCCCAAAGGTCAGTGTTTGCAGAGGCATCCTTTTATTCTAGCTGTACAAACACAACGGAGCCACTGTCTTTGAGTTGTAGGCTTTTTAGGCGCCAAAACCTCTTATGGCTTCATTCCCTAGAAAGGCTACAGGCTTCATTTGTTTACTCGAACGGGAAGACATATATCAGCGGTCTCCGTTTCTTAGCTACTAATCCAGGGGACCCTATCCCGCCCAAGGCCGGATTTATTAATCCGCGTAAAGGACAGGAAATATTTTTGGAGCCTCAGAGTTCTGTAGAATATATCGAGGCCGTTATGCAGACGAAAGGTCTAGTCGGATTACGTCTTCATATTCGGGGACTTCAAACCTCATATTCCGTCTCGATAGGGGACATGGAACTTACAGACCCTCAGAGCGGGATAGGTAGACTGGTACCAGGCGACAATATGCGGTGTGTTGGCTTACACTTTACGCTTGACGTGCGTTAAACGAGACCGACATGATGCACAAGATAGCTAATTCTTGTTGCAGGCCTGCAAAATCATTTCTATCTCACTTATAGAGCGACCAGACCCAGCCTCACTGGCTCCTATTAACAGCAGAACAATTCCAGCCTCTCCCCAAGATTGGTGTCCTGGAGAAATATGGAATCCAAGCATTCCGACGATTCATCCAACGTGGCACTTTCCCGCTCCCTCTACCACACAATACTTCAACTTATGTCTCAACATGGACTTCGGTGGAACCGACGGAAAACTACTACAATCACTGGTCAGGATTGATGTATTGATGGGGAAATACCCCTCAGTATTCACGGGTATTTCATTCATATATAGTGATGGGAGTGAGCGCTTCTATGGACGCAAGTACTTCAGGAATAGTGCGGGTGAAATAATTGACACGCCAGCAATTCGACAATGCTTCCCAATTGATGGCCCAGGTGGCGAGTTTATGACCAAGATCACCGCCTACTATTTTCCGTACACAATCCAAGCCGTCACGGTATGATCCCTCCATCCCTCCATCCCTCCTCTCTATTGTTTCCAGATGGAAAACATACAACGGTTGTGATCGCTAAAGAATGGAAAATAACTTATGAACGTATCTTTATAATAGATTACCACCAACCTAGGAAGAGAGAAACAGTTCCACCTCTACGGTAAAGAGTCCAGAGAAAAAACTGAAGAAAAGAGCTATGCGCTACAAGCTGAACCTGGGATGCATTTTACGGCATTCTACGCAAAGATCCACGTAAGAGATACGCCACTAGATTGTGTTGCTTGCTTCTAGCTAAATGCGTCACCTCAAGTCACCCTTGGGACATTTCCTAGATTTCTCTACACGATGTCAGAGCATAAATACGGACTCGCAACCATCTCTACTAGAGCATCCGGGTATTCCACGTTCTATCTCTATCACTGCAAAGACATTAGATTCAGCTCAGGATATGTTAGCATATCCTGGGGGGTTCGCCATCACTACCGCAGACTTTTCATGCCTTCGGAGAATTCGTGTTTCGGTGGGTAATATAAAGGAAATAAGCTCACCGAAACATATAACGGGTCTCTGGCTCGAATACTATAATTCTACTGTACCGGTCATCGTAGGACAGTGGGTAAACGAGTTAGGTAGTATTGACATCTCTCCAGGTGACCGGATATCGGAAGTGGTAACATGGCACGATTGCACAAATTACTATAAACGAGTCAAGTACGGCCCGCTCAAGAGGCTGAAAATAGTAACCGCCTGTGGTATCAGCAAGGATTTTCTAGAGCAGTACAAGAGCGGAGAAATATGCCTAGAGTATCGAGAGAACCCGTATGAAACTCTGGTTAGTTTAACCGTAAATACTACCTCGAGACGACATGTGTTGCTAACTAAAAAGTAAAGAGCGGCATCCTCTGGGGTTATAATCATGAAGTACGTGCTTTTATGTTACTTCTCCTGATCTCTCTCGTCATTCCTCCGCCTACTCCCAGGCTACTTTTCTTAAATGTAGATAAATTGCTCCTTAAGAGCTCACGCAACCTGAGGCGGCTCTTTATTCTTTAACACGGATTATCCTAACATTTTTAACTATAGTGGGACCATGTCCGTATCTTCTATACACCAAAAGCAGGTGTACCTAACACACGACTATTCATCAGTCCAACCAGCCACCCTCTCCCTTCATGGTCAGTCGTACAAAGAGCGTTTATGCGAGAGACGCGTGAAGATGGTCGCCCAAATCCTGCCATAGCTATTGAAGTCACTTTCAGGCAGATTACCAACGAAATATGTGGTCTCAGCTTTATCTACGAGGATGAGAAGTTCCTGACCCTTGGTATCGGAGTAAAAGGGGCAAGAAGGATAGCTATTCCTCCCGACGAGAAATTAGCACAAATGGAGATAGGAGGCACCCGACAAAACCATATCTTGTACATCAATGTGAGCTACACCATCCCTTGATTTACTAACCGCTAGTTAGTGATCGTTACTAATCATTACCTCTGTTCCAGCTCTTGACAACCTCCGGCCAGAAAATAGACTTGTCGCGACTAAGTGTTGAAAATATCAATAAGCGCGTCATTAATCGGACCTTATATATTCTTGACCGATCTTGTCCTGGTCAATCTGAAATCTCTAAGACGAATATTTGTCAGGTTCCCGAGGGAGCCGATGTACTCACAGGCTTCTGGACGTTGCCGAGGAGGCGTGGAGGTCTTCGGTATGGCAGATTCGGACCAATTTTCGAAAGTATCAGCGAAGACAAGAGGCTGGAAGGCTAGGTAACAGAAATACGGGACTATGAATAGGGGTAGAGCTACATTTGACAAATCAGGTATTAAGTACTTAGGTAATATTTCCTATAAGAGAGCATCTGGGAAGCACAGGCACTCTCCCTCTAAGTCTATGCTTGGTGATACCCATAACATGATCGGTCAGAAAAAATAGTAACTAGCAAATAACGGGATAAGTACGGGTAAGCCGGCTAGGATTGTATCGGCTGCCAGCATGTTGTTGAGCGTTTGCTGCGAATACCCCATCAAATAGCAGCAAAATGAGTGCGTGTATAGGCCTCGACAGCCTCACTCTAACCGATGCGAGAAAATCGAAAAAGCCGTTTGCTTCAGTAAAACTACTAAGACGGGCAATTCTTTTAGTCCAGGGGGCCCGTTTGATTTATTCAAGCAGCTACGGGACTTGTTCGCGTGTGTAGGCGGCTGTGGGAGAAGCCTCGCGATTTTTCAAGTCGGGGGTTAGCTTGTGAGACAGAAATGAAGCATGGAGAGATGACTTCGAACCATCCGAGTCAAGAAACATCCATACATTCATTCTATGATAATTGCACCTAGGTAATACAGCTCTATGGAATAAGTATAAAACCCCTGGATTTCGACTCAAATATCCGATACAAGGCTGCACTCGGCAACCCAACTCACAACTATCGTTCTCGAATATCAACATACAATTTTCAAATTACAACCTTTTCAAGTAATAGTAAGTCGTTTTTAATCACCAAGGCGATTGTTGCCTGTATAAATGTAGACAATGGCTGGCCCCCGGGCGCGTTCTCTTGACACGGTATAGGTTAATAACTTCGTTTGAAGGTAATCAAGATGTACAAAGCTTTTGTTACAGCAATTCGACGCTTGGTTTCAAGAATCAGCCTTGGCAGCATTTTATCTTTCCCCTTAGTTGGATGGAGTAGTAGAAGAGGTGTAATAAGCTATCGACCCCCAAGTGTAGTGCGGGAAGCATCAGCGGGCTTATACAGATCACGTCCTTCTACTCAACCGCTTATCATTTTCGTATTGGGAGCGCCTGGTACAGGGAAAGGAACAGTTTCCAAATTCCTTAATGCGACATTTCCTAGTCTAACTCACCTATCATATGGGGAGTTGGTTCGTTACGAGGATAAAATCCCTGGTTCTTGGGTCAGTAGTTTCCCGCGGCGCGAGGGAACCGGAAGCCCGAATATCCCTGCCCATTCCGCGGTCACACTACTCCGGAATACGATCGAAGACGGAGTAGTACGGAACGGGCAGTTGGCTTGGCTCGTGGACGGCTTTCCGCGTCAAGAACGCCATGTAACGGAATGGATGGCGCAGATGCCGCGGGCCCGTTGCGTACTCTACTTAACTTGTCCTCCCGAGGTCTCGCTTGCGCGGATACTTGGACGTGCCTCGACATCAGGGCGGCCGGATGACAATGAGGAGAGAGCGCGGGAGAGAATTGCGCGAAATATTGCGCAGAGTGAAGCGATGCTCGTCGCTCTTGAAGAGTCGGGCATGCAAGTAACTAGAGTGGATGCTAATAGGGACTTCGAGATTGTACGGGAGGAAGTTCTCCAGGAAGTTCGGGTAAGTTTATGGCATCATCATCGTATTAATGCAAAACCGATAACATCTTTTTAATGCGTTTGTGAACAGAACTTTCTTCTATGACTGGAAAAGGCACGCATAAAGGAATAATAGTATCGAGAAGTAAGTAAAAAAGGGGGGTTATTTACTAATGCGATGGGTATAAGAGGTAATGGAGAAACCCGGAGTTCTGTCTATGACATGTGCAACTGAAGACGGCGAAATGCGATTTGGATTTAATATTTTAGCCTTGACGGGATCCGCTGGTCGGGTAAAACAAGGCGAAAAAAATTGCAGTTATAATTAGAAATATGTGGATAGCGAGAATTAAACACCATTCATCATCTTGGTAGTTAGGGTAGGTAGTTGAAAAAAAAAGAGACGAAGAAAAAAAAATCTAATATTTTCTCTATTATTTGCTAGCATCACCCAGAATGAAGCTGGGATGAATCCCGTAGCTTCAAAAAAAATTTGGGTATTAAGACCCGGGAGTGGATTGGGCTGGCCTTCTTGGTCGGGTGAAGCCGGGTCGCAAGCTTGATGGCGCTTAACGGCCACCCCGTCAGCCCGTAACATTCCAACAGGTAGCAGGGCTCAGCTGGCTCGACTGGCTGACCCCTGATCATACGATTATCAATACCATAGTGATTCAAGAACACGCCATCATAAGCCCGCTTTTTTCTCCTTCTTTTTATTTTTTCGCCAGAGGGAGCTATCCGCCTAGGCGTAACAGAACTGTCCAAGCTATTACATAGTAGGCTTGGCCTGATGAGACGAGAATACTTCGGATCTAATAGTTCGAGAATGGTTCTAGTATGACAGTCGGATAGCTTGTACATAATTGTTTTTTTTTATTACTCGACTCATCGTGGATCGTGGCATGTGGCATGTGTGTATAACATAGTCTTGGCCTCTGTATATAAAATAGGGCATCAGTCTGGGGGATAATTCTAGCTACACATCCATCAATCTACATCAGATCCAAGATCAACTACTATAACTACTATCAATCAGATTAATCAATTAGATCAAAGCATCTATAAACCAATAATCAATCATGCAGGGTGATATCTTTCAGCTTGAGCAATTGGCCGCCACTCAGGTCGTCGCTCACGTCGAACCCAGCACTGCCCCAGAAGACACCAAGATCGATCCCCAGGTCGCCATCTATAACGAGGACGACCTTTCACATCTACTCTATGTGAACCATCTGCACCGCAACGGCCACAAGGACAAGGTTATCGTCAACCACGTCTACCGTGACGGCTACACAACACCACTAGAGTCCCTGCCATCGGGTACACAGACGCCCGAATCAGAGACCAACGAAACCCCGGTTCTCAGCGACTGCGAGTCCGACTTCGACGAAGGTGTGTACTTACCATCCTCACTGGATCCCTATTCCCGGAAGAGTCCACTAAGATTTGAAGACGGCTTCCAATTTCCCGTTTTCCTCGGCAGACAAGAGGAGGAGACGACACATCCTGCGGCATCCGTGTCCGAACTAGACGCTCGGCCGAGACAGGTCCGCATAGCTTCGCCGGAAGAAGATCACATCTCCAACATCTCGGGGCCGCTGATGTCGTGGTGGCCCACCTCGGAGGAGCTGATGGAGCACGAATGGGCCGAGGAAGAAGCCCCTAAGAAGCCGTCGCAACATCAGCACGTCTCCAATATTGAGGGTCCCCTAATGTCCTGGTGGCCTCTTCCGGTCCAGGTACTGGAACACGAATGGGACGAACGGTTCTACGAATAAAGAGGCTGCGCTGCAGTGACGCTTCTCTCTTCCTCTTTGGTGATTTTTTTTTGGCGTTAAAAACGGGCGTGGAGTTCGGTGCATTTTTCAGCTTATACATATTATACCCTGGCGTCAGTTTTACTCATAACCCATCTACGCAGAATAAGCCCTCGAGCCTATAGATTTCTTGTTTTTTTTTTCTATCGGGATCCGACAGGCTTATGGAGTTCAAACGAGGCCAGGGGAATAAGTCTACGATTGTGTGTATGTATGTGATGAATAGGAATAGGAATAGGAATAGGTTTCGGTTTCGCAGGCTCATTTCGGGCCGCGAAGGGAATATGATCGGATAGCGTTTATATAAGATGTCCTAGGGAACAATACAATAACTCTACTTCCCCATGAAAATGTCCTTTTTTTTTTTTTTTTTTTTTTTTTTTTTTTTTTTTTTTTTTTTTTTTTTTTTTTTTTTTTTATATAGTTGTGTGCTTTGACTCCCACCTCCCACTCTTGGCAATGTGTTTGTAACGTCGAGATAAGATTTTGAACTAATGGGAACTAAATAAAACCCCGTTTGCTTTTTCTACATAGTCATTTGGTTTAAATTCAATTCTAATCCTCCGGTCCGGCTCTCCTTGATCATCGGGGCGTAGTGGAGATACCAAAGACCCCCTATCTAATAAACATAAGTCCTCCGTATCATAGCACCGAGAGGCAGACGTCCTCCGAGCTCGGGTGGGGAGTGGTACATAAGTGGGGGAATGTTATAGTGTAATATGTAGACTTGTAAGTCTTCAGAAAGCAGATACGTTAAAGTTCATCATCGAAATAGAGTGTTATACCCAATACTATATTCTCATCATGTCTTCGAATCTTTCTGGTAAAGTGATCCTCCTCACCGGCGCGGCAAGCGGTATTGGGTAAGTTATACCATATCTACTACCTCTTACCTAGACTCTGTCCAGCGGCCACTCTATAACTTACGCATTTGCATTCGTCTCTTAGACGGGGCGCAGCAATTAAATTAAATAGTCTGGGTGCTATCCTTGCTATCACGGATGTCAACGAGCCCGCACTAGCCGAGACCCTCACTCTGTGTTCCGGTGGTAGCAATTCAGAACATCATACTACTCATACTCTTGATGTATCCAACTCCGCCGATGTGGAAGAACGCGTAGCCCAGGTCGTGGCTAAATACGGGCACATCGACCACGTATTCAACTGCGCCGGCGTCAACCCAACCGCCATGTCCCTAACAGAAACAAGCGAGGCATATTTCGACAAGCTCGTCAGCGTCAACCTAAAAGGAATGTTCAACGTGACCAAGGCCACTATCCCGCACATGACAGCTCCGGGCGGCAGCTATGTCAACGTAAGTTCCATCTCCGGATGGAATCCCGATGTGGGAACAGCCGTGTACTGCGCGACCAAGTTCGGCGTCATCGGCTTCAGTAAGTGCATGGCGCTTGAACTGGGACCAAAGGGCATCCGGGTGAATATTGTCGCTCCGGGCTACATTAACACCCCGACCAATGCGGGAATCGTTAGGGGAACGCCCGAGGCAAAACGACGTATGGAGCAGGGTAATGCTCTAGGAAGGATGGGTACGCCCGAGGATATTGCAGGCGTAAGCATTTGATATTATAATACTACCATACTAAAGGGCTGCGCTATTGTGCGAAAACTAACAGTAGACCATTTAGGTTGTCGCCTTCTTGATGAGTGACGAGGCCAGATATATGAATGGCAGTGTCGTCGGGGTCGACGGGATGTTGATAACGTGAAGCAGACTTGGCATATTTACGGTTCTTAGACTCTGAGTATTTTTGCGCTTGCCTAAATACTTTACGGCTTGAATACTTCATGATTATATCACTAGCCCCTTATTCTCAGGGGCTCCACCTAGCATCCCCTTCAAAAGATCTCAGTTCCAAACCACCAAACGATATGGTCATCATTAAATCAATTATCGTCATATAAATACTGATAAGTATGGGTTACGCCCAGGTCTCTGGCCCAAATGTTTCTCCATCGGCAACAAAGCTCTTGATTGCCAACCCGGTCTGGTCGAGTGTATCGAACACATCATAATTCCCGTACCACTTGGGTAACTTGGCAGAGGTGAGATATAGCGTAAAGAAGATGATAATAGTCGAAACCGCCAGGCCCACGTCTAAACCTGCTGACGTGATATAATTATACTGCATCCACCAACCATTCCACCTTCGTTTGATGTAGTAATTGAATATGAAGCCGACTGTACCCCAGCAGAGATATGTGTATGCCGTGGCGGGTGGAATCCAACCGGAACCCCCGAAAATAAGCGGCATGTTTATAAAGCGGAATATCGACTTAGGAGCGCGACGGGCCAAGAACCAGGTAATTATAGGGGTGACGGCGCCAACGAGCCAGAACCACTGCAGCGATGAGTAAATAGCATCACCACTAAACACTGTAGGGCACGTCAGTGTTCTTGCTAATAGGACGATGATGATTAGGTGTTTAGGGAATTTGGTCACGTTAAGATATACTTACTTCGCGCAGGGCCGATAGCACCCCATATAATGGATGCCGTATAGAAAACTCTGCCATTCGGGCACACATAGTTATCGGGTTGATCGTCAGAGCAGATATCCGGGATAGTTCCCAGAGCCCAATTCATGACGGCGATCTGAACGACAGCTGACCATACGGAGGCTACCAGCTGTGACCAGAACATAGTGCGTGGAGGAACTTTCATATAGTGGCCCAGCTTGAGGTCCTGGGCAAAGTACTATAGCCTAGAGTCAGCATCCGAGGCTCGCTGGACGTGGTCGAGTGAGTCGAAAATAAACTTCGGAGATGTACTTACAAGGGCTTGTTGCATGCAGATGTAGCCATAGTTTTTGAACATCATCATGGCTAGAGGGTGGCCGGGCAGCATGTAACCAATGACAAATTCAGTTAAGACGTTGAGCCCGAGCTGAATATTTGTGATGGCCTGAATAATGCCTATCGGGATTGTCCATACCAATGGGATTAAGATGCAGACGACATAAGCCCAGGCAGGGAACCCTGTAGGCCAAGCACAGCATACAACAAACGACAGCCCAATCATGATAGCAAAGAGGGCAAGGTACCACCAATCCTCGGCATCCTTGTACTTCCTCATTAACTTCATGTGGATGTCATCCTCCTGCCTGCGGGCAAGCTTGAATTGCGAGACGATTTGCTTCCCATGATATAGAACAACGTGAACAACTACGGCGGCGACGGCGGCGAAGGACATACCATAGGTAAGGGCAAACTGAGTAGAAAGAAATAAGGGGGAATAATCGTGGTACTTTTGTTCGTTAAAGGTCAAATCATCGTTCAAGATTCTCGAGACGTTGTAGACGGCACCGGTATTGTCAAAGGCACTGGACGACTGGACAACAAAGTAGTCGGCGTACCACGTGCCAGAGAAATGCAGACCCATGGAAACGAAAATGCAGAAGATAACCACACCCGCCACGGCGTTAGCTACAGCGTGGAAAGGCGGAATGAGTGGAGATAGCGCATAGCCAGAAATAACAGTCCAGTCTAGGGTTGTCGGTAAGAGACCATATCCGTGCAACCCCCCAAAGAGCTTGTTGACAACAACGTTCTTAGGGGCAGCCCAGCATACGAACGTGAAGTAAGATAGCCCTTGAAAAATCCAGCCGGGAAACCAATACCATACGAACCCGCCTATCGCGACGTATAAAAACCATCGATATCGGCTGATTCTCCAGCCATTCGTCTCGGCAGGGTCGGAAGGAGAATGATCATGGAGAGCGTAGAACAACGAAGCATTGACGAGGTCAGAAGGCCATATCATCGCAGCCGGCCAGATAAGGAAACGTCTAGCCAACCCGGCTAGGCCATATCCCGTGCAAAGCGTAGTGATGCCGAATAGGATTTGGAAGCCCCAGCCGAAGTGCTGCTTATCTTTTCTCCGAGTATTAGTTATGTTGTAGAACCAGTGCTTCGGGAGACAACTCACAGAAGACCTGCTGAGCGATCAGGACGTCGGTGGCATATAGAAAGCCTCCACCGTAAGCGGCCTAGCCAGGATTCAGCTTCCATCCACTCAGACATATTTTTTTAAAACTCACATTCGACATGGCAACGATTATGACATGCTCCTTGAAATTGAACTTGCCCGGTTTGAAGTTAAATTTAACCCCCCATATATTAAACTGTCGGTCGGGGAATATCAAGTCCCATCCAAGTCCAATGGGGTACGCGACCAACTGGATGACGTACGTGGTGATTTGTATAGTAGGGTTCTTCAAGGAAAAGAGCATATTTACGGCCGAGCCTGCGGTGCACAAAATCAAGCCGATTACCCAGGCACGAATTGTATTAGCTGGTAGGTCGACATCGTAATTCCTTACTGCAGCGCGCACCTTTTCACTCGTTTAGATATCTCAACAGGTCGTAGGTAGCTAAGGCAAAGACATACCTCGGGATAAGGACTGTTTTCTTCGAGCAGGGCCGTCTCAATCTCGACGCCCTTCTCGGTATCGCCAGAAGCAAGAGTCGCATCGACTTCGTTGAGCTCTTCAATAGGTAAATTGGGATCAAGCTTATGCTGTTCTTCGAAGCCCTTGAGAGTATTTAGAGCCTCAACGCCGGTGACCTCTATGACCTCGCTAGAAGAGGTGCTAGCCGGAGTAATCTCATCGGCGACGGCACGCTTACGAAAGTTGAAACCCATTTCAATGCCCGGGGAAGAATCGCAATGATGTCAGAAAGCAGTGCTCATATTTAGCCTGGCCGTAGCACAACAGAAGATGGAAGTGAGCAGAGGGAAGAGCCTAGACCCGAGACTAATAGGGGTCGCATGTTACTTTATACCGGCGTAGATCAGCGTAAAAGCGAGAGTAGGTATGTGTCACCAATGTTCTCAGCAGAACCTAAGTGGGACCCTATAGATGATATTGTTTCTCCCACTTGTCGTTGAAGCCGGGCCAGGGTGAGACCACGAGCTGTGATACCTGGCGAGTGGTAGCCCCGGCGTGGGGAACCAGTCTTTTGAGATTGGGTGCCATGGGGGAGACGGGTATGCATACATATACCCTAGTCATGGGTAACCTGCCTAAATTGGATAACTCCAAGTGGATGGATAACCGCGACGCAACGAGCTGTACCGCGATGGTATACTTAGCCATTACATATTATCCTGAGTGGGGCTGTCCGTAGAAGTAGCATGAGAAGACGGGTTTCCGTCCGTAGACCTTACCCCTTGAAGCCTTGTACGCGTACTTAGAAGATGCTTCGTATTAACAGGGAGGGAACATTAAGATACTAACTGGTAGTTACCAGGTATTATAAGAAAATGTATCATCCCATCCCTATCAAACTTATGATAGGTAGGTGATAACCCACGGGCGAGGTGCCCAATCAGCACAATGCAGGAGACAACTCCAACGAGAAACCCACGTGTCTCATATTCTTATCTTTGATGTTCAAGGAAGTTGGTCGGTCTCGTATAAGATACGCCACCTTGGATTATAATAATCCATTAATCGCTCGAGAAAGTGAGGCATATAAGACGCCATAGACAGCCGTACCCGGCCGAGTACTTAGGGCATTGCCTATACTAACGGGGATAGTAAGATGGATGAAGGTACCGGCCATGCCGCATATACTACGGCCGATGTCCTACCCAGCGCAGTGGAACTAGGAAGCTGTAGAGATATGAAGTGTCTCTATAAACTCGTCGTGAGGTAGCAGCTTGAATTCATGGGTGTATTTCGCCAAGACAAACCCCCAGAAAAGGGCTGAAAGGGTGCGAGGCTCATTTTTAAATGGCGTTGGAACATGCAGCTAAGCAGCTTACATGTATTGCCTTTACAGTTGTCATTGCCGCAACGTCCAGACCGAACCGATTGATATGTTTCCCACGACGGTATTATATGAATATGAAACAGAACATTCGACAGAATATTCAACAGGAGAAAGCTCTAGAGTACATAGGAGTACATAGAGAGTGCTGCACCACGGTTAATTACTCCCTAGGTATGTACGTCGTAAAGCCAATATTCACCTATTGCATTGTGATTCTGCATGTAACCTTGAGTTGAAGAGTTGCAGTTTTAGAAGTCCAATCAGAGTTATCGTTGAAAGAGATAAGAGTGCCATACAGACTTACACCTGCAGGTAAGTCCCTAGGGTTAGGTACTGCTTACGTGATGCAGTGTAGTGTATGAACCTCACTATCTTATGGCTTGGCAGATTCGGTCCGACCCAGTTCAGATTTCGCGATATCCTATGCTCCGTACCCGGTCACATACGCACCTGCATTAATCTAAACCGCAACAGACCAAACGCCCGTCTACATGTATGTATGTAAGCAGGTAGTCTCGTGATACAAAGAGGTAGGTTATATGTTGCAAGGTAATAAGTTTTGCTTCCCCATGTTCTCTCTACCTAGTTAGATAACGAGAAAAAGTAGAAAAGATCCGCATAAGATGACAGATACGAAAATAATATTCCAGTGTCTCCTGAACACACCATCTCGAGTACATATAAGAATCGAGGCCCGCGTGCTGCTCCTTGGCTTAACAACAGCCATTTAACCGGTTAATGAACGGGGCGCTTTATCGTTATTTTCGTCCCCTTTAGAACCAGCAATCTCGATGCGCTTAGTTAGTAACAATGGTACGATAATTTTAGAGCACCGTTCTAGGGAAGTTTCTCAATATAGGGCTTGGAATAGGGTCATTAGGTAGTATGTAATATCCAGTACCTATGCCGCACATACATACTATGTATACGTGGCTTTGGGCCGAGTAGTATATTATAGAGTGCAAGTCGAATTGAATGCATTTCCTTACCAAGTTCTCAGCAGACAGATAAGACTTCCAGGGTGTATCCCTGTACATAGACAGGTGATGGCAGATGTAGGATAGCGAATCAGGATGTAAATGTTCCTTTTGCACCGTCCCTATTGGCTCTCCAGACGCCGTCTTCGCCTTCAAACTCTTCCCTCTTCCAGACTTCAACACGTTCTTTGCAGTCTTCAAGGGCTCGTTCGCCAGCTCGCCACGCAGCCTGTCTATGCGGGGCAGATACTGCTATGAGTATACTCTCCTCCCCGATGGGCACGGTTCCAAGACGATGAACCATGGCTATCGCTATGAGGCCATACTCGGTATGGATTTCTTTGCATATGGACAGCATAGTGCGCAAGGCCAACGGGTTGTAAGCAGAGTATTGGAGTTCCTTGACCGGCTTTCCTCCAAAATTATCACGAGTAGTGCCTACAAAAGCATGAGGATATAGGCTCAAAGTATTAACAATGACTACTTTGCGAGTTGCAAGATGGTAAGACGGTGTGGTGTGACTAACTGACCCGCAAACATGACTATTGCACCTGCTCGAGGGCTACGAACCCTATCCATCACGCTGTTCACGTTGAGATAGTCGTGGGTAAGTGCGACGTAGCAGGCATCCTCTTTGAGTTCATTTGTTTCGAGGTCCATCTTCTTAGTATAGGTAGCCGAGGGGAATGCGGAGTTGGCGACAAGGAGAGGAAGAAGAGATCAAATGAGGATTAAATGAGGGAAGATTGAGACTAGTAAGAGGAAGATTGATGTGCTATATATTTATCGAAGGACTGCAATAAATATATAAGTACCTATATTTACTGTACTTACGTGTATTTTGAGGTTTATCGACTTGAACCTGCGTTGATGCTTCAATTGCTCTTATTATTATTCAATGTAGTATCTAGGTCGGCATTTAATGTACTGCGTACCTGTTAATCCGGAAATCTACCTATTCCAGAATCTGGGGTTGTTTAGATAAGCAAGATAAGATTAATTTCTAACCTACCTCGAAGTAACCACAATGAATGACCCTTATGCGCGTACTAAACTTTAGGTACTTACGTAACATAGCCATCTGACCTTTAGGTACTTTTACCCTTTATTACCTTCAATAACAAGGTTACAACCATTCAACCTCTATTTTATTATCTACTTTCACGAATCGCCCATATTCAGCGCATAACCGCCCCTCCTTCGTACTATTCAGTCTACTGGGCGCATGACGCCGACGTCGATATGTACGACGATTACGATTACGATCATCGGCCTCGCGACGAGCGAGACTACCACAGACGTAGATCGCCCGCTCCTAGGGACCACCACTATCGTTCGCGGCATGGTAAAATGATATAGCCTGGAGGATCGCTTGTAGAGATGAATAATGAGCTTGCGCTGACTTCCCTGCGAGGAAAAGAATCCTCTAGATCGCCTAGAAGGACGCCTCCAAAGGGACCAAGAGGGGAGGAATCCTACCGTACCCGGCGCTCTCCTGTCGGACGGAGACACAATTCGCCTCATCGACGAGACAACTCTCCTGAATACCGCAATACTTACTTGGACCGCGCCGTAAAATCTGGCGACGAGCCCTACGACCGCGAACCCGAATATTCACCTCCGTACGACCGCGGCCGGGGTCGACATTACACAGATCACGACGATCCTCGAGGACGCTATAATCGAAGTCCCCGGCGCGCTAACTCAGGTGGCTCCTCACCTTTTGATTCTGGTGATGATAGTTATTACCACGACAGCCGCCGGCCTAGATCTGGACGGCCCTACCATACCTTGAAGTTGAATGATATCCCTGATAGGATGAGCACACAAGAGGTATTCCTGCTGCATTTTATCTATTTTTTCGACATACTAACTTCTTAGTAGATTGATTCTGCCATGCGGGATAGGGGAGCTGCCGGCCTTGTTGAGATCCGTATAAAGTCAGATGATAGAAACGGTATGGTTTCGCTGTTTCCAAATACTAAACCACCACTAAACGTATTAGGCAATCGTCGATTATACGCATTCGCCGAGTTTAGGTCCGAAGACGACGCCATCGACTTCTACGAGAGAAACTACCCTGTTCTTGACATCGCCAATCCTCATGGTCCCTCCATTCGTATACCCATAGAGTATAGTCGAGAACGGCGACATATCGCAAATCCGGATGATTGGAAATGCACAATGGTAAATCGCAAATCTCCGCTCATGTTATCCCCCCCCAAATCGCCTAACTTTGGGTATACAGTGTCATTTCGAGAACTTTTCCCGCCGAGCAACTTGCAAACAGTGCAAAGCACCTAGAACATGTAAGTCACACTCATAAGAGAATTACCATATCCTCGATAAAACTAACAATTGGCACCAGCAGAGAATACCGCCGACATGAAGCTCGATGGTAAAAGCGACGAATGTCCACAACAGACACCATCCCAGTTCATTGTCATTCGCGAATTGGCATCTTCTGTGTCCGAGACTACTTTGGCCAATGACATCAAGAAGCTCTACGTGACTAAGGAAGAAGAGCCTAAACAATCATCCAGCGCTCCTAACAAACTCAAAAGTACAGCTCCAATTGGAAATACTAGCGGCCTAGGTGCCAGGCCCGGCTCGCTGGTGCGCGTATTTATGATACGGGACAAATACTCGGATATTAGTTGTAATTATGGGTTTGCCGAATTCTCAACCTTGGACGATGCTCGAGCCGCCATGGCCAAGTACAATGCTTCGCCTCAGTTTACGATTGCTTCAAAGCCTGCTTCTATCGCATTCATCCATTCCGGTGTTTTTATACCTGTTCTACACCCGATACAAGGAGAGGATCGCAGGTTCACTTTCGCGGCAACCCATAACCAGTCTCTAAGATTGGTATATTGGAACCCGTCAGTGTATGCTAACGAGCTTACGATCTTTAATGAAGCTCTATATGAGGACAAGCCGTCTAGCATAGAGCAACTCAAGGATGACGCTGATCGAGCGCCAGGCAGGGACTCCAAGAAGAGGAAAGCAGAGAAGGACCTTGCCGCGCCCAATGGCAAAAAGGTTATCGCGATGGCTCCTCAACTACAGATGTGGGCAAACAAGCATGCCGAGCTTCACGGACCGAAGGAGTCGAGCAATAGTGCGGAACCTGTCGAAGTTAAGGCTCCCGTGACCGGTTCTAATGCTATTGGCCCTACAATCCTGAGCACCCCGGCCCCAACATCAACCGCATTCGTATCGTATGCTGATCTTGATCAAATGTGTTGTCTGCTCTGTAGACGGAAGTTCAAGAACGAGCCCTCGCTCCGCCGACATGAGCAGATAAGTGACATGCATAAAGCTAATCTCGACAATGATGCGGCAATTACTAGGGCTACTATAGATTTGAAGGCGCTCGGTAAAGAGCCGGTCTCTAGCTACCGAGATCGAGCAAAGGAGCGGCGAATGGCGCACAATCAGCCCAGCAAACCGAAGCCTCACCTTCCCAGAAAGCAGCCCCTGGCGACCAAAGACGTAGGACCAGCTGCGGAAGCACCGCCTGCGAAACCTGCGGTATCTAAAGGTGCAGGATTGCTGGCAAAAATGGGATGGAGCACCGGCGAAGGTCTCGGAGCTGAAGGGGGTGGGCGAACCGCTATTATCGAAACTATGGCCTACACCCCTGGGGTGGGTCTTGGAGCTGAGGGTGGCAAGCTCGGAGATGCCGCCGAAGAGGCTGCTCGAGCTACGAAAAATGATTACTCGGACTTTGTCTCAAAGGCCAAGGACAAAGCAAGAGAGCGCTACGAGAAGATGAATTAGCGTATTCTGTTTCTGTGCTATTGGGTCTTCCCTCCAGTGCATTATTTATGTATTACTACCTAAGTATTAAGGTTGATCTTGAGCAGTTTTTAGGTCGAGCCTATCGGCTCATTTTAAGGACGTTAATGGCTGTAACAATAGACGCCGTTGCCCCGATTGTTCGCTACGTATTGCTTGAAGTTAACATCAAAACACTTGCGTTCAATATTGCCTATCACTTACGGAATGAAAAGTTCTATATATGCCTAGGTACCTACCTAGGCCCCTGATAACCAAAGAGTTTATCCTTTGGAGGATACCCATTAACACATAGACGCACTGATAGTCATGGAAATGTAGGTATGAGCCTCATTGCAGCTCCAGTTGGTTAATATATATTTCATCGCCCAACCCATTATTATGTATATACAGGAAATCACCGTCTCGGCATCAAGATTGCTAAGCGAAAAAAATAAAGATACTCGTTTAAGAGTATATAAGAAAGTCTATAGTACAATGTGAACCCATCTGTTTCTACATATCTCTGGGGTATCATGACTTCTGCAAGGTTCAACGCTCATCAAGCTTCTGTTCCTCTAAGCACATCTCTGTGCCTAGGTAGATAAAGGTATGTGTGTTTTGCCGTGTTGTGGTACTTAATTATCCCGTCTATAACATGAACAACCCAGCCCCCATCAAGCCGCTCAGACTTGCCATACCGGCCATAACTAGGACCTCCCAGCTCGGTGCAGGTACAACTTTAGAACTAGCCCCCTCACTGGTCTCACTACCAGACGTGCCTGAAGAAGTCTCGGAAGATGAATTGCCACTACTAGTTGTCTGCGTTGCGATGACCTGGGAAGCGACACCACTAGCGTCGGGAATACCAGACTTGGTGATCTCCACAATTTTGCTCTCAGTACTATTAAGATTGGCCTGAGCGAGACCAATCTTCTTGTTGGTGAGGTCATAAACTACGTAGGCAGAGCGCAAGAACGTGTCGCCTAGCAGATAATAGTCCGAACTCCCCTGCAGGCCAAAACTGCAGACATTATCGAAAGGTAGAGACGGTACATCTAGTCCTAGTTCGATGTATTGCTTTACATTATCCAAGACCATCTCATCAATGGGGACCTGGATGATAGGGCCGTCATTGCCGCCGAATTGGAAATCAAAAGTAAAATTATTGTTGTTTAGGTGTTCGCAGTTGATGTAGACAAGTCCAGTTCCAGAGGTGTCGTCTACGGCACCAAAGGCGCGAAAGATGCGATTCGCCATAGTGTAGGGAACATAAGTCAAAGTAGTACCCGAATCGAGTATGACCGAGACGCTGGATCGGGTGTAGTTAGTCACCGTGCCGTTGTCGGCGGTCGTGGTCAAAGATGAGAGCGGGACGGTGAAGGAGGAGTAATTGCCGGTGCGGTCCGGTACAATATCGACGATCTTAAGCTTGCCGATAAATTTCTGGGTATCTAAACCACCAAATAGGATTGTTCCAGTCTCGGCGTATAGATCATCCTATAATGATGGTTAATCTATTAGAGCATTCTTCAAAGCACTCGACACAAGCCGTTGGCGTGCTTGGGGATTAAGGTGGAACCACATACCAGATATAAGCTATAAGCTTGGATGGCAATTAGATCTTGACTTTCAAACAAGCTCATAATGTTTGGATACGGAGTCAGGGCAGCGACGTTAGCAGCAAACCCTATACCCAAAAGACCCGAGTTGATGGTGGAATTCTCGGCCAGGCCCATCTGCAATTTTTTTATGTCAGCTCCACCGATGCTGAAGGTGTCTCGAATATAGTCGCCTTCGGCCCCCGAACCGTCGACATAGCGGATGCTGAATTCGTCTTGAGAAACGATAGAGTATGTCGAACTCTTAGAAGGATCGTACGTGGATAGACAGTATCCGTAGTAATTCTGCATTGTCTTGGACTGGCAGAGGTTCGCGTGGCTATCTAATATCCAGACATCGCTGCTCCCAGTATCGACAACTAAGTCGACAGTTTGAGGAGGTGTTCCCACGGTGACTTGAGCGTAGTAACCACCACCAGTCAAGTTGTTGTTCAGTTCTTGAGAATAGGTACCGGCACGTCTATGGAGCGCGGGCTGCCTGTTCGTCGATCTACCAAAGCTGACGGGGATGACTTTCTGGGAATTTGTATTATCGGTAGCCGCCGCGATAGACGCGACGGACACGGCGGCGAGAGCTGAAAAGAACCTCATAGCGAACGGACACGATAACTACCCGAAGCAAAGGAAACGCCGGCTTAGGAGGTGAGAAGGAATAAAGAGCGATAGAAGTTAAACGGAAGATATTATCAAGGCAAAGGTAGGCAGATCCAGAGAGATCCTAGGTTAGCAGATCCCAGGCAACCCAGTCCAAAGGGTACGATCCACCAAGTTGACCCAGGTAAGAAGCTAGCTGGGGCCTGGTTTTATAACTAGTCGCCACGCGCCGACGATCCGGTCCAAGTCAATTGACGGCTGACAAGTCGACAGACGCAGAAAAACTAAGGAATATAGAGAAGAAGAAGAGGAGGAGGGAATTAGTATCTGATAGGTCGGTACGAGTATATTGCGTACGCAATCAGATATATTCAAGTGTGGTTGATGGATGTGCCACTAATCGTCAAACGTGAAGAAAAGAGATACCTAATGAAGGTCTCAAACAATCAACTTGCCGGTATACCCTACTTTTCTCTGCCTCTATTGTTAACAGGTTCAAATAGAAGTCTAGAAGAAGCGACGAGGAATTAAAAGAGTAAAGGAACCAAAAAGAAAGGAGCGGGTGAATTAAAGAGACTCATCATGAGTTGTTGATGAGCCGCCAAGCGAATTCACATCGCCTATGGGCCTTTTTTTGTTAATGTGTAATCAGACTTAAATCGGACTGATGTTAAATGAACTTGGGTCAAGTAGTATTAAGCATTCAAAAGTCCAATAGGAAGCCGTAAGCGAGAAAGCTTGGAAGTCTTGGCCAAATAGGTACAAGTCTTAATTAAGGGCGCCTGCCTCATGTGTTATACTTATGCAGACTGATACATCCGATGCGTGTAGCCGTATTTCCGTAGAAAGTACCTATATGTGTACCGTACGTACCCATTAGAAGATACCTATATGCACAGTGTATATATAATAGGAAAGATTGCGGGGGCTGAGGTCTTCCTTCACCAATCACGCCATAAATTTAAACGCCAACTTCGTCATCCTTCGCTAAGCAATTTATGTAGTGTATTGTACATATGTACATACTACCTAGGTACCTATCCTTACCTCCAATTCCCCACGTATGTATTGTTACCATACGTGCATCTATCTTGCAGCATCGTCGTGGACCGCGTCGTCATCCATTTATCTATCACCACCTTCATCCGCGAATAAACCTTCATCTGACACCAGCATCTCCCATATTCTGTCATAGGTATATGTTATTCATCTGAGATATATATCTAGATATCTATATACCTCAGCTACGAGGTAGACTTCTCGTTGATAAAGGCAACTTCATAGATGAGAAGTATAACTAACTAATATCATTATATACATAGGTAGGGTAGGTATGTATCAAGCATTATATACGATGTAGCAAAGTATGAACACATTGAAGTAGGTAAAATCACAATCGACCCCTCATTATGCCACCGTACTACCACACAAACCAATTAGGCCACTTTAGCCTCTATTACTCCTTTTCTCGCCGTTGCACAATCGTGGCGCTGAGATCGCCAATACTAGTCTCGCTGAGTACCTCAAAGATGCTCACATCAGCCTCACACTCTCGAGAGACCCAGTTACGAACTCCTACTGCCACCAACGAGTCAACGCCATAAGCGCTGGGCGGTCTAGACTCGTCCACATCTGCCGAGACCATATTCATGCTCTTCGAAAGCATCTCCCGAAGACCCTTACTAACAATGCATCGTGCCTCCTCTGCATCTGTTGCCTGCGCTAATAATCTCTGCATTATCTCCCGCGAGCCCGAAGCTTCTTCCGAAGTCTCTTTCGAACCTTCTGGCATATCCACCTGATTAAGATGAGTGAACATAGCTGTGCGCGTCCAGTAAGGATCCGCCGGTTTGTTCTGCAGGATCAACCCGCCAGTTCCAACTCCTGTAACAACTTGCACCGGTATCCTCTGGCCGTCTTCCATGTAACCCGTGATCGCTCGCTCGATGATGCGCTTGATATCTTCGAGTCTGATCCCAAAGAAACCGCTGGCTTTGAGCTTATCCAGCGTCTCAGGGTCATCAGCAAGCATTCCTGCTTCAAGGACTGGGCCTAGGTCAATCGATACTGCGTTCACTTTGCCCTCACTTGTTGTCCTTATATGTCTGGCAAGCGAGTCCTGGAACGCATTGCCCGCTGCGTAGTTCGCTTGCCCGCGGTTTCCAATAACACCAGCTGAGCTAGACAGGAAGATGAAAAAGTCCAGATCGTTGCCAAAGGCCTGATGAAGGTTCCAGGAACCTACTGTCTTGGGCTTTGTTGCCAATTGCCAGTCTTCGTACTTCATATTTTCGAAGACCGAGTCGCGCAGTACTGCCGCACATTGGAATACACCCTTCACGAGAGGCATAGAGTGCTGGATCTCGCTTACAGTGTTTCTAAGAGCTTCGGTATTACAAACGTCCACCTTAAAAACCCTCACATTGACCCGCTTCGTGCGGAGAAGGTCAACGCATGATTTAGCCAAGTCGTTCGTCGCGCCGGATCGTCCTAAGAACGCGATGTTCTTAGCACCATTGGCCGCCAACAGCTTAGCAACCTCTATGCCGAGCCCCCCGAGTCCACCAGACAAGACATAAGTGGCATCTCCACGTAAGTAGGAGCTCATAGAAGGGAGATTTCGTGGGAGGATCGGAATAGGTTTCGATATGGGTCGCCGGCAATAGATACGGTTGCCAACTATGTCCGAATCCAATGCCGCGAAAGCAGCCGCCAGGTCGGAGTAGTCGTATACGCCTTGCGGAGCTTGACTCCAGCTCCTAAACTGCCAGGATAATAGTTTGGGGTAAATGGATGCCAAAGCATCACCAAGGCGGTCCGGTTGGTATTTGGTGAGATGTGACACATTTATGATTGTGCAGCTAAACGTCTTGTCGATTACATCAGTTTCGCACGTCGTCACATCGTTACGATCAGGTTTGTCAGCGAAACCGATCACACGACCACCTATAAAAACAATTAGCGAACAGATCTCCTTTTTGGTCTATTTTACTAAGTAAGAGAGCTCACCTTCTTTAACACATCTGATATTCGAATCTCGGCTTCTTGCAACTGGATCATAGATCAAGTCTACGCCTTGATTGTCCGTCAAACGCATTATCGTATCAGCAAAAGATTCAACTCTAGCGTCGAGGATATAGTCCTCCCGGAGTCTCCAAACATGGCTAAGAAGGCCACGCTCATGGTCAGTCTCTGCACTGGCGAAAACAACGGCTCCTACAGATTTGGCAAGCTGGATCGCAGTTTGGCCGAATGTTCCTGCGCCAGCATGGATCAGGATAGTATTACCAGCCTTGAGCTTACCAAGCGCATATCCAGCAATAGCGAAGCTTGTCGGCAGGTAGATAGGTTGAGGTTCGGGTTGGTAGTTCGGCACTTTATACAGGAGTCGGTGATGACACGTAATAAAGTCTCGTAAAGATCCACGGGCAATACCCACAACATGATCCCCCGGAGAAACACTCGTAACATTCTCTCCAATCTGATCAACTACACCGTATACATCTGTTCCCAGGTCGCCCTTCTCCACACGCCCATGCATGATTTCGCGGTCCGGGTCGCCAAGTGCAGTTGTAATCACCCGGACTCTTACATCACCCGGCGACAGAGGAAGGCTGGCGTTAGGGTCATCGTCCCAGTATAAGCTTCCCGTGTCGCCTACCTGTCCAATCTCAAGCTTGAGGGGCCTTTCGTGCGGATTGGGCATCATCTGCTGGTCTGGCTCTGCTGGTGCAGAGCCATGCTCAATCGTAGAATTCAGCGAATTCACGGGAACCAGCCTTGGAACCATGATTTGCCCATTACGTTCAATGTATTCCGTTTCAATAGGCCCTACAACCTTGGGTCCAAAGAAAGATCGCGCGACCAATCTTAAGAGTGTCCGAGTGAACGGTACCACCATGGTGGAGGCGAAGCTTAGATCGATGCCGACATCAAATGTGACTAACTTTTTCTTAGGATACTCTGATTGTATAGTCCGTCCCAAAGCCTGCGCCAGACTAGATTGCGGGTTCTTGGCCTCGAACTGTGAAGCACGAGTGATCCAGAAGATTCCTTTCATAGCGCAAACCACATTCTGGAATGCAAGAAATTCCTGTTCTGTCCATTTCCAAAGTAGTGCTTGCCCGTCGGCTTCCAATAGGGAGATGCAGTACCTTGGAAGTATCTCGTTCTCCTTGATACTACTTAATGTTCGGAACTGGCAGTTCAAGTTCATAGAGAGTTCAGCTTGAAGCCCACTGGTATCTGGATTGGCGTCTGCAGGAATAAGGATAAGTAAGCTGTCGGTCAGCTCAATGTGCTTCTCGTTGGAGTTCTCCGAGATGCTAAACTCCTCCCAAGTAATCTCGGAACAGAGATTACGGTGATTCGGGAGGAAACCGAATTCTTGTGTCGCACTTCTGTCCAAAGCGGTAAAAGTCATATCCTCAATTATCATGAGTGGAATATCACCAGATGTTTCCAGCCAAGACTGACCCGAAACAACAAAGGATGCAGACGCACTAAGTCGTCCATTAAGCTTTGCGCAAGTATGAGCAGCAAGTTGTTTGCCAGCCCCCGAGAGCATAGGAGAGTTAGCCGATACATAGAGACTTCCAAGGAAAGAAGGAACCATTGGGCCGTTCCCAAAACTTAAGGCGGTTTGGAAGACCGAATCTAGTGTCGTCGGGTGAATAATGTGCGGATATTCAAAGTTTGCTGGCATGACTGATTTTGTGTCCGGAATTCGAATAGTGCCAACACAAACACCATCCCGTCTATGGAGAGATTCGATGTTCTGGAACAGCCGACCATAGTTCATACCAATAAAATCTAAGCTCTCGTAAAGCTGTCTTGGATTAACGGGGTCGACGCACTCGTTCTTTGCGCCGAGGTACGCCTGGTAATACCTGTTGACCTCCTTATGGGTCGTGTGGTAATGAATTGTCACATACCCGCTGCCGTGTTCCTCCCAGGGCTTGCCGAGTTGTTTGGAGTATATAAAGAACTCAAAAGAG